CACCATCATCACCATCACCACCACCACCACCACTACCATCACCACCAACACCATCACCCCACCATCATCATCACCATCACCACCACCACCACCACCATCACTACCACCATCACCCCACCATTATCACCATCACCACCACCATCACCCCACCACCATCACCACCATCACCACCATCACCACCACCACCACCTCCACCAACACCAACACCAACACCAACACCAACACCAACACCAACACCAACACCAACACCACCACCCCACCAATACCATCACCATCACCACCATCACCATCACCCCCGACTCCTGCCCTCACCCCCCTGGTGTCTGTCCATTGGTTAGGCTTATATGCAGTTTTATTGCTAGCTTTACCCAGTGGCCACATAAGTTTCTATTGAACGCGTACAAAAACCGTTTTACATAAGTGTTAAAGGCACGCCTGAAAATTAAACACCCATTGCATTTTGAAGTGATTGATCACACGCTCTCACAAAAGCTAATAGCTCTTGAAAGAATTCTCGTGGTCCGTCGCAGTGTGTTAGGGACGCTTCGCCCCGCCCCCAGGTTTGATTGACAAGCCTGGTCCTGTGCCCTCTCCTAGGGGAGGAAAACGTGATCGCGGTGCCCCTGGGCAGTCGGAGTGTGAGAATCACGGCGAAAGGCCCTGCGCATCTCTGTAAGTAGGACGTCTTCTTCCTGTTTCCTGAAAGCTTATTTAGCAAAAATAAATAATAATAATAATTGTTCTTTTTAAAAATATATTTTTATTGCTTTCTGAGAGGAAGGGAGAGGGAGAGAGAGAGAAACATCATTGACGAGAAAGAGTCATGGACCGGCTGCCTCCTGCACGCCCCCTAGTGGGGATGGAGCCCGCAACCCGGGCCTGTGCCCTTGACTAGAATCGAACCCTGACCTCCTGGTTCATAGATTGAACCTCAACCACTGAGCCACACTGGCCGGGCACTATAACTATTTTTTAATCCTTACGTGAGGATATATTTTTATTGATTTGAGGGAGAGAGAGAGAGAGAGAAACATCGATTGGTTGCCTCCTGCACGGGCCCCGACCAGGGCCCGGACCAGGGAGGAGCCTGCAGCTAAGGTACATGCCCTTGACTGGAATCGAACCCGGGACCCTTTGGTCTGCAGGCTGACGCTCTATCCACTGAGCCAAACTGGCCAGGGCTGGACCTGATTTTTCTTAGGATGCAAAAGGCGGTTCCCAAAAACGCAGCCCCAAAAAGAGTTGTGTGGGTTCTAACAACAGAGTCAATAGACAGTAAACCGAATAAGTAAGCGTGGAATAAAATAAGTAAAGGCAGAAACGGTCATTACATGCGTGTGTGGCCTGGCCTCCTAAGGATAAGTTTAGCCCGGCGGCGTGGCTCAGGGGCTGACCGTTGACCTCTGAACCAGGAGGTCAGGGTTCGATTCCCGGTCAGGGCACAGGCCCGGGTTGCGGGCTCCATCCCCAGTGTGGGGCGTGCAGGAGGCAGCCGGTCCATGATATTCTCTCATCATGGATATTTCTATCTCTCTCCCCCTCCCTTTCTCCCTGAAGTCAATAAAAATATTTTTTTAAAAAAAAGGAAAAGAAAAGAAAGTAGCTGAGAGAGAGACTCTTCAACGTATTCATCACAAGGAAAAATATTATCACTATGTGAGGTGATGGGTGAACTAGACGGATTGTGGGGTGACAGTTTCATAACCGATACAACGAACAAACCATTAGGTTGTACCCCTGAGACTAACGGGATGTTATAAATGACCTCAGAAAAGATAGTCCTGTTAACATAAAAGAAACCACACACATTCAAACCTGTGAAGCATTTCGCGAGTTCATTTGAGCCAAACTGCCCACAACCGCCAGGAAGCAGAACCTCAACCGATTGGGAGAATGCTCCGGAGAAAGGCTGATTTGCGCCTATTTTTACTCGTTGCAATCGAAGGAGGGGCGGAGGTGGGTGACATGAAACCCTCTGGGGATGGGTCAGGGAGGCGGGAGCAAGCAAAGCAGGGAAACCCCTGGGATTGGCTAACAAGTAAGATGACGGACACCTGCCCCCTTCCTTGGGGTGCAGGAGTTAACAGCCAGCAGTGAGCTCAGGCCAGGGGGGGGTCTGTGGTCCCCACAGAGCGGGGCCTGGGCCGTGAGGCCGGGAAAAGGGACATGACCGTGACCTTCCAGCGACATGGGGTCCCAGACGCAGAAAGACCGCAGACAGGCCCAGCGAAGGCCGAGGCTGACGGGTCAGGGAAGATCCCGGCCGAGGACCAGACTCCCCACCTCAGCTGCTGCTAGTTCAAGGTCAAGGTCAGACTGTCCTGGGCGGCCGCCTGAGGCCTCGGGGTTTGCCAGGCTGCCAGGCAGGCTCCCCCTGAGCCGGTCAGCTCAGCGTGTGGCCCCCTGTTCGCCCGCCGTTCTCGCTATTTAAATCCCATTTTTCAATCGTAGTTATCGAATCCAAAACACTCCAAGGGAGCAAAGGGCAGCACAGCTTTCACAGCCCCGGCGTCTTCGTCGTGGAAAACACGACCGTGGAGTTTCAGAGGGGCCCCGACAGGCAGACCTTCAAGATTCCGGGGCCCCTGACGGCCGACTTCATCTTCAAGGTAGGACGTGCCTCTTCGTAACCTGGGGACAGGGGTTGGAGGGTTGGAGGGGGTGAGGGGGTCACCTGAAGCTCCACACATCCTGAATTTTTATTTTTAGTTAATCCCCACCCGAGGACATTTTCCCATTGATTCTTATTTTTTTAGCTTTTTATTTTTTAAAAATATATTTTATTGATTTTTTACAGAGAGGAAGGGAGGGGGATAGAGAGTTAGAAACATGGATGAGAGAGAAACATCGATCAGCTGCCTCCTGCACACCCCCCACTGGGGATGTGCCCGCAACCAAGATACATGCCCTTGACCGGGATCGAACCTGGGACCCTTCAGTCCGCAGGCCGACGCTCTATCCACTGAGCCACACCAGCCAGGCCTCCATTGATTCTTAGAAAGAGTGGAGGGCGGGGGAGAGTGAGAGAGAAACATCGATGTAAGAGAGACACAGCGATTGGTTGCCTCCTGCATGTGCCCCAACTAGGGCCCGGGGTCTAGTCTGCAACTGAGGCATGTGCCCTTGACCGGAATCGCACCCGGAACCCTTCGGTCTGGTCCGCAGGCGGGCGCACTATCCACTGAGCACACCGGCCAGGGCTGGTCACAGCCTGAATTTTAAAGACAACTCGTGCAGTCAGCGGGAAGCCCCCAAAGATCACTTTCACACTGAGTGCATCATTGATGTTTCCTTCTTGGTGTCAATTCCAAAAAAAAAAAAAAAAATTCATTTCTCTCAAATTTCTGCTCCTGAACCTGAGTAGCTGAGAAACAAATGTCACTTTTCTAGGCGAGAGATGGATTTTGTATTTGTCGCCTCCAGTGACCATGTTCCTTCCGTGTTGTTTTGTTTTGAATATATTTTTATTGATTGTTCGGAGAGGAAGGGAGAGGGAGAGAGAAACATCCATGATGAGAGAGAATCATGGACCGGCTGCCTCCTGCACGCCCCCCACTGGGGATGGAGCCCGCCACCCGGGCCTGTGCCCTGAGCGGGAATCGAACCCTGACCTCCTGGTTCCTAGGTCGACACTCAACCACTGAGCCACACCGGCCGGACATCTCTGCTTCTTTGTAAGAGCAGGGACATGTGACAGCTCACCTGCTCGTTACCATGGCAGTCATTGGATGATTGTCGTCTGTCTTTCTATTCTTTCTCCCTGGTCGTCTGTTCTGCATAAATTCTCTGCCTGTCTCACGTGCCTTAGGGTTTTCCGTTCTGATTCTCAATTGGTAAACACACACACACACACACACACACACACACCCCACACCTGTTGTCGGTTTTAATTAAACCTTTATTGTTGACAGTATTACATATGTCCCCCGTTGTCCCCCACCGGCCCCGTCCAGCCCGCCCCGCCCCGCCCCAGCCTTCAGCCCCGTTGCCTGTGTCCCTGGGCCATGCCTATGTGCAGGCCAGGTCTTCGGTTGACCTCTTCCCACCCACCCGCTCCCCCGCCTTCCCCCTGAGGTTCCGCCCTCTGTTCCATGCCTCTGTGCCTCTGGATCTACTTTGGTCTTTAATTCTCTGTTCACTCCGGGAATCTGTATTGTTCTCAAGGCCGTTTGGAGATCTACGCCTGTGTCGGAGACATTGGCGCCACGGCGAGGGGGAGGGTGGGAGAACGAGCGGGGAGTTAACATGGCAAGGTTATATTTACTGCACGGTATACATAACGGTACATATACTGTTTGTTTGCAGTATATATATATACCGTTTATTGGTGCCACGTGTAAACACACACACACACACACACACACACTCACACACACACACACACACACACTTACGGACCATCTATTTCTACAAGTGTGTCTGTATGCATACAGGCATGCACGTAGTCATGCACATAAGTATGTGAATGTATGTGTACATTTTAAAAAAGAATTGGGCCCGGCCAGTGTGGCTCAGGGGTTGAGCGTCGACCTATGAACCAGGAGGTCAGGGTTCGATTCTCAGTCAGGGCACATGCCCGGGTTGCGGGCTCCATCCCCAGTGGGGGGCGTGCAGGAGGCAGCCGATCCGTGATTCTCTCTCATCATGGATGTTTCTCTCTCTCCCCCTCTCCCTTCCTCTCTGAAATCAATTAAAATATATTTTAAAAAATAACAATAAAAAAGATTTGGAAGGATTCACTCCAGGTCGGAAACACTGAAAACGCAGTGGTTGTTTGAGAGGGTCTGGGTGCTTTGGGGAAGTGAGCTGGTTTTCCTTAAAATATTCTAATAACGGTCCTGACCGGTGTGGCTCAGTGGATAGAGCGTCGGCCTGCGGACTGAAGGGTCCCAGGTTCGATTCCGGCCAAGGGCATGTACCTGGGTTGCGGGCACATCCCCAGTAGGGGGTGTGCAGGAGGCAGCCAATCGATGTTTCTCTCCCATCGATGTTTCTGACTCTCTATCCCTCTCCCTTCCTCTCTGTAAAAAATCAATAAAATATATTTAAAAATATTCTAATAACGGAAAATGATTCTTCAAAAGAATACAGGCATATGCCACTTGCATAATTAAAAAAAAGAGTTTAGCCCTGGCCGGTGTGGCTCAGTGGGCAGAGCTTCGGCCTGCAGACCAAAGGTCCCGGGTTCGATTCCCAGTCAAGGGCACGGACCTCGGTGGCAGGCTCCTCCCTGGCCCGGGCCCTGGTCGGGGCCCGTGTAGGAGGCGACCCATTGATGGGTCTCTCTCACATCGACGTTTCTCTCTCTCCCTCTCCCTTCCGCTCTCTCTAAAAATCAACGGAAAAATATCCACGGGGGAGGATGAACCACAACAAACAAGAAGTCGTTTACACCTTCTTGCTGAAATGATGCATTCACCTCCTCACAGAGCACCTTTTAATTTTTTTGTTCATCCTCACGTGGGGATATTTTTTTCCATTGATTTTAAGAGAGAGAACGGAAGGGGTGAGAGAGAGAGAGAAACACCGACGTGAGGAGACACGTAACACCTCGACTCGTTGCCTCCTGCACGTGCCCCCACCAGGGCCGGAGGCTGAGCCTGCAGCCGACGTACGTGCCCTTGACAGGAATCGAACCCGGGGCCCTTCGGTCCACGGACCGAGACTCTATCCACTGAGCCACACCGGCCGGGCTGGAATACCTTTCAGCAGCCGGTCCCCACTGCCTCCGGTTTGCCTGTGTGTGAGTCCTGCTCTCCTCCCATTGGATAAGCAATTCCGCCTTGGACTTCAACTTGGGCTAAGCTTTCGCTCTCCCAGTGGTTCTCAACCTCGGCTGCCCATGAGAACCCCCTGGGCATCTTTTTAGAATCCTGATTCCTGGGCCTCGTCCTCCGGAAATTCTGTTTCTTGGTGATGGGGTGGGGCCACAACATGAGTCACAAAGACACAGAATTTCCGGAGGATGAGGCCCAGACATCAGGATTTTGAAAAGATCCCCAGGGGGTTCTCATGGGCAGCCGAGGTTGAGAACCCTGCCCTCTCCTGACGGAAGAGGTTTTCAAAAATGCATGTTGACCAGAGAGGGGGTGTGTGCGGCCGCACAAACACAGCATCAGGTTCAGGCCAGGGCCGCTCTCTGTGGATGGGGTGCGCTGGGCGGGTGAGGATGGGCGGGACTGGAGACGCTGGGAGGGGCCAGGACGACTCTGATGTTGGTCCCAGGCTACAAGCTTGTGCAGATAATGTGGGTTTCCAGGAAATACCCTCTTCCATGGGTTACTTTTTAAAAAAATATGTCTTTATTGGTTTCAGAGAGGAAGGGAGAGGGAGAGAAACATCCATGATGAGAGAGAATCATGGATCGGCCGCCTCCTGCACCCCTCCCCACTATATTCTTTAGTTGTTATTTTATTGTTAAAGTTTCAGTCATATTGTCTGTAAATGTTTTTTCTTTTTCTTTTCTTCCTTTTTTTGTTTTTTTTGGTTACTCCTCACCCGAGGATATTTTCCATTGATTTTTAGAGAGAGCGGAAGAGAGAGGGAGACAGAGAAACATCGACGTGAGAGAGACCCATGGATGGGTTGCCTCCTGCAGGCGCCCCGACCAGGGCCCGGGCCGGGGAGGAGCCTGCCACCGAGGTCCGAGCCCTTGAGCGGAATCGAACCCGGGACCCTTCGGTCTTGGGGCCGACGCTCCGTCCACCGCGTTCTGAAAGGCATGAGTGCGTGGCCTGCAGACGCGTGACCCCCTCTCCCCGTCCAGGCCAGGTTCACGGTGGCCAGGGACAGCGTGGTGCAGTTCTTCTTCTACCAGCCCATCAGCCACCAGTGGCGGCAGACCGACTTCTTCCCCTGCACCGTGACCTGCGGAGGAGGTGAGGCGGGGCTCGCGGACAGTGTTCTGTTTCTTAGTGTGTTTATTAACTTTTAGAGGGAGGAAGGCAGAGAGAGAGAGAGAAACATCCTTGATGAGAGAGAATCATGCATCGGCCGCCTCCTGCACGCCCCACACCGGGGATCAAGCCCGCAACCCGGGCCTGTGCCCTGAGCGGGGATCAAACCAACCTTGACCTCCTGGTTCATGTTTGATGCTGAACCGCTGAGCCACGCAGGCCGGGCCTGAATTAAGTTGCTTAAATAGGGGGTGGGGGGGAAATAGGGTGTGGGCATGAGAAGGCAGCCACGCAAGAACAAGCAGGGTGATTCTTAGGCTGTCCTTCTCCCCCCTCCAACCCCCCGGCAGGTTACCAGCTGAACTCGGCCGAATGCGTGGACATCCGCCTGAAGAGGGTGGTCCCTGACCATTACTGCCATTACTACCCCGAGAACGTCAAGCCCAAACCCAAGCTGAAGGAGTGCGGCATGGACCCCTGCCCCGCCAGGTGGGCGCGCGGCCCGGTCTCTGTACTTCGTGGGGTTTTTTGTTTTGTTTTGTTGGTTTGTTTTAATGATAGACACACACTTCTTTAAAAAAATACATTTTTATTGATTTCAGAGAGGAAGGGAGAGGGAGAGAGAGAGAAGCATCCATGATGAGAGAGAATCATGGATCGGCTGCCTCCTGCACGCCCCCTAGGGGGCATCGAGCCTGTAACCCAGGCCTGTGCCCTTGACCGGGATTCGAACCCAGGACCCTACGGTCCGCAGGCCGAAGCTCTATCCACTGAGCTACACTGGCCAGGGCTGTACTTTGTGTGTTTATTCCACTGTAAATTCAATTTTTTAAGTAGATAGAGGTCTATTTGGACCAAGCATGTCACACCCAGAGGCTAGCGCGGGCCAGATAAACAAGGTTTGCATGGATGTGGCCGCAAAAAAACCAAAAGCTTCCATTTTCATAGAAACAGGTTTGTTTCGATAGAGACGTGCTGAATGCAAAGGGCTGAGATAAATGAGTCACCATGAACACAAAGTAATAGAACATTTTAATAAAAATTTTTAAAATATATTTTTATTGACTTCAGAGAGAAAGGGAGAGAGCTGGAGAGAGAGAAACATCAATGATGAGAGAGAATCACTGATTGGCTGCCTCCTGCATGTCCCCCACTGGGGGGATTAAGCCTGCAACCCGGGCATGTGCCCCTGGCTGGAATCGAACCCAGGACCCTTTAGTCCACAGGCCAACGCTCTATCCACTGAGCCAAACTGGCGAGGGCTGATATTTTTTCTTGGACATGAACTCACCAGACCCTGAGTCCCTGCACAAATGAATAAACATCACACAAATAAGCCCATTTTTCTCCTTCTCCGGAAGCGAGGTATTTCCTGTTGCCACACCAAGCAGGTCAGTCCCAGACTAAGGACGCGGCCACCGGCTGCTGGAACCTTCGCTGCCGGTGCCAGTGGGGAGAGACGGTGCGCCTGGGCGTGAGGCACGTGAGGGACGCGAATGCAACACGATGACAGTCATCCGCCGTTAGCGAACGTTGTAGTTCATTATTCATAATGATGTACAACAGGACATTGTAAAAATTAAGTGATGAAAAATTTATTAAAACGTTCCTTACACACCGTTCTATTGGCTGGGCCACAAAAATATTCATTGAGGGCCGCGAGTGCGACATGCCTGGGTTAGACTTTCAATATTTTTCTTTTTTGAAAATATATATATATATATTTTAAATATATTTTATTGATTTTTTACAGGGAGGAAGGGAGAGAGATAGAGAGTCAGAAACATCGATGAGAGAGAAACATCGACCAGCCGCCTCCTGCACATCCCCCACCGGGGATGTGCCCGCAACCCAGGTACATGGCCTTGACCGGAATCGAACCTGGGACCTTTCAGTCCACAGGCCGACGCTCTATCCACTGAGCCACACCGGTTTCGGCTGAAAATATATTTTTATTGATTTCAGAGAGGAAGGAAGAGGGAGAAAGAGATAGAACCATCGATGATGAGAGAGAGTCATGGACCGGCCGCCTCCTGCACACCCCCCACTGGGGATCGAGCCCAGAACCCGGGCCTGTGGCCTGACGGGGAATCGAACCCTGACCTCCTGGTTCATAGGTCGATGCTCAACCACTGAGCCACGCCGGCCGGGCTACTTGGTTTTCAGTTTGAGAGGGGCTTGGCATTCGGGACGTCAGATCTGTGTTTGTCACACTGACAAACGTGTTCGGTGAGTGTGGACTGACGCTCCCACAATGGTTCCATTTGCAGTGACGGCTTTAAGGAGATCATGCCCTACGACCACTTCCAGCCTCTCCCTCGGTGAGTGATGGTGTTAACTCTTTTTTTAAAAAATATTTTTTTATTGATGGCAGAGAGGAAGGGAGAGGGAGAGAGAGAGAGAAGCATCCATGATGAGAGAGAATCGTGGATCGGCTGCCTCCTGCACGCCCCACACTGGGGATGGAGCCCGCAACCCGGGCCTGTGCCCTGACCGGGAATCGAACCCTGACCTCCTGGTTCCTAGGTCGATGCTCAGCCACTGAGCCCCGCCTGCCAGGCTGGTGCAGAGCCAGTTTAAAGAGGCTTTCATCCTCTGTGTGTGATTAATTAGACTCTCGCGTGTCCTGTGAAGGGGAATGAAGGCAGGTGGATGGTTCCCACAGGACAGCAACCTCAGGGTCAGAGGTCACCTGTGACTGTAGATTGTGTAGCAGCAAAGATGAAAGTTTGGCCCTGGCCGGTGTGGCTCAGTGGATAGAGCATCAACCGGTGGACTGAAGGGTCTCGGGTTTGATTCTGGTCAAGGGCACGGACCTCAGTTGCAGGCTCCTCCTCCGCCCAGGCCCTGGTTGGGGCGTGTGCACGAGGCAACCCATCGATGTGTTTCTCTCACATCAATATTTCTCTCTGTCTTTCCCTCTCTCTTCCACTCTCTCAAAAATCAATGGAAAAATATCCTTGCGTGAGGATAAAAATGAATGAATGAGTGAGTGAATGAATGAGTGAATGAATTAATGAGTGAATGAATTAATGAGTGAATGAGAGGATGAATGAATGAGTGAATAAATGAGAGAATGAATGAATGAGTCAATGGTGAGTGAATGAGTGAATGAATGAGTGAATGGTGAGTGAATGAGTGATTGAGTGGATGAATGAATGAGTGAGTGAGTGAATGAATGAATGAGTGTGTGAATGAGTGAATGAATGAGTGAGGGAATGAATGAATGAATGAGTGACTGAGCGAATGAATGAATGAATAAAGACTTAAGTCTGAATCCCCCACATCCCATGCTCTTTGGGCCCAACCACAACTGTGATCCTCTCTGCAACCCTGTTTGCAGACGTGACACCCGTGCGACCAGCACACGAATAACCAAGTAACGTGCTTCGTTTGTTTGCTTCCGAGCTGGGAACATAACCCGTGGACGGCGTGCTCCGTGTCCTGCGGAGGCGGCACCCAGCGGCGCAGCTTCGTGTGCGTGGAGGAGTCGCTGCACGGCGAGATCCTGCAGGTGGAGGAGTGGAAGTGCATGTACGCGCCCCGGCCCAAGGTCATGCAGACCTGCAACCTCTTCGACTGCCCCAAGTGGGTGGCCATGGACTGGTCCCAGGTGAGACGGGACCCGGATGTTCAGGAGTCTTTGCCATGTGTTACTGGGTTTTTAAAAATACTAGTGGCCCAGTTCGTGCACGGGGGGTGTCCCTCAGCCCAGCCTGCACCCTCTCCAATCAGGTACCCCTCAGGGGATGTCTGATTGCCAGGGATCGGGCCTAAACCGGCAGTCGGACATCCCTCTCACAATCCGGGACTGCTGGCTCCCAACTGCTCACCTCCCTGCCTGCCTGATCACCCCAAACCGCTCTGCCTGCTGGCCTGCTCGCCTCCAATTGCCCACCGCCAGCCTTCTCGCCCCCAATTGCCCCTCGCCAGCCTGCTTACCCCCAACTGTCCCCCCCTCCTGGCCTGACTGCCCCTACCCGCCTCTGCCTGGGCCCGGCCACCACGGCTTTGTCTGGAAGGTGTCCTGGTCTAATTAGCATATTACTCCTTTATTAGTATCGATATTTTCATCGATTTCAGAGAGGAAGGGAGACAGAGAGAGGTGACCTTTGAGCAAGGCACATGGGTGACCTCTTCAGTGACAATAGCTTTGAAAGATGGATTTCTGTAGGTAGAAGAGAACGATGATCCGCTGGCCTGCTTGAGCAAATTTGGGTTGGTTTGTTGTGAATCCTCACCGGAGGATATTTTCCCATTGATTTTTAGGGAGAGTGGGAGGGAGAGGGAGAGACAGAGAGAAACGAGACACATCGATGGGCTGCCTCCTGCACGCGCCCTGACGAGGGCCGGGGAACCTGTAACCGAGGTCTGTGCCCTTGACTGGAATCGAACCCGGGACCTTTCAGCCCGCGAGCTGGCGCTCTATCCACTGAGCCACACCAGGCGGGGCTTAAATTCGTCTTTTGAAATTTATAGCTTAGCAACATGCCTTCCATCTCCACCATGTGATGGATCATGTCATGTAAATTTGTAATCAAATTTGAAAAAAAACACCCCAAAGTTTCTTTCCTATTTAAACAGCAAGATTTTCAAGGAATTTCAATTTTCTTCCCCTCTGTGACTGCATCTTTTCTGTGTAATATTGACCTCGCCCAGCAATTTTCAACTTTCTTCAGCTCACAGCACACACACGTTAAATTACGAGAATTCTGCGGCACGCCAAAAAATATATTTCTTGCCAGTCTGACAAAAAAAAAATAGGTATAATTTTGGTTGATTTACAGAACATTACTAGTAGTAATAAAAATAGTAATTACCTACCCTTTTTGCGCCAAAGTGACTTTTTAAGAAATCAGTTGCCTAGACTTGTATGTAAGCATTTCTGGTACCAAGAATCAACCAATCAGATGCCACCTTATGGGATGTGACCAATCAGATGCAACTCTGTTATGCGACCCATAGATTTATGGCTTAAGACAGGGCGTTCACACCAGAAGGCTGTTGTTGTGTTGGCCCGTGTCGTTTTTTTATTTGACAACCTAAGAGAAAAGGGGTCAGTGCCTTTCACTAAATAGTCAGGTATTGTGTTGTTTATTTATTTACTAGAGGCCCGGTGCACGAAATTTGTGCATGGCTGGGGTCCCTCGGCCTGGCTGGCGATCAGGGCCGGCCAGGGCCTTCCTTCATTTCACACCGCCCCCTGGTGGTCAGCGCACATCATAGGAGCGATCCAACTCCCAGTCTCTCGGTCGAACTCCTGGTCTCTCGGTCGAACTCCCGACGGGACAATTTGCATTTTATATAGAGAGATTTTTGCCTTTTATGGAGAGAGATTATTATTATTTGTTAATCCTCACCTGAGGATATTTTTCCATTGAGTTTTAGAGAGAGTGGGAGGGAGAGGGAGAGACAGAGAGAAACATCGATGTGAGAGAGACACATTGATGGGCTGCCTCTTGGACGCACCCCTTGGCCTTGACCGGAATCGAACCCGGGACCCTTTGGTCCGCAGGTCGACGCTCTATCTACTGAGCCAAACTGGCCAGGGCGGTATTGGGTGTTTAAATTTTTTTTTTTTAAAGTTAGTGGAACCAAAGTGTTTTTTTTTTGTTTGTTTGATTAATATTTTACAGAAGAAGGGAGAGGGACAGAGAGTTAGAAACATCGATGAGAGAGAAACATCGATCAGCTGCCTCCTGCACACCCCCCACTGGGGATGTGCCCGCAACCAAGGTACATGCCCTTGACCGGAATCGAACCCGAGACCCTTCCGTCTGCAGGCCGACACTCTATCCACTGAGCCACACCGGTCAGGGCTGTTTTAAAACGTCTAGCAGCACACCCGTTGCAAATGGCTGACACGGAACAGCGGCTCCTCCTCCGCGTGAGACGCGGACGCCGCTGTGGGTCTCACCAGCTTCTCGCTTCCTCTCCCAAGTGCACGGTGACCTGCGGCCGGGGGCTGCGCTACCGGGTCGTGCTGTGCATCAACCATCGCGGGCAGCACGTGGGCGGCTGCAACCCTCAGCTGAAGTTACACATCAAGGAGGAGTGTCTCATCCCCGTCCCCTGTTACAAACCCAAAGGTGGGCGTGCATTTTATTCTTTCGTTCATTCACCTACTTACTAGAGGCCCGGTGCACGAATTCGTGTGCGGGTGGGGTCCCGTGGCCTGGGCAGCCATCAGGGCCTATCAGGCCCGTCTCACCCAGTCCCAATGGGGGCCAATGGGGGCCCGGCCAGCTGGGGGGAGGGACCGTGGGAGGTTGGCTGTGGGAGCAAACTGACCACCAGGGGCAAACATTCAATGCAGGAGCTGCCCCCTGGTGGTCAGTGAGCATCATAGCAACCAGTCAACCAGTTGTTCGGACATAACGGTCGCTTAGGTTTTTATAAATATAGATTATTTTTGTTAATCCTCCCCCAAGGATATTTTTCCATTGATTTCTAGAAAGAGTGGAAGGGAGGGGGAGAGAGAGAGACAGAGAGAAACATCGATGTGAGAGAGACGCATGGATTGGTTGCCTCCCCCATGTGGCATGACCAGGGCCAGGGATCCAGCCTGCAACCGAGGTACGTGCCCTTGGCTGGAATCGAACCCAGGACCCTTCAGTCCACAGGCCGACACTCTATCCACTGAGCCACACCGGCTAGCACAGTGGGTTTGCAGATTAAAGTTACATTGAATGGTGTTTCCTGGCTCTCGTTCTAATATTGCAGCGTTTACATTTCATTGTATTAACATTCTTTTTTAAAAATATGTATTTATTTTTCTTGATGTCAGAGAGGAAGGGAGAGGGAGAGAAAGAAACATCCATGATGAGAGAGAATCACGGATCGGCTGCCTCCTGCACGCCCCCCACTGGGGATCGAGCCCAGAACCCGGGCCTGTGCCCTTGACTGTGAATCGAACCCTGACCTCCTGGTTCATAGGTTGACGCTCAGCCACGGAGCCACGCCGGCCGGGCGAAGCACGACCTGTTTACTGATGAAATCTTCAGCAGGAACGGCGGCACCCCAGTCCTTCGTGCTTCATGGTAATAGCTAAGCTTGTGGCTTCTGTTCTTCTTTCCTTAGAAAAGAGCCCGGTGGAGGCAAAGCTGCCTTGGCTGAAGCAAGCCCGGGAGCTGGAGGAGACCAGGGTGGTGACGGAAGAACCGACGTGAGTAGAGGACCTTTTTTATCTTTATTGATGTCAGAGAGGAAGGGAGAGGGAGAGAGAGAAACATCCATGATGAGAGAGAAGCATGGACCGGCCGCCTCCTGCACGCCCCCCACTGGGGATGGAGCCCATAACCCGGGCCTGCGCCCTGACCGGAATCGAACCCTGACCTCCTGGTTCCTAGGTTGATGCTCAGCCACGGAGCCACGCCGGGCTGCCAGCCGGGCTGTGGAGGGCCTTTTAGCTCCTAGAGTGCCGGGAGGCTGGGAGAGCGCCCACAGCCAGGACAGGTGCTGGGACAGCAGGTGCCACGTCCGACCCGTGACGTGTGTGCGTTATTTACGGAGACGGCGATGCACAGGGTGTGAGGGAAGCGGATCGCAGAGGTCATGCGGTCACCCTCCTTGTCAGAGCAGGAGTCTCTCTCTCTTTTTTAAATAAATATCTTTTTATTGGTTTCAGAGAGGAGGGGAGAGGGAGGGGGAGAGAGAAACATCCATGATGAGAGAGAATCACGGACCGGCCGCCTCCTGCACGCCCCCCACCTGGGGATGAGCCCACACCCCGGGCCTGTGCCCTGACCGGGAATCGAACCCGGGACCCTTCAGTCCGCAGGCCGACACTCTATCCACTGAGCCACACCGGCCAGGGCAGGACTCCGCTCTTTATCATCGCCCACAGTGGGCAGCGTCTCTGAGAGGCCGTGTGTTTTGTGTCGTCGGCAAGATGCTTCGTCTGTGGAGCCAAAAGGCACCTCCTTCAGACGCCTGCTTTCTGCCCCAGTTGGCGTGGCTCAGTGGTTAGAGCGCCGGCCTTGGACCCAAGGGTCTCGGGTTCGATTCCGGTAAAAGGACACATACCTCAGTGGTAGGCTGGGTTCCTGGTCTCGCTTTCAACATCAGAAACACTGTGCGCTGTACGGGATTGGAAAAGGGGGTGATAGCAGGTAGCGGCAGTGGGTTCCGCCCCTTCTCATTCCCGGCCTGCACTTCCTGTCAGTCCCACCCAACCTCGCTGGCGGGTCCTTTCTCTGCACGATCCAGGAGTGGAGCCAACCTGCCCTTTCCTCCTGGGGGACCTGCTTCATCCTCCTGGCAGGGTGCATGGAACCCACAGGTGCAGAGAGCCCACAGGTGCAGGGAGCCCACAGGTGCAGGGAGCCCAAAGGTGCATGGAACCCACAGGTGCATGGACCCCACAGGTGCAGAGAGCCCACAGGTGCAGGGAGCCCACAGGTGCAGGGAGCCCACAGGTGCACGGAGCCCACAGGTGCAGGGAGCCCACAGGTGCAGGTAGCCCACAGGTGCAGAGAGCCCACAGGTGCAGGGAGCCCACAGGTGCAGGGAGCCCAAAGGTGCATGGAACCCACAGGTGCAGGGAGCCCACAGGTGCAGAGAGCCCACAGGTGCAGGGAGCCCACAGGTGCACGGAGCCCACAGGTGCAGGGAGCCCACAGGTGCAGAGAGCCCACAGGTGCAGAGAGCCCACAGGTGCAGGGAGCTCACATGTGCAGGGAGCCCACAGGTACAGGGAACTCACAGGTGCAGGGAGCTCACAGGTGCAGAGAGCCCACAGGTGCAGGGAGCCCACAGGTGCAGAGAGCCCACAGGTGCAGGGAGCCCACAGGTGCAGAGAGCCCACAGGTGCAGAGAGCCCACAGGTGCAGGGAGCCCACAGGTGCAGGGAGCCCACAGGTGCAGGGAGCCCACAGGTGCAGGGAGATCACAGGTGCAGGGAGCCCACAGGTGCAGTGAGCTCACAGGTGCAGGGAGCCCGCAGGTGCAAGGAGCCCACAGGTGCAGGGAGCCCACAGGTGCAGGGAGCCCACAGGTGCAGGGAGATCACAGGTACAGGAAGCTCACAGGTGCAGGGAGCCCACAGGTGCAGGGAGCTCACAGGTGCAGGGAGCCCACAGGTGCAGGGAGCTCACAGGTGCAGGGAGCCCACAGGTGGATGAGCCCACAGGTGGATGAGCCCACAGGTGCAGGGAGCCCACAGGTGCAGGGAGCTCTCAGGTGGATGAGCCCTCAGGTGCAGGGAGCTCACAGGTGGATGAACCCTCAGGTGGACAGAGCCCCCCAGCACTTGTTCCCCAAGCAGAGCTGCCCGGCCTCCCACCCTCACCCTCTCCTCTGTGGTCCCCCGACTTCCTGTGTCACTCCCACGCTGAGTCCCAGGTGCTCCTGGCTGTGGAGTGTGAAGTCTGTGGGTCCCTCCGCCCCCCTGGCTGTGCATTCCCTGGATTTCCGAACAAAACCGCAGCGCGGCTCGGCCTCCAGCCGCCCTGTAATCACGCGTCTGTGTGGCCGGGAAGCTGCTGCTGACAAGGGAGGAAGAGGCGGAGACGCGGGGTCTGAGCCGGCTCTCCGGGCCCCGAGGGAAGCCGCCGGAGTCCTGGGCGGAGATCAACGTTTCTGCGTCCGTGGCTGCCAGGGCCGGGCTCCGGACTGACACAGGGCGAGGATGTTCAAGGGCCTTTGTTTGTTTGCTTTTAATTAGGAAAATGGAAATGATCGCTTCTGAGGCTGAGCCCAGGAACGCTCAGCGCTGGCCTCCTTGGCTTTCAGCTGCGGACGTGTGGGCAGCGCATACGGCGCCTTCTCGTTTCATTATTTTTAAAAACAATTTGTAAAATATAATTTTATGGATGTCAGAGAGGAAGGGAGAGGGAGAGAAAGAGAGAAACATCCATGATGAGAGAGAATCATGGACCAGCTGCCTCCTGCACGCCCCCCACTGGGGATGGAGCCCGCAACCCAGGCCTGTGCCCTGACCGGGAATCGAACCCGGGACCCTTCAGTCCGCAGGCCGACGCTGTACCCACTGAGCACACCGGCCAGGGTGCCTCATGGTTTTAAAACAGTGGTTCTCAACCTTCCTGATGCCGCGGCCCTTTAATACAGCTCCTCATGCTGTGGGGACCCCCAACCATAACGTTATTTTCGTGGCTGCTTCATCGCTGTCATGTTGCTACAGTTATGAATCGTCATGTAAATATCTGATGTGCAGGATGGATTTGCATGGTTACACATTGAACATCATGAAAGCACAGTGATGAATCACAAAAACAATATGTCATTATAGATGTGTTTCCGATGGCCTTAGGCGACCCCTGTGAAAGGGTCTTCGGCCCCCAAAGGGGTTGCGACCCTCAGGTTGAGAACCGCTGTTTTAAAAGCTCCTCCCTGGAGTCCCTGTGGTTTCTGAAATAAAAAAAATAATACATTTTTTAACATTTTTTTATTGATTTTAGAGAGGAAGGGAGAGGGAGAGAGAGAAACATCAACAATGAGAGAGAATCACCCATGGCTGCCCTCTGCACGCCCCCTACTGGGGATGCAGCCCACAACCCGGGCCTGTGCCCTTGACGGGAATCGAACCCTGGACCCCTCAGTCCGCAGGCTGACGCTCTACCCACTGAGCCACACCGGCCGGGGCCAAAAACATATGTATTTTAACAACCTAGAGCATTCGGACCAGATTGGCTGTGGTGGGAATGAAGCTGTTTTCCCCTCCACTGGATGCTCGTCCCCACCCCCACCCCCGCCCCCGGGCCTGCGAGTGACCCGTGTCCCCCCCTGGTTTCCCCGCAGGTTCATCCCGGAGCCCTGGTCCCCCTGCAGCGCCCCCTGCGGGCCGGGCGTGCAGGTGCGGGAGGTCCGGTGCCGCGTGCTGCTCACCTTCACGGAGACGGAGACGGAGCTGCCGGCCGAGGAGTGCGAGGGCCCCGCGCCGCCCACCCGGCGGCCCTGCCAGCGGCGGGCCTGTGGCCGCGGCCCCCCGGGCCTGGGCGCGCCCCTCCCCGCCGCGGACGGCGCGCTGACCTACCACTGGGAGTACGCGGGCTTCACCCCCTGCACGGCCACCTGCCTGGGAGGTACTGGCCCGGGCTGCGGGGTCGGGATGCTCGAGAAAACTCCCCTTAGGAGCAGGGAGCGGGCCCGGCTCGTGTGGCTCAGTGTGGAGCGCCGGAGCTGCTGGTGTCGTTTCCCCGGTTGCGGGCTCGGTCCCCAGTAGGGGGCGCGCAGGAGGCAGCCGGTCCATGATTCTCGCCCAGCTAAAGGCTGTCCCAAAATTCACGCAAGAAGTAATGTTGATAGAAACACAGGTTTATAATTAAAAACTGTAAATTTTTTATTGATTCACAAAGTAGACAGTCTAGGGTTATGTGTGGAATAGCACATCGGGTCCATGGCCTCCCCGGCTTTGCTGGCACAGACGCAAAGCCGCGGTCTTCATGGGTCTCCCTGGTCCCTGCTCCTGGGCCATCATTGGTCCTTGGGGATGCTTATCCAATGGAAGGGATTGGCATCCAAGGGCAACAGATATGAGAATCTGATCCAATCAGCCAAGTCAAATCGGGCTTTTATTTGTTGTTGTTGTTGTTAATGCTCACGCAGAATGCAAATCTTGCGTGAATTTTGGGACACCCTTTATAATAATAAAAGCATAATATGCTCATTAGACCGGACATCCTTCTGGACATCCTTCCGGACAACCTTCCAGACAAAGCCAGGGGTGCGAGGGAAGCCGGTGCTGGCAGCCGGGGGAAGGAAGGCCTCCGCTTGCACAAATTTCGTGCATCGGGCCCCTAGTCATTAATGTTTCTCTCTGCCTCTCCTTCCTCTCTGAAATCAATAAAAAAAATATATATATATAAAACAATGGAACGCTCCAGAAGGAAAGGGAAAGGCAACGTAATCCACAGATTATCCTGAAAAGATGGAAGGGGAGGGAGTAGGAAGCGCCGTCGTGGAGATCAGCCTTAAAGAGTCAGAGGGGGCCCTGGCCGGTGTGGCTCAGTGGATAGAGCGTCGGTCTGTGGACCGAAGGGTCCCGGGTTCGATTCCCGGTCAAGGGCACGTGCCCAGGCTGCGGTCTCGATCCCCAGCGGGAGGCGTGCAGGAGGCAGCCGACCCTTGATGCTCTCTCATCACTGATGTTTCTCTCTCTCTTCCTCTCCCTTCCTCTCTGGAATCCATTTAAATAAATAAAGTGTTTTAGAAAAGGGGCTGGAAGGGGAGGGGAGCCCCAGGTGGATAGAGCGGGGAGGGAAGGTTAGAGTGAGGGCCCCCTCCGTGGCCGGGACCCGATAACACCCGAGAGCAGGGAGCTCCTATCTGGGGGTGCCTAGTCACCTGTGTGGGAACATGTGTGTGGAAACGGATTTGTAGGCGAAGGGACAGGCCTCTGAGGCCACGGGCTGGTATGCAGCTATCATACCGCTGACGGCAGTGCGTTCGGATCTAATACGGGGTCATGCATAGACGTAGACGCGTGCCTGAGCGATACTGATCCATGCAGGCCTACTCCATTCCCATGGCGCAGGCCAAGATGGCCGTCCTGGCCCCGGTGTGGCTCAATGGATAGAGCGTCGGCCTGCGGACTGAAGGGTCCCGGGTTCAATTCCCGCTCCAGGGACATGTCCGGGTTGCGGGCTGGATCCCCAGTGGGGGGCGTGCAGGAGGCAGCCGGTTCATGATTCTCTCATCATGGATGTTTCTCTCTCTCTCTCTCTCCCCCTCCCTTCCTCTCTGAAAACAATAAAAATATATTTAAAAAGAAAAAGACAGCCCTAGCCGGTGTGGCTCAGTGGATAGAGTCTCAGCCTGTGGACAGAAGGGTCCCGGGTTCGATTCCCGGTCAGGGCACATGCCTGGGTTGCGGGCTCCATCCCCAGTGGGGGGCGTGCCAGAGGCAGCCGGTCCATGATTTCCTCTCATGATGGATGTTTCTCTCTCTCTCTCTCTCCCTCTCCCTTCCTCTCTGACATCAATAAAAATATATATTTTTTAACAACAACAAGTTTATGGACGATGCCTGGATATTTCAGACTGGTCCTGCCGTGGCCAGGAACCTAAGATTACAACCCAAGGAAGCAGGAAAGAGTTTAGTCAAAAAACCTAAGCCTCACAGACACGTATTGGCTATCTCCTCTGGCAAACAAACACCGCGTTCTGTAAAATAGTGTCCGGGGCTGGATTGCAGCGTGGCGTTGGGAAAAAAGAACCGCCATCTCCCGACATCATGGAACCCACATTCCTGCCTGGCACTGGATACATTTGCGTGTTTCCACCAGCCAGTCGGTTGCGGTGACAAATTTTCTCTGATTTTTGTTGTTGTCGTCGAGCGTTTGATTTATCGTCTGTTCCGATCTGATTCCCCGATCATTCCTTCCATCGCGACGGACAAGGGCTGGCGGTGGGGGCGTGGGCTTTGGGGTGAGACGCCCCTGTCTGGCCGGAAGGAGTGCGGCCGGGAGGGTTTCTGTTTGGACGGGGAGGGGCCGCTGCTTGGGGGCGCCGGTGGCCATACTGTATCTTGGAATCCTCTAGGACATGGAGAGACCGCGGAATAGAAGGCAGGAAATCACTCTTTTAGTCTCCAGTCGACCCCTTCTTTGGTGCCTTCATTTTCCCTCCAAACCTCAGACTCCTTACTTTGTTGTGTGTGTGTGTGTGTGTGTGTGTGTGTGTGAGAGAGAGAGAGAGAGAGAGAGAGAGAGAGAGAGAGAGAGAGAGAGAGTTTTTTTAAAATATGTTTTTATTGATCTCAGAGAGGAAGGGAGAGAGAGAAACATCCATGATGAGAGAGAATCATGGATCGGCCGCCTCCTGTGTGCCCCCCACTGGGGATGGAGCCGGCCACCCGGGCCTGTGCCCTGACCGGGAATCAAACCCTGACCTCCTGGTTCCTAGGTTGATGCTCAACCACTGAGCCACACGGGCCGGCTTGCTTTTTGTTTTTATGTTGTTTTAGTTTGTTAATCCTCGCCCCAGGATTATTTTTCCATTGATTTTTAGAGAGAGCGGAAGGGAGAGGGGAGAGGGAGAGAGAGAGAGAGAAACACGGATGTGAGAGAGACACGCGCCCCGACCAGGGCCAGGGATCGAGCCTGCAATGGAGGTACATGCCCTTGGCTGGAATCAAACCCGGGACCCTTTGGTCTGAGGGCCAACGCGCTGTCCACTGAGCCACACCAGCCAGGGCCATGCGCTTCCTGTTAGAGGACCACCATGGAGATAGTGACCCTGCTCGTTTGACCTCACAAGGAGACGGTGGCCTCGAATCATCCGTTTGAAAGCCCTTTCCCCACGGGAGGTATAGCAAGTAGACCAGGCGTTCTCAGCCTGCGGGTCGCGACCCCTTTGGCGGTCGAACGACCCTTGCACAGGGGTCGCCTAAGACCACCCTGCCTATCAGGTATTTACGTGACGATTCATCACAGGAGCGACATGACAGCGATGAAGTGGCCACGGAAATAATGTTATGGGTGGGTCCCCACAGGAGGAGCCGTATTAAAGGGCCAGAAGGTTGAGAACCACGGAAGGAGACGTATTGCTAATTACAGTGATAGTGAATGAGGAGGAGCTCAGACCATATGAGGACTTTAATGAAGGTTATGCATCCAAGTTAGCACCTGTGCAGGGATATGGAGAAAATGTTCATTTCAGAGAGGAAGGGAGAGAGAGAGAGAGAGAGAGAGAGAGATCAGTGATGAGAGAGAATCATGGGCCGGCTGCCTCCTGCACGCCCCCCACTGGGGATCGAACCCACAAGCTGGGCCTGTGCCCTGACCGGGAATCGAACCCTAACTCTCTCTCCCTCTCCCTTCCTCTCTGAAATCAATTAAAAATAATTTTTTTAAAAAATATAAAAGACTTAAAAACAATCACTTGCACTTTTGTCTCTCTCCACCCTCCAGGCCACCAAGAGGCCATCGCGGTGTGTCTACACGTCCAGACCGGGCAGACGGTCAACGACTCGCTGTGCGACGCGCTGCACCGCCCGCCCGCCATGAGCCAGGCCTGCAACACGGAGCCCTGCCCGCCGCGGTACGTCCCGTCTCCTGCTCCCGGGACGCGGGCCTGCGCGCGGAGCCATGGGGTCCGCCCACGGCTGGCCTCCCGGCCTGCTCCCAGCTCTCCCTCCTCCGCTCAAGCTATGCTGCCGCCAGATTCATTTTTTAAATATATGTATATTTTTAAATATATTTCTTTATTGATTTCAGAGAGGAAGGAAGAGGGAGAGAGAGAGAAACATCCATGATGAGAGAGAATCACAGACCGGCTGCCTCCTCCACGCCCCAGGCTGGGGATGGAGCCCGCAATCTGGCATGTGCCCTTGGCCGGAATCGAACCTGGGACCCTTCAGTCCGTAGGCCGATGCTCTATCCACTGAGCCAAACTGGCCAGGGCTGTTTTTTTGTTGTTTTTTTCTTATTCCTACCCAAGGAGTGAGGCTACTTTTTTTCCATTGATTTTTTTTTTTTTAAGAGAGACTAGAGGGGGGAGAGAGAAACATGCCCCCCACTGGGATCGAGCCCGCAACCCGGGCCTGTGCCCTGACCGGGAGTTGAATGCGTGACCTACTCGTTCATGGGTTGGCGCTCAACCACTGAGCAACACCAGCTGGGCATGTCTTATTCTGTTTTTAAATTAAGTATATTTTTATTGATGTCAGAGGGGAAGAGAGAGAGAGAGAGAGAGACATGATGAGAGAGGATCACGGACCGGCCGCCTCCTGCACGCCCCACACTGGGGATCGAGCCCACAACCCGGGCCTGTGCCCTGACCGGGACTCGAACCCTGACCTCCTGGTTCATAGGTCGATGCTCAACCACTGAGCCACATTGCCTGGGCCATTTCTTGCCTTTAAACCTCACCCATGCCCTGGCCGGTTTAGCTCAGTGGATAGTCAGCTGCGGACTGAAGGGTCCCAGGTTCGATTCCTGGTCGGGGCACAGGCCCAGGTTGTGGGCTCGATCCCCAGTGGGGGGCGTGCAGGAGGCAGCCGGTCCGTGATTCTCTCTCATCATGGATGTTTCTCTCTCTCTCCCTCTCCCTTCCTCTCTGAAATCAATACGAATATATATATTTTAAAAAATAAACCTCACCTTTTTGCACCTGAGCTGCAACTATCGCTGGAAAGGCTGTGCTTGGGTGTGACGTCTGCGCGGGATCTGAGGACCTGAGATCGTCCGCCTTTCACGTTGCACGCGGTCTCGTGGCACCGTCCAACCTCTCGCTGCTTCTCCAGGTGGCACACGGGCTCCTGGGGGCCCTGCTCCGCGACCTGCGGCGTGGGCATCCAGACGCGGGACGTGTACTGCCTGCACCCCGGGGAGACGCCCGTCCCGGCCGCCGAGTGTGGCGACGACAAGCCCCACGCCCTGCAGGCCTGCAATCAGTTCGACTGCCCTCCCGGCTGGCACATTGACGACTGGCAGCCGGTAGGCAGCCTGTACGCACCCCCACCCCCCGGCCCCCGCCAGGCTCCTGGGGGTGAGCCCGGCCCCGACGCCCCTCCTCCGTCCCCTCAGTGTCCCAGGACATGCGGCGGGGGCACCCAGCACCGGAGGGTCACCTGCCGGCAGCTGCTGACCGACGGCAGCTTCCTGACGCTCTCCGATGAACTGTGCCACGGCCCCAAGGCCTCGTCCCGTAAGTCCTGCGCCAGGACCGACTGCCCTCCGCAGCTCTCCGTGGGCGACTGGTCCCAGGTGAGGGCCCTTCCCGGCTTCGCGGGCCCTGCTTTGTTTTATTAAAACGCTAGAGGCCCGGTGCACGGATTCGTGCACCGGTGGGTCCCTCGGCTGGGCCGAAATCGGCTCTCCAGCATCCCCCGAGGGGTCCCAGGTTGCAAGAGGGCGCAGGCCAGGCTGAGGGACCCCACTGTTGCACCATCGGGGCCGGGGAGGGGTGTGCTCCAGCCCCTCTCACCCAGTCCCAATCGGCCGGACCCCAGCAGCAAGCTAACCTACTGGTGGGAGCGTCTGCCCCCTGGTGGTCAGTGTGCATCATAGCGACTGGTCGAATGGTCGAACAGTCAAAGGGACAATTAGTATATTGGGCTTTTATTTTTTTTTTAAAATATATTTTATTGATTTTTTACAGAGAGGAAGGGAGAGAGATAGAGAGTTAGAAACATCGATGAGAGAGAAACATTGATCAGCTGCCTCCTGCACATCTCCCACTGGGGATATGCCCGCAACCCAGGTACATGCCCTTGACAGGAATCGAACCTGGGACCTTTCAGTCCGCAGGTCGATGCTCTATTCACTGAGCCAAACCGGTTTCGGCGTATATTGGGCTTTTATACATAGACTAGAGGCCCGGTGCACGAAATTTGTGCAAGAGTAGGCCTTTCTTCCCCCAGCTGCCAGCAGAAACCCGGGACCCAGGCTTCCCTCGCAGCCCAGGTTTCGTCCGGAGGGTCATCCGGAAGGACGTCCAGAAGATGTCTGGTCTAATTAGCATATTGTGCTTTTATTATTACAGATATTTTTATTTATTTCAGAGAGGAAGGGAGAGGAAGGGAGAGAGAGAAACATCCATGATGAGAGAGAATCACGGATCGGCTGCCTCCTGCACGCCCCACACTGGGGATCAAGTCTGCAATCCGGGCCTGTGCCCTGACTGGGAATTGAACCCATGACCCTTGGTCCTCGGGCCGATGTTCTAACCACTGAACAGAACCAGCCAGGGCTCAGCCACTCTTTTAATTGAATTTCACTTTAATTTTTTTCCTAATAAAACTGCCCATGTGCCTCATGGAAGATTTCCCATAGCGGTCATTAAAACTTTAACTGGCAGGTACACACAATGATTATCAAATATCAACTTGCACAATGAGCATTCCATATTAACGATGTTTTATGTATAGCAGTTTGAATGATTTTTAAAAAAAAAAAAACTTTCCTTTTATATACTTGTGTGTCTTTAATTCTTACCATTTTTTGAAATATGTTTTTATTGATTTCAGAGAGGAAGGGAGAGGGAAACATCCATGATGAGAGAGAATCATTGATTGGCTGCCTCCTGCACGCCCCACACTGGGGATCAAGCCTGCAACCCAGGCCTGTGCCCTGACCGGGAATCGAACCCTGACCTCCTGGTTCATAGGAGCATGCACAACCACTGAGCCACACCGGCCGGGAAATTCTTGGTCATTTTAATTTTTTTTAAAGCAGTCACCTTACTATATAGACAAATAGCTTAAACATATTAGACATCAATTACAAGAGATGTTACAAGAGAGACATAACCCGACAATGAATTACAGGAAATTAATGACTGTCTGGGAGAGAAAGAACGGAGGGCAGGAGAGAGGAGAAAAGACAGGGAAACTCTCCATGTCTTAAAAGGCAATGGCGGCCCGGCCGGCTGGTGTGGCTCAGTGGTTGAGCACCGACCTAGGACCCAGGAGGTCACGGTTCGATTCCCGGTCAGGGCACAGGCCCGGGTTGCGGGTTCGATCCCCAGTGGGGGGCATGCAGGAGGCGGCTGATCCATGATTCTCTCTCATCATGGATGTTTCTCTCTCTCTCTCCCTTCCACTCTGAAATCAATAAAAATATATTTTAAGCCCTAGTCGGTTTGGCTCAGTGGATAGAGCGTCAGCCTGCAGATGGAAGGGTCCCGGGTTCGATTCTGGTCAAGGGCACATGTCTGGGTTGCCGGCTCAATCCCCAGTAAGGGACATGCAGGAGGCAGCCAATCAATGATTCTTATCATTGGTGTTTTTCCCTCTCACCATCCCCCTTCCTCTCTGAAATCAATAAAAATATATTAAAAAATATATATAGACTAGAGGCCCGGTGCACAAAATTCATGCACAGAGGGGTGGTCCCTTAGCCCAACCTGCACCCTCTCCAACCCAGGACCCCTCGGGAGATGTCCCACAGGGATCGGGCCTAAACCGGCAGTCGGACATCCCTCTTGCAATCCGGGACTGCTGGCTCCTAACCACTCACCTGCCAGCCTGCCTGATCTCCCCTAACCGCTCTCCCCTGCAGGCCTGATCACCCCTAACTGCCTCTGCCTTGGCCCCTGCCACTGTGGCTTTTGTCCGGAAGGACGTCCGGAAGACGTCTGGTCTAATTAGCACATTACCCTTTTATTAGTATAGATATGCATATATATGTCTATTTAAAAACGATGGCGCTAGGGAACGGCCATGCGTCGACGCTCCCGTGCCCGCAGTCCCCTCTGGCCCGCCGTCTGCTGCGCAGGCTCCGTTCACGCTGTCGCCCCGTTCCCCCCGCAGTGCTCCGTCAGCTGTGGTGTGGGGACCCAGCGGAGGAAGCAGGTGTGCCAGAGGCTGACGGCCAAGGGCCGGCGGGTCCCCGTCAGCGAGGCCCTGTGCGGGGAGCTTCCGGGGCCCCCTCTCGTGCGGTCCTGCCAGATGCCGGCCTGCAGCAGTAAGTATGTGGACACCTGTGCGTCTTGTTCCAATGGCTTCCTATCATCCAAATAGCAACTGACTTTCATTGAGAGGAAGGGAGGGAGGGGGACAGGAGAGGGAAGGAGAGAGAGAGACCTTGATTTGTTCTTCCACTTTTTAAAAAATACATATTGATGTCAGAGAGGAAGAGGAAGGGAGAGGGAGAGAGAGGGAGAGACATCCATGATGAGAGAGAATCAGGGATCGGCTGCCTCCTGCACGCCCCGCACTGGGGATCGAGCCCACAACCCGGGCATGTGCCCTGACCAGGAATCAAACCCAGGACTCTTCAGTCCCCAGACCGACGCTCTATCCACCGAGCCACACTAGCTAGAGCTATTGTTCCACTAATTTATGCATTCATTGGTAGCTCCTTGTATGTGCCCTGACCGGGAATCGAACCTACAACCTTGGTGTAGTAGGCCGGCGCTCTAACCACTGACATACCCAGCCAGGGCTCGATGGGGTATTTCTAATCTGTAGGTCAAGCGAGCCCATCAGAAGTTAGAATTGTTGTAAGCAGCTTAAGGACTAGCTGCCCACAGGACAAATGTATTTTAGGTCTCTCTTTTAAAGAAATTACATCCTACGCCGGCCAGATGAGATAAGCATTTTTTTAAGTATCCAATTATTGCATTTTCAGGATACACGAGAGCATACGTGTTACACGTGCACATGTATGTTTGATGCATGAGGGTGACGAGAAAGGAATTGTGGGCTGTCCCTACAGCACGTGAAAATAGGGCAGCACATGTGCAGGAAGGAGGTAGGGAGGGGGCCAGGTTTATATTTCACCACCTTTCATTATTCACCTGGAAAGTGGCATTAATGATTTCAGGCACTTTACTGCGCTTATGGCAAGAAAAAAGAAATCCGAAACTGTTAATTTTTTTTTAAATATATGTATTATTTTTTTAAGAGGAAGGGGGGAGAGAGAGAAATATCAATGATGAGAGAGAACCATGGATCGGCTGCCTCCTGCACGCCCCCCACTGGGGATGGAGCCCGCAACCCAGGCCTGTGCCCTGACCGGGAATCACACTTTGACCTCCTGGTTCATAGGTTGACGCTCAACCACGGAACCACACCGGCCTGGCAGTTAACTGTTATTTTAATACAGCTAGGGGAAATATATATATATATATATATATATATATATATATATATATATATATATATATATATATTTAATTTATTTTCTTAAGTTCACCAACAACTTGCAAAACAAAGCAAGAAACACAATAACAACCTTTAAAAAAGTAATAGCATTGTTCCGCCGGCCTGGCTCAGTGGTTGGGCATCGACCTATGAACCAGGAGGTCACGGTTCGATTCCCGGTCATGGGCACATGCCCAGATTTCGGGCTCCATCCCCAGCATGGGGTGGGCAGGAGGCAGCCGATGCATGATTCTCTCTCATCACGGCTGTTTCTCTCTCCCTCTCCCTCTCCCTTCTTGTCTGAAACCAACAAAAATATATATTTTTAAAAACTAAAGCACTTACTGGGCACTCATTAAGTGGAGTTCCTTTTGAGCACCAACTCATTTATTTGGAGGCAGATATAGTCCTTGTTTAGAGACGAGGAATCCAAGATTTGGAGACGGTCTGAGACCTGACCAGGCCCTAGCTGCCCGTTGGCCCCCGGGCCCGCTAACCACAGTCTGTCTGATCGCTAAGCCCAGGCTCCCAGCCTCCTCTCCCTGCTGATTCATGGACGACATGAATGGGGCCTTTTTGGGGGGCGGGGGGGGGGCAGCGGTGCCCCTGGGAATTGTTTGAAAACACATTTTCGAAGTCTTGCGCTTCCGAGAATTTGTGATCCCCAGACGCACGGTGCCCCGGGATCCTGGAATTCAGGACCGTCTGACAGGCCGTCGCGCTCCGAGCTGCGTCGTCTCGTTTTCGTGAGCTGTGGGTGGTTTTACAGCCCCGTGGCCAGACCACAGGCTGCCCGAGAGCAGGGAGGAATGAAAGCCACGCCGGCGGCTCCCGCTAAAATAACAGAATAACATGTGGGGAGACGGCGCGGTCAGGGGGGCGTGCCATGTGGTCCGAGATGACATCATACATGACTGTGCAGCTGGCGGGGACCGAGGAAGACGATAAGCCTTAAGGTGGAAAAAAGAAGGAAAATGACTAATATGTCTGCCCGGCCCACGTGGCTAAGGGGTGGAGGGTTGAGCCTATGAACCAGGAGGACAGGGTTCGATTCCCGGTCAGGGCACAGGCCTGGGTTGCGGGCTCGATCCCCAGTGGGGGGCGTGCAGGAGGCAGCCGATCCGTGATTCTCTCTCATCATGGATGTTTCTCTCTCTCTCCCCGTCTCCCTTCTTCTCTGCAATCAATTTTTTAAAAAAGGTTAGAATGGGAAATAAAAATTTAAAAAAGTCACCCAGTCCACCCGTGCTGTGATCTGTATCCCACTCCCAGGAACCCATCCTGATTGGTGCGTTGGCTTTTAAACATTTCCGTGGAAGCCCATGCCTCCCCAAACCGGGGCTTTGCAAAATAACACGTTTTCACGCATTGCATTGGAAGTTGCATTCTTTGCTGCTCAAGGCCCAAGATAGTTGTGCAATTTACTCTCATCTACGAGTGTCTACCGTTCGTTATTCAGGTTTTAATTCTCAGGTGGTTTTCTGTGTGCTTTGTTCTGTGTTTTATTGATTTCAGAGAGGAAGGGAGAGGGAGAGAGGAAGAGAGAGAAATATCCATGATGAGAGAGAATCATGGACCGGCTGCCTCCTGCACGCCCCACACTGGGGATCGAGCCCACAACCCGGGCCTGTGCCCTGACCGGGAATCGAACCCTGACCTCCTGGTTCCTAGGTCAACACTCAACTGCTGAGCCTCACCAGCTGGGCTTCTGGTGTTTTCAAAGAGGAAAAAATATACATTTGTTGGATCGTGTCAGCCTTGAAATATTGCTGTTGAAAACTTTTATTCCTGAGATGTTTGTTGGTATTTTTTATTATTATTATTATTATTATTATTATTATTATTATTATTATTAGAGGCCCGGTGCATGAAATTCGTGCACAGACAGGGGGATCCCTCAGCCCGGCCTGCACTCTCTCCTATCCGGTCCTGCCTGATCGATCCCTAACCTCTCTGCCTGCCTGCCTGATCGATCCCTAACCTCTCTGCCTGCCTGCCTGCCTGATCGACCCCTAACCTCTCTGCCTGTCTGCCTGATTGCCCCTAACCACTCTGCATGCCAGCCTAATCCCCCTAACTGCTCCCCTGCCAGCCTGGTTGCCCCTAACTGCCCTCCCCTGCCGACCTGATCGTCCCTAACTGCCTCTGCCTCGGCCCCCACCACCATGGCTTTGTCTGGAAGGACGTCCAAAAGATGCCTGGTCTAATTAGCATACTACCCTTTTATTAGTATAGATTGATTGATGTCAGAGAGGAAGGGAGAGGGAGAGAGAGATAGAAACATCCATGATGAGAGAGAATCACGGACCGGCTGCCTCCTGCACGCCCCACACTGGGGATGGAGCCCGCAACCCGGGCCTGTGCCCTTGACCGGGAATCAAACCTGGGACCCTTCCATCCGCAGGCCGACGCTCTATCCACTGAGCCACACCAGCTGGGGGGGCGCTTGTTTCTTTGTTTTCCCCACAGAGAGGAAAGCAGAGACGCAGCCAACGCCCCGGGAGCAGGGTCCCCAGATCCTGGCCGTCCCGCGCGTGTACATCCAGACCCGGGAGGAGAAGCGTGTCCACCTGACGGTGGGCGGCAGGGCCTACCTGCTGCCCAACACGTCGGTGCTGATCCGGTGCCCGGTGCGCCGCTTCCAGAAGGCCCTGATCCAGTGGGAGAAGGACGGCCGCTGCCTGCAGCCCTCTGAGCACTGGGGCGTCACCAAGTCGGGGTCCCTGAAGATCCACGGCCTGGCCGCCCCCGACGGCGGTGTGTACGGCTGCGTGGCCGGCCCTGCCCGGGAGACCTTGGTCCTCAAGCTCATCGGCACCGACAACCGGCTCATCGCGCCCCCGGCCCCCGGGGAGCGCTCCCGGGGACCCCCGGCCACGGGCCAGGGCCGAGCTGACACTGTGGGGGCCACCTGGCAGGCCATGAGGCAGATGTGGCAGGACCGCAATGAGCTGGATGGGGACGAGGGCCAGGCCCTCCGCGCCCTGCTGGGGCCCTGCCACCCCGGCCACGCAGGCCCCCCCGGGTCCTGGGAGCTGCAAGGCGAGCAGTTTGAAGCCGCCGTCCGGCAGGGCGCCTCCAGCATGGACACGGCCCGGTTCGACGAGCTGATCCGGAACCTGAGCCGGATGATGGAGGCCGGGCAGGTGAGCGACGACCTGGCGTCCCAGGTCATCTACCAGCTGGTGGCCGCGCGCCCCTGGAGGGCCAGCCCGGAGGAGGCGCCTGCCCGGGCTCCGGGGAGCGGGGACCCCGGGGGGCGTGCGCCCCAAGGCCTGAGGGGGAGACACGCGGGCGGGCTGACGGTCCCACCGAAGGGACCGGAGCTGGTGAGGCCGCGGCAGCCGGCGTCGGTGTCATTCAATGCGACCGTCCGTGCCACGATCGGGAGCGCGGTGTACGTCACCAACAGGACGGCGGCCGTCCACCTGCTGTGCCAGCTGGTCGGCCCTGGCGAGGCCGCCTACGCGTGGACCAAGGACGGGGTGCCGCTGCAGCCGTCGGAAAGGTGAGTGGGGGGACCCGCTGCTTCCTTCCGCGAGGCCTGTGTGCTTCCTGTGTGTGTGTGTTTTTAAATGTATTTTTATTGATGTCAGAGAGGAAGGAAGAGGGAGAGAGAGACACACATCCACGCTGAGAGAGAATCCTGGATTGGCTGCCTCCTGCACGCCCCCCACTGGGGATGGAGCCCACAACCCGGCATGTGCCTTTGACCAGAATCGAACCCGGGACCCTTCAGTCCGCAGGCTGACGCTCTATCCACTGAGCCAAACTAGGTAGGGCTTGTTGGTTGTCTTAAAATATATTTTTACTGATTTCAGGCCAGCAGGGGAAGGCAGTTAGGGGCGACCAGGCCGGCAGGGGAGGGTGTTTAGGGGCGACCAGGCCGGCAGGGGAGGGCAGTTAGGGGCAACCAGGCCAGCAGGCAAATGTGTTTAGGGATGTCAGACAGGCAGGTAGAGGTGGTTAGGGGTGATCAGGCAGGCAGGGGTGCAGTTTGGGGCATCAGGCAGGCAGGCAGGTGAGTGTTTAAGAGCCAGCAGCCCTGGATTGCAAGAGGGATGTCCGACTGCCGGTTTAGGCCCGGATCGGGCCTAAACTGGCAGTCGGACATCCCCTGAGGGGTTCCCAGATTGGAGAGGGTGCAGGCCAGGCTGAGGGACCACCCCCATGCATGAATTTTGTGCACCAGGCCTCTAGTCCTATATAATAAAAGGGTAATATGCAAATGGTCCTGGGAGTTCGACTGGAGTTCGACCAGTGGGCAGGGCCAGCCCACCAACTTCCCGCAGGCCCTCCTCCAAGATGACCATGCTCCTGATCAGCCAACCCCTAACCTGGCCGGCCAACCACCCATGTCCCCTACACCAGCAGGCCCGGCCCAATCGCCCCAATCAGGGCAGGCTGGCCAGACCCGACCCATGCACGAATTCGTGCACTGGGCCTCTAGTCACAGAAATAAATTGCCTTGGCAGGAAGATTGGGCCTCTGAAATCGTTTCTATATTGTGCAGTTTTTTTACATCATAAAACCCAAAACTAGGAGATAATGCAGTCCAAAGTTTTCTTGAGTCATTCAAAACAAAATATTAAGTCATATTCTTTTGTACTAGAGTCCCAGTGCACGGATTCATGCACATTGAAAGGAAATTAATTAGAAGAAATGTTTTAGAGGCTGGGGAGGGACCACGGGAGATTGGCTAGCTGAGGCGGGATTGTGGGAGGTAGGCTCCAGGGTGAGTCTGGCCCCTCTCGCCCAGTCCCGATCGGCCAGACCCCAGCAGCAAGCTAACCTACCGGTCGGAGCATCTGCCCCTGGTGGTCAGTGCACGTCATAGCGAGCGGTCGAACGGTCGAATGAACGGTCGGACACTTAGCATATTAGGCTTTTACTATATAGGATTGTGATTGTGAGTGTAACGGTATCACAGTTCATTCACTTTCCGTGAAACAACCGGGAGTAGCAGAAATATTCATTCCTTCTGCATCCTTTACTGTCTCTAAATCTTGCTATTTGCACACGTAAGACGGTAGACATTTCGCTTTTTTAAAATTTGCATTGAATCCCGGCCTGTGTGGCTCAGTGGTTGAGTATCAACCCATGAACCAAGAGGTCGCTGGTTCCATTGCCGGTCATGCCCAGGTTGCAGGTTCGATCCCCAGTAGGGGGCGTGCAAGAGGCAGCCATCGATGTTTCTCTCTCTCTTCCTCTCGCTTCCTCTCTCTCTAAAAACGTATTTTAAAACAGAACATTTGCATTCAAGAACTCAAGCGGCACCTGATCTTTCTCCGGGGACTGGTAAAGAGACACAAACAAAACAGCAGATGCTATATTGTTTTTGCAGACCTTGAGGCATGTTAAAATCACAAGTTTTATTTTTATCACGTCTTTTGTGCATGAACCCGCATCTGTGATCTATCACAGGAAAACAAGAGAAAATTCAGTTTTTTATAATAACACTAGAGGCCCAGTGCGTGAAATTCATGCACTCAGGATGGGGGGGGGGCTCCCTCAGCCCGGATTGCGAGAGGGTACAGGGTAGGTTGAGGGACCCCACTGGTGCATGATTGGGGCTGGGGAGGGACGCAAGAGGTTGGCCATCCGGGAGGGCTCCAGGGCGTGTCCGGCCCGTCTCACTCAGTCCTGATCGGCCAGACCCCAGCAGCAAGCTCACCTACCGGTTGGAGCGTCTGCCCCCTGGTGGTCAGTGCACGTCATAGCAAGTGGTTGAGCGGCCTTAGCATATCATTAGCATATTATGCTTTGATTGGTTGAATGGCCGACCAGATGACTGGACACTTAGCATATTAGGCTTTTATTATATAGGATACTAAGGAAAAGATAAACATGTTTAATTAAAAGAAAGACGGTAGACATTTCGCTTTTTTAAAATTTGCATTGAATCCCGGCCTGTGTGGCTCACTGGTTAAGTATTAACCCGTGAACCAAGAGGTCGTTGGTTCCATTCCTGGTCAGGGCACAGGCCCAGACTGTGGGCTCCATCCCCAGTAGGGGGCGTACAGGAGGCAGCCAATCAATGATTCTCTCTCATCATTGATGTCTCTATCTCTCTCTCTTCTCCCGTCCTCTCTAAAAATCAATAAAAGCGGATTAAAAAATAATTTTTTTTGCCCTGGCGTGAAATGACATTTCAGAAGTGGAATAAACCTCCCAGATCAGCTAGCTTAGCAGTTCTCAAATCTTTCAGTAATTGACTAGCCCTTTAGTAAGGAGTTTTGTGAATTTGAATTGTATCTATTGCTGATTACCACATTGGAAATTAAAACCAAGAAACATTTAGCCCTGGTCGGTTTGGCTCAGTGAATAGAGCGTCCACAGGCGGACTGAAGGGTCCTGGGTTCGATTCCAGGCAAGGGCACGTACCTCGGTTGCGGGCTCAACACCCAGTCCTGGTTAGGATGTTGCATGGGAGGCAACTAATCGATGTGTCTCTCTCACATCAAGGTTTCTCTCTCTCTCTGTCTCTCCTCTCCCTTCCACTCTCTATAAAAATCAATGGGACTCGCTGGCTGGTGTGGCTCAGTGGATAGAGCATCGGCCTGCGGACTGAAGGGTCCCGGGTTCGATTCCGGTCAAGGGCGTGTACCTCGGTTGCGGGCACATCCCCAGTGGGGGGTGTGCAGGAGGCAGCTGATCGATGCTTCTCTCTCATTGATGTTTCTAACTCTCTATCCCTCTCCCTTCCTCTGTAAAAAAATCAATAAAATATATTTTTAAAAAATCAATGGAAAAATATCCTCGGGTGAGGATTAGCAACAACAGCAACAAAAGAAAGAAAAAAAAACAAGAAGCATTTAAAACATCTGTTGATTAATGCATTTAGAAATAACAGTAACCAGCCCATAACATGTTCGCATAAATAACATCATTTTTAAAAAACGTATGTTTTCCAAAAATTTACTAGTAACAGTGGCATCATTTCACATCTTGCAAATTCCTGTCTAGATTAATAAAATGCATCTGGATCCTCCCATGCGCTTCTGCATCCAATCTGTTGGGATATGCTGTTGGAATTGAAGCTCCTGGAGAAAACTTGGCCTCGTGCAGAGATGTTAGTTAGAAAAAGAAGGAAGAGGCTGGTGGGCGTGGCTCAGGGGTTGAGCATCGGCCTAGGAGCCAGGAGGTCAGGGTTCGATTCCCGGTCAGGGCACAGGCCCGGGTCGCGGGCTCGATCCCCAGTGGGGGGCGTGCAGGAGGCAGCCGGTCCATGATTCTCCCTCATCATGGATGTTTCTATCTCCCTCTCCCGTCCTCTCTGAAATCTATCAATAAATACACACACACACACATATGTATTTTGTTAATCGTCACCCGAGGATATTTTTCCATTGATTGTTAGGGAGAGAGGAGGAGAGAGGGAGAGACAGAGAGAAACATCGGGGTGAGAGAGACACATCGATGGGTTGCGTCCTGCACACGCCCCCACCAGGGCCCGGGCTGGGGAGGAGCCTGCATCTGAGGTCCGTGCCCTTGACCCGAACCGAACCCGGGACCCTTCTGTCCGTGGGCCGACGCGCTACCCACTGAGCAACCCAGCCGGGTTGGTCTGTCTTTTCAAAAAATGTAGCATTTGCAGCATCGAGTCCATCCTGAAAATCTTCGTCTCCTGGCGAGTGGGATAGGAGATGGGATGGGGAAGCTCAGAGAGAAAGGGAGGGGGAGAGAGAGAGGAACATTGATGCAGTGCTGTCTGCCATCTCCACGCGTTTCAGGCGGGAGGAAGGTCTTGTCCGCCCTCTCTGGCCTGTGCCACGCTCTGCCCGTTGGCAGGAGGCTCGCCGGGGTCGTCTCTGGGGAGGGATCCCTGCCCGCCGGTGTCTGCGGTGATGCCGTCTCTTCTCTCTGTGTGACCGGCTGTGGTCCCAGGGCCCTGCGACGGGTCACATGACTCCCGCCCCCTTCTCTCTGTCCCCCAGGATCGTCCTGTCCGGAGCGGGGGAGCTGCAGATACGGAACCCCACGAGGGGCGAGCAGGGGCTGTACGGGTGCTCCGTGGCCAACCGGCTCGGCTCCGACGCGGCGAGCTCGCCCGTGCTGTTTGCAGGTAATGCCCCGCGGTGGCGCCTGGGTCGCCTGGGGCTGGGTTTTGTTTATTTGTTGTTTTAATATAGTTTTATGGATGTCAGAGAGTCAGGGAGAGGGAGAGAGAGAAACATCGATGATGAGAATCATGGACCGGCCGCCTCCTGCACGCCCCCTACCAGGGATCAAGCCTGCAACCCGGGCCTGTGCTCTCGACTGGAATCGAACCCGGGCCCCTTTGGTCCACAGGCCGACGCTCTATCCACTGAGCCGTGAGCCGGGGCCTGGTGCTGGTCCTACTCGCCCACAGACATCATCCACGCCAGGCCTTCTCTCCTGAATTCCTTCCTTCGTCAAATGTACCGAGAGGGACTTGGTTTTACCACCCCGGTGCTCCCATGGCCCAGCGATGGCCGTGGTCGTGCAGCCTTGTCGATATCTCTTTGACTGTGTCCACCCATCTGTCCATCCGTCCGTCCGTCTGTCTGTCCTCTGAGCACCCCCCCCCGCCCCACCAGCTGTGCGTTTCCCTGCCACGAGGGTACCGAGCCAGCAGGGACCCGTCCCCGGCTCTCAGAGAGCACGGCACAGTGGGCCCAATGCGCACGGTTTACCCAAGAGCCAGAGCCCGAACCCAGCCCGGCCGGCGTGGCTCCGTGGTTAGCGTCGACCTAGGAACCAGGAGGTCAGGGTTCGATTCCTGGTCAGGGCACAGGCCCGGGTGGCGGGCTCCATCCCCAGTGGGGGGCGTGCAGGAGGTGGCCGGTCCATGATTCTCTCTCATCATGGATGTTTCTCTCCCTCTCCCTTCCTCTCTGAAATCAATAAAATATATTTTTTAAAAAAGCCTGAACTAACATGGTTTCCTGTTGCCTTTGAATGAAGAGGCGCCCGTCATCTTGGTCAGGGGAAGGAACGTCACCGGACGGGAGCCTGGCCCGCTCTCCGTCGTGGTCGGAGGCACCGTGAGGGCGGCCCTGGGGGCAAACGTGACCATCCAGTGCCCCGTACGAGGTAAGTGTGGCCGCTCGCCATGGGAGGGCACGTGGCCTGTGGCCAGGAGACACCCTGACCGTCTTTAAACACCTGATTGTCCAGCCCTGGCTGGTGTGGCTCAATGGATAGAGCGACAGCCTGCGGACTGAAGGGTCCCGGGTTCGATTCCAGCCAAGGGTACATGCCCAGGTTGCGGGCTCGATCCTCAGTGTGGGGCGTGCAGGAGGCAGCCGATCCATGATCCTCTCTCATCATGGATGTTTCTCTCTCTCTCTCTCTCTCTCTCTCTCCCTCTCCCTTTTTCTCTGAAATCAATCAAAAAATATATTTTTTAAAAATCCCTCTGGCCTCCCAACAAATATGTGAGTTTTCTGGCAAAACACACCCACCATTACCGAGCGGGCGGCACCCGCTGGCCACAGGGAGGAGGGAGGCGGAGGGAGCTTTGCCGTGGCCACACCGCAGACGCCTGGAGACCCCGCAGCCCTGCACCTGCGGGGGACGCTCCAGGAGAGCTCTGACTTCCATGGAGAGAAACCTCAACGTTTAACATTAATTCTGAGCTAGAGGCCCGGTGCATGAAATTCGTGCACAGGTGGGGTCCCTAGGCCTGGCCGGCAATCAGGGCCAATCAGGTTCCCTGTCTCCCTGCCTCCCCACCTCCCTGCCTCCTCCTTCCCTCGCTCCCTCAGCGGCCCCCCGCTGCTGGTCACCCACCATGTTCCGAGCCGCCGAAGGGCTGTGGTGGGGTCCTGGCTGCCCTAGGTCAGAGACGGGGTGAGTGGAAACTGTTTGTTAGTGGAGCCGTCCCCACTCTGCCTGCCTCTGTCCTCTCCCTGCCTCTGCAGCCCCTCCGCCGTGGGCTGCAGCCCCGCCTCGCTCCCCCCCCCCCCCGCCCCAGTACCCCCGACACATTCAGCTTATCAGAAACTCGAGGCCCGATGCACAAAAATTTATGCAAGAGTAGGCCTTCCTTCCCCCGGCCGCCGGCACTGGCTTCCCTCTGGCACCTGGAACCTGGACTGCTTCCCTCCGGCTGCCACCCCCAGGCACCCGGGACCCAGGCTTTGCTCCGTCCCGTCTTCGTCCGGAATGCCGCCCAGATGGACTTTCGGTCTAATTAGCATATTACCCTTTTATTATTATAGACTAGAGGCCTGGTGCACGAAATTCACGTACTTGGGGCGGGGTGGGGAGTCCCTCAGTCCGTTCTGCACCCTCTCGCAGTCCAGGAGCCCTCGGGGGATGTGCGACTGCCACAGAGGCGGGAGAGGCTCCTGCCACCGCCGCTGTGATCACCAGCGTGAGCCCGGCTTCTGGCTGAGCGTCACTCCCCCTGTGGGAGCGCACTGACCACCAGGGGGCAGCTCCTGCATTGAGTGTCGGCCCCCTGGTGCTCAGTGCGCGTCATAGTGACTGGTCGACTGTCTGCCCCCCGGTGGTCAGTGCTCGTCACAGCAAGCAGTTGAGCGCCCTTAGCATATCATTAGCATATTACATTTTGATTGGTTGAACGGACAACTGGACGACCAGGCACTTAGCATATTAGGCTTTTATCATATAGGATGGCTCCATTTGGCTTTTTTTTTTTACGGTTAATCCTCACCTGAGGCTATTTTCCCGTTGATTTTTAGAGAGAGTGGAAGGGAGAGGGAGAGACAGAGAGACACATCGATGTGAGAGAGACACATCCATTGGCTGCCTCCTGCATGTCCCTGACCAGGGCCTGGGAAACTGGAACCAAGGTACGTGTCCTCGGCTGGAATCGAACCCGGGACCCTTCAGTCCGAGGGCCGACGCTGTATCCACTGAGCCAAACCAGCCAGGCCTCCCCCCCCCCTTTTTTTTTCCAGTGATTTCAGAGAGGAAGGGAGAGGGAGAGGGAGAGAGAGAGAAACATCAGTGATGAGAGAGAATCATGGACCGGCTGCCTCCTGCCCCCCCCCCCCCCCACTGGGGATGGAGCCCACAACCCGGGAATCGAACCCTGACCTCCTGGTTCATAGGTTGACGCTCACCTGGTTCAACCCCTGAGCCACGCCGGCTCCGTGAGTGGAAGCAGGGACTCTGCATGATGTAGGTGAGGGCGTCGTCACTTTCAGACGCTGGAACCCCGCTTTAGGACGTGGTGTGTTCGCGTTGCGAGTGCAGATGAACCCCCTGCGTCGGTGGCATGCGCACCCCTGTCTGTGTCCTAGGTGCCCTTCGGACATTGCTCACGGCGAGTTATAATGAGCTCGCCGATGCGTCCCTCTTAGGCCGGCGGTTCTCAGCCTGCGGGTCGCGACCCCTTTGGGGGCCGAACGACCCTGTCACAGGGGTCGCCTAAGACTATCGGAAAACACATCTATAATTTCATATTGTTTCTGTGATGAATCGCTATGCTTTCATGATGTTCCATTTGTAACCATGAAATTGGGGGTCCCCACAGCATGAGGAACTGCATGAAAGGGTCGCGGCGTGAGGAAGGTTGAGAACCGCTGCCTTAGACGGACTCACAGTCCTTCCCTCCGGTCAGCTGTGCCTAATTTAACCGTGTGGTAGGGAGAGGAGAGATGGCCTTCAGTCCCTGTGCGTTGAGAGTATTCGGACGTGCAGCTCTATTTCTAAAGCTTAAAAGGTCTAAGTCGCGAGAGTTACTCGTCTTGCTCTTAAAAAAACAGAGTGTCTGCCTTAGCCTGTGTGGCTCAGTGGATAGCGCAGACTGAAGGGTCCCGGGTTCGATTCCAGTCAAGGGCACCGACCTCGGTTGTAGGCTTGATCCCGGCCCTGGTTGGAGTGCATGGAGGAGGCAACCCATCGATGTATCTCTCTCACATCCATGTTTCTCTCTCTCTCTCTCTCTCTCTATCTCTCTCTCTCTCTCTCTATCTCTCTCCTTCCCTTCCCTTCCACTCTCTCTAGAAAAATATCCTCGGGTGAGGGTTAGAAAACAAATAGTTGCCCTGGCCAGTTTGGCTCAGTGGGTAGAGCGTCGGCCTGCGGACCGAGGGGCCCCGGGTTCGATTCCGGCCAAGGGCACGCGCCTGGGTTGTGGGCTCGATCCCCAGTCGGGGGTGTGCAGGAGGCAGCCGATCAGTGATTCTCTCTCATCATGGATGTTTCCATCTCCCTCTCCCTCTTCTTCCTCTCTGACATCAATAAAGAAATATGTATATTTAAAAAAAAGAAAACCAATAGTTTCTGCCCGGGCCAGTGTATCCCAGTGGGTAGAGCAGAAGCCCTTGGCCTGAAGGGTCCCGGGTTCGATGCCGGTCAAGGGCACGGACCTCAGTTGCAGGCTTGATCCCCGCCCTGGTGGGGGTATGAGCGGGGAGGCACCCCAGTCGATGGGTCTCTCTCACACCCATGTTTCTCTCTCTGTGTCTCTCCCCCTCCCTTCCCGAAGCTCAAACAATCAATGGAAAAATACCCTCAGGTGACGATTAACCAAAAAACAAAAAATTTCTTCTTCTTCTAAATATGGATGTTTTAACCTCACCCTCTCTGCCCGCTGCTGGCCAGAAAGGGAAGTCCTCCCTCTGAGAATCGATGGGTATCCGCATTGCATCCCTCCCCCCACCCCTGCCTGCCAGCGCCTAGTACAGCATCATTTATCCAATATCTCCGTCCCGCACGCATCCCTCTGGCTTGTGTCTTGGCTCTTAAGCTCCTTGGAGATGCGGCCGACCTCGGCCTTTGCTTTAAAACGTTCTGGTGTCTGGACTATTAGCCGTCTTCACGGGCCTTCGTCACCCCCCTTCTGCGAGGGGGGAGGGCATTGTTGTGGCGCAGCGAGATTCTGTGGTCCATTCCTCCTCGTCGCCTCGTCCCTGGCCCATGCTGCTCCCCCGCGGGTGGACGTGGGTTTTCATCATATAGTGGCTGTGAGGGGCGGTGATTCAAGGTCTTGGTCAGAAATCCCTTCACCGCCGCCCCCTTCCCCCCAAAAAGGACCCTCTCTCCAGAAAAGTACATTTGCCCATGAAATCTTTTTTATTTAATCTATTTTTATTGATTCCGGAGAGGAAGGGAGAGGGAGAGAGAGAAACATCAATGATGAGAGAGAATCATGGACCAGCCGCCTCCTGCACGCCCCCCGCTGGGGATCAAGCCCCCAACCCGGGCCTGTGCCCTGAGCGGGAATCGAACCCTGACCTCCTGGTTCACAGGTCGACGCTCACCCCCTGAGCCGCGCCGGCTGCCGTGGGCCTGTTCTTAAAGGCATCTGCCTCCGCCCTGTTTGCCTCCATCCCACAGGCATCCCCCGGCCCACGGTGAGCTGGGTGAAGAGAGGCGGGCCGCTGGGGGACAACACCTCCGTGCTCCCCAATGGGTCCCTGCTGCTACAGAACGTCTCCCGGCAAAACAAAGGCACCTACGTCTGCAGGGCCTCCAGCGCGCTGGGGAAGGCGGCGGCCACGTCCGTCCTGCACCTGCTGGGTAAGTGTCCCGTCGGGCTGGGCTTGGCGGGCCTCCCCGCCGACAGGGCACCCCGTTTGTGGGTTATGGCGCTGAGACGTAGACGAGATGGGCGTGCGAGGCTTTGCACTATGAACTAAGGGCTGCTTGTCTCTCTCTATTGATGTCAGAGAGGAAGGGAGAGGGAGAGAGAGAGAAACATCCACGATGAGAGAGGATCACGGATCGGCTGCCTCCTGCACGCCCCACACTGGGGATCGAGCCCACAACCCAGGCTTTTGCCCTGACCGGGAATCGAACCCAGGACCCCCTGGTTCATAGGTCGACATCCAACCACTGAGCCGCCACGGCCGGGACTGACCCACTTTGCAGACATTGTCCCTGGAGAGGCCTCCCGCCTGTCCCTGGCTCCCGCCCCTCCTCCCCCTGGCGGGGCGGGTCCTGGCGGGTCCCTCTGGCCTGCAGGGGCCCCTCCCCTGGGCTGTGGTCCAAGGGCCCGTCCTGGCCGCCGTTCCCACAGTTATTGCCATCAGTTCATGAGGGAAATGGGGTTTAAAGGACCCCACTTGCAGGGAGCCAATGGGGGAAAGGGAACATATAGTGTCATACCTCCAACAACCAAGAAGTACTTACAGTAAATAAAGTAAATACAGCGAAGAATAAATGCATTAATTAAACAAAAATGAAAAATGAAGGACCCCTTTGCGTTCCATGATGGCTGACTCTGTGCACGAGACACAGACAGGCTACACGGCAGAACAGCTGGGAGGGGGGAGGGTCCAGGCCGCTCAGTGGGACAGCTGGTGGGGGGGTGCAGGCCGCTCAGTGGGACAGCTGGGGGGGGGTTGTCCAGCCGCTCAGTGGGACAGCTGGGGGGGGGGTGCAGGCCGCTCAGTGGGACAGCTGGGGGGGAGGGGTGCAGGCCGCTCAGTGGGACAGCTGGGGGGGAGGGGTGCAGGCCGCTCAGTGGGACAGCTGGGGGGGAGGGGTGCAGGCCGCTCAGTGGGACAGCTGGGGGGGGTGCAGGCCGCTCAGTGGGACAGCTGGGGGGGGGTGCAGGCCGCTCAGTGGGACAGCTGGGGGGGGGTGCAGGCCGCTCAGTGGGACAGCTGGGGGGGGTGCAGGCCGCTCAGTGGGACAGCTGGGGGGGGGTCCAGGCCGCTCAGTGGGACAGCTGGGGGGGGGTGCAGGCCGCTCAGTGGGACAGCTGGGGGGGAGGGGTGCAGGCCGCTCAGTGGGACAGCTGGGGGGGGTGCAGGCCGCTCAGTGGGACAGCTGGGGGGGGGTGCAGGCCGCTCAGTGGGACAGCTGGGGGGGGGTCCAGGCCGCTCAGTGGGACAGCTGGGGGGGGGTGCAGGCCGCTCAGTGGGACAGCTGGGGGGGAGGGGTGCAGGCCGCTCAGTGGGACAGCTGGGGGGGGGTGCAGGCCGCTCAGTGGGACAGCTGGGGGGGAGGGGTGCAGGCCGCTCAGTGGGACAGCTGGGGGGGAGGGGTGCAGGCCGCTCAGTGGGACAGCTGGGAGGGGGGTTGTCCAGCCGCTCAGTGGGACAGCTGGGAGGGGGTGCAGGCCGCTCAGTGGGACAGCTGGGAGGGGGGGGGTCCAGGCCGCTCAGTGGGACAGCTGGGGGGGGGGTCCAGCCCGCTCAGTGGGACAGCTGGTGGGGGGGGTCCAGCCGCTCAGTGGGACAGCTGGGTGGGGGGGGTGCAGGCCGTTCAGTAGGACAGCTGGGGGGGGGGGGTCCAGGCCGCTCAGTGGGACAGCTGGGGGGGGGGGTTGTCCAGCCGCTCAGTGGGACAGCTGGGAGGGGGGGGGTCCAGCCGCTCAGTGGGACAGCTGGGGGGGGGGTCCAGGCCGCTCAGTGGGACAGCTGGGGGGGGGGTCCAGCCCGCTCAGTGGGACAGCTGGTGAGGGGGGGGTCCAGCCCGCTCAGTGGGACAGCTCTGGGAACCCTGATGGCCGTGCAGGCAGCATCACTCTCACCTTCCCCCCGCAGAGCCCTCCTGGAGGCCGGGTCCCTGGACGCCGTGTCCCGCCACCTGCGGCCGCCTGGGAGCCCGCGTCCGGAGCCTCCGGTGCGTGGCGGCGGGCGGGCAGGAGGTGAGCGAGGCCCTGTGCGGGCACCTCCCCAGGCCGCCGGTCCGCTCGCAGCGCTGCCCGCGCCGGGACTGCCCCCCCAGGTACGTGCGGCCTCAGTTCTGACCTCATTGGGACCGGGTTCCTGCTGGTTTCAAAGGCACCGGAACCTGGACTAAGACTTCTTTAGCGGGGCCGGCCGGTGTGGCTCAGCGGTTAGCGTTGCCTGGGAACCCAGAGGTTACGGGTTCGATTCCGGTCAAGGCCACGCACCTCGGTGGCAGGCTCCATCCCTGGCCCTGCTCAGGGCGTGTGCAAGAGGCAGCCGATCGATGTGTCTCTCACATCGATGTCTCTCTCTCTCTCTCCCTGTCTCCCCCCCTCCCTTCCGCTCTCTCTACAAATCAATGGAAAAATATCCCTGGGTGAGGATTCAAATGCATATTTTTTTCTCCCCTTCAGTGAGTCGAAATCCACATGGACACGTCCACCCAATATGCCCCTCGCTCTGTCCTCGGGGGCCACACCGGCGACGGGTCTTGTATAAAAACTCGCAGGAGCCCTGGCCGGTGTGGCTCAGTGGATAGAGCGTCGGCCTGCGGACTGAAGGGTCCCGGGTTCGATTCCGGTCAAGGGCACAGGCCCAGGTTTTGAGCTCGGTCCCCAATGGGGGGCGTGCAGGAGGCGGCCGATCCATGATTCCCGCTCATCCTTGATGTTTATCTCTCCCTCTCCCTTCCTCTCTGAAATCAATAAAAATATAAAAAAATAAAAATTTAAATAAAGACTCGCAGGAGGCGTGACCCCACCCCGTGTCGGTTTGGGAGTCTCTACAAGGGACTCTGTGGCCCCCTGAGCAGAGGGAAGTGTGGGCATAAGGCAGGCGGCCCCTGAGCTGCTGGCCCTCCCCCCGACCCCCCCCCCCTGCATAGGGAGCGCCTACCCCCCCTCCACCCGACGGGCCGGGCCCTCCTGAGCTCTGGAGTTTCTGTCCGCAGGTGGGTCGCCAGCCCCTGGTCCGAGTGCTCCGCGTCCTGCGGGAAGGGGTCCCGCGTTCGGCAAGTGACGTGCAAACGCACCCAGGCCGGCGGCACCGCACGGGGGATGCCCCTGGGAGCCTGCGACCCCCACGGCCGGCCTCCGGGGAGAAGCCCGTGTTCCGGACACCCGTGCGCCGAGGAGCCGGCGGGCCAGGTAAGGCGCCCACGCCCCCGTTCCGACGGAGCTCCCATCGCCTGCTTCTAGTCGATTTTTAAAAATACATATTTTTTTTATTGATGTCAGAGAGGAAGGGAGAGGGAGAGAGAGAAACATCCATGATGAGAGAGAATCATGGATCGGCTGCCCCTGCACGCCCCCGACTAGGGATCAAGCCCACAACCCGGGCCTGTGCCCTCGACCGGGAATCGAACCCTGACCTCCTGGTTCATAGGTCGATACTCAGCCACTGAGCCACACCGGCCGGGCAATATTATAATAGAAATCTTTGCCAAAAAATGTTTAAAATAATGGGTAGGGCCCTGAAGTGGCCTGCTAGGGTTGCCATAGCAACAGACGACAGACTGGGCACCTCCGACTGCAGACCCTGGTTTGCACACAGTCCCGGAAGCCAGAGGTCCAAGGTCAAAGGTCATTGGGGTGGTTCGGGCGCGACCCCCTTACCAGCCTGGGGGCAGCCCCTCAAGCTCACTGCCCTGTGCTTTGTTCCAGTGCCCCGGACGCTGCCTGGGTCGCGCCGTGAGGATACAGCCGCGTCCCGTCCTCTGCCCACACAACAGCTCCGACCCCCACTGTGATGACAGGAGGTACTGGCCCCGCCCCCTGCAGGGACTGACACCTGTCTGTCTCCTCTCCTCACTGAGCACTCCCAGTAAAACCATGCTCTCTCCCAGTGACATCCTATGTAATAAAACCCTAATATGCAAAGCGACCACACAGCGGGACGACCGGTCGCTATGACACGCACTGACCACCGGGGGCAGACGCTCAATGCAGGAGCTGCCCTCTGGTGGTCAGTGCGCTCCCACAGGGGGAGCACCGCTCAGTCAGAAGCCGGGCTCACGGCTGGCGAGTGCAGTGCCGGTGGCAGGACCCTTGCCCGCCTCCGCTGCAGGTGGGCAGTAAGGAGCGAGGGGTCCCAGACTGTAAGAGCCCTGGACAGTGAGAGGGATGTCTGACTGCCAGCTTAGGCCCGATCCCCAGGGGGTCGGGCCTAAGCTGGCAGGTGGACATCCCCCAAGGGGTTGCAGGCCGGGCTGAGGGACCCCTCGGCCAGTGCACAAATTCATGCACCAGGCCTCTAGTCCGTATTAATACACATTATGCTGAAACAGGGATAGATGCATACTTTTGATAATCACACATTATTTGTGTGTTTTTTGTGGTTTTTAGATATATTTGTATTGATTTCAGAGAGGAAGGGAAAGGGAGAGAGAGAAACATCCATGATGAGAGAGAATCACGGATCAGCTGCCTCCTGCATGCCCCACGCTGGGGATTGAGCCCGCAACCCGGGCCTGTGCCCTGACCGGGAATCGAACCCGGGGCCCTTCAGTCCACGGGCCGACGCGCTATCCCCTGAGCCACACCAGGCAGGGCCGCATCGAAGTCTTCTTGCTGGAGCAAACGAGACGACCTTGACCTTCGGCTCCGGGGCCAGCCCGAGCCTTCAGCGAGGTGTGGCAGCGTCCAGCCCGCCCACCCCCTGTTCCCCACACCCAGCTGCAGCCAGAACCCGTCTCCCCGAACGGCCGATGCTGGGAACCGCCGCCCCGTTCTCAGCAGACAGCCCCGGTTCCTGTTCTGCGGGAGGATGGAGACCACACTCAGACGGATGTGTGCCTGGCAGATGCTTTTCGTTGCGTTCTGCAAGGCGGATTGACAACCCAAAGCCGCGTGTGTGTTGTGGGGGGAGGGAGGGGGTGCTTTCCCGCTCACACACCAGACGTGTTTCCTGGGAGCTGGCCTCTCCGACGCATACACCAGGTGTAAGCGTGTCCCCCATCTGAAAGCATAAGATTCCGTTTCTTCTGTTTCACTGGGCCGCGTAGCTCCTCCTTCCGTTTGACTGATTGGAATTGTTTGGCCATGAAGCACAGACGTTTCAGCGACATCTGGAACACATCTTTCCACAAAACGGCCCATTTTGTTGCAGGACAGGTTTCAGATAAGGAAATGGGTGGCCCGCCCTATTCGTTTGGATACTAAATTACCATCAAAATGTCCACACCAGCCCGAGCCGGTGTGGCTCAGTGGATAGCGCGTCGGCCTGCAGACTGAAGGGTCCCGGGTTCGATTCCAGGTCAAGGGCACAGGCCCGGGTTGCGGGCTCGATCCCCAGTGGGGGGCGTGCAGGAGGCATCTGACCCATGATTCTCTGTCACCATGGATGTTTCTCTCCCTCTCCTTCTCCCTTCCTCTCTGACATCAATAAAAATATATTTTAAAAAAGAAAAGGAATTCGCCCTGACTGGTGTGGCTCAGTGGATAGAGCGTCGGCCTGCGGACTGAAAGGTCCCAGGTTCAATTCCGGTCAAGGGCATGGACCTGGGTTGCGGGCACATCCCCAGTGGGGGTGTGCAGGAGGCAGCTGATCCATGTTTCTCTCTCATGGATGTTTCTGGCTCTCTATCTCTCTCCCTTCCTCTCTGTAAAAATCAATAAAATATATTTTTAAAAAAAAGAAAGAAAAGGAATTGTAGTGCATGAAAGGCTGGCTCCCAGCAAGAAGCGACACCCGCTTTTCCCTCTGCCGTGTTTTTGTTGTTCCCACTTCAGATCCGCCACCGGGAGGAGCTGCTCGGCGGGGGCCTGTGCCGCGTGCTGGCGCCCGGGCCCCTGGCGGCCCTGCTCCGCGGCCTGCGGCCGGGGCGTCCAGGCCCGCAGGCTGGACTGTGTGCACGCGAGCAGCTGCGCGCCGCTGGCCCAGAGGCACTGCCCGCAGAGCCGAAAGCCGGCGTCCTGGCGGCCCTGTGCTGGGCCCGCCTGCGGCCCTGTGCACCCCTCCCAGGTATCAGGACCTGCCCCCCAAGCCCCGTCAAACCAGACCCTCCTGGGGCCGACCTTGCCCATGTCCTGGCTGAGGGCTCGGTGGGAAGGGGTGTGGGATCTGGGTTCATCAGGAGACGAGCTGCTTGGAGGGGTGCAACTCGTTGCGCTTTATTTTTGTGTGTTTTCTTAAATTTGTTTTGGGTTAATCCTCACGCGAGGATATTTTCCCATTGATTTTTTTTTTTTAATATATTTTATTGATTGTTTACAGAGAGGAAGGGAGAGGGATAGAGAGTTAGAAACATCGATGAGAGAGAAACATCGATCAGCTGCCTCCTGCACATCTCCCTACTGGGGATGTGCCCGCAACCCAGGTACATGCCCTTGACCGGAGTCGAACCCGGGACCCTTCAGTCCACAGGCCGACGCTCTATCCACTGAGCCACACCGGTTTCGGCTTCCCATTGATTTTTAGGGAGTGTGGAGGAGAGAGGGAGAGACAGAGAGGAACATCGATGTGAGAGAGACACATCGATGGGTCGCCTCCTGCACGCGCCCCGACCAGGGCCCGGGCCGGGGAGGAGCCGGCCACCGAGGTCCGTGCCCTTGACCGGAATCGAACCCGGGACCCTTTGGTCCACAAGCCGACGCTCTATCCACTGAGCCACACCGGCTAGGACTCAGTGTTCTTTTTTTAAAATTTTTTATTCGTATTGAATTCTGAAAGGAAGGGAGATGGGGGGAGGAGAGAGAGAGAGAGAGAGAGAGAGAGAGAGAGAGAGAGAGAGAGAGAAACATCAATGAGGAGAGAGGACTTAGCTGGTTTGGCTCAGTGGATAGAGCGTCGGCTTACAGACTGATGGGTCCCGGGTTCGATTCCGGTCAAGGGCATGTACCTTGGTTGTGGGCACATCTCCAGTGGGGGGTGTGCAGGAGGCAGCTGATTGATGTTTCTAACTCTCTATCTCTCTCCCTTCCTCTCTGTAAAAAATCAATAAAATATATTTTAAAAATAAAAAATAGGCATCCTTTTATTTTTGTTTAATATATTTCTTTATTGATCTCAGAGAGGAAGGGAGAAGGAGAGAGAGAGAGAAACATCCATGATGAGAGAGAATCACGGACCGGCTGCCTCCTGCACGCCCCCCACTGGGGTGGAGCCCGCTACCCGGGCCTGTGCCCTGACGGGGAATCGAACCCTGGCCTCCTGGTTCCTAGGTCGGCGCTCAGCCCCTGAGCCACTCCGGCCAGGCAAATCCAATGCTTTTTAACCCGGTCTCCCGTGAGTGGCGTGCGAATTGCATGTGGTTTTTCTTGTTTGTTTTGTTCGCAGGAACCTGCACAGACACCCCTGATGCCTGCACGTGTGTGACACCCCGAGTCTGTGCTCCCTGGGCCTCGGCAGAGGGAGGCGCTGCCCGCCGCGCCCTGCGATAGCCCACGGCAGGCGTGGGATGCTGCTGAGGCGATGGGACGGGGACGTCCAAGCCGATACCTCGCCTGAGTCGCTGGTTCCAAAACGCGCCTTTCTCTAAAAAGCCACAGACCTCTAAATCCCGCCAGCCAATGCAGCCGGTGCAGTCACCCCTGCTACCATTTTTATAAATCTATTTGTATTGATTTCAGAGGGGGAGGGAGAGGGAGAGAAACATCCATGATGAGAGAGAATCATGGATCGGCCGCCTCCTGCACGCCCCCCACTGGGGCTCAAGCCCGCAACCCGGGCCTGTGCCCTGACCGGGAATCGAACCCTGACCTCCTGGTTCACAGGTCGATGCTCAACCACCGAGCCATGCCAGCTGGGCCAAAATATGTATTTCTTAAAAAAACAAAAAAACAAAAAACCCACAAAGCTCTAGATTCTGCCATGAAACCCAGGCCCTTGCTCAGTCACCGCTGCTAACGTTTTGTCCTGTCATTTTTCACGGCCGTTGTCCTTCCAGCTCAGGTGGGTTCGATAGATAGCCCAGCACTAACCCAAACACCCCCGCAGCCGTGCCATGCCCGGGGGACCGTGTCCTTCCAGCCCTGCAATCGCCGAGGCCACCCACGGGACGTCCCCCGCGCCTGTTCCCCGGGATGTGCCCCGACCGGGAATCGAACCCGGGACCGACCTCTGGGTCCACGGGGCGAGGCTGGTGTAGCGTCCGGCATCCCGAAGCCTCGGGGAGACCCGGGGACGGAGGGCTTTCCCTTCTGTCGAGGGTCAGGCCGTCGGCAGGCGCAGAAGGCATTTGCCGGCTATGAACTCTGGTCAGTAATTGTGGCCATGTTGGCGCTGACGTCTTTCTTGAGGATCTTGATGTGGCCTCTGCGAAAAAGACACAATCGCGCCGGCCAGGCCTGGGGCGCGAGCTGGTCCAAGGACCGTCACGGGGTGAGGGTGGGGGCCCGCGTCTCAGGCACCAGAACCCGTGGACAGCCACAAAAATGCCGCTGCCATTTTCACAAGAGGACGGAGATCTGTCTGTGCCCGCACGCGGCATCTTGGGAGTCAAAGGAGAAGGGAAGTCAACCGTTTCTACCGACTCTGAAGCCCAGTCAATGCACTGAGGACTGGGAATGCGATTTTTTTTGTGTTTTCTGAGCACTAAGTTCTTGCACACAATCTGGCAAAGCAAAGCTTTAGGAGACGGAATGTATGCAGAACGTGCTACTCCCGACTGTTTTTACTGGGGGGGGAATGATAAGAAAGTCATCTAATTAGGATCGTTGGGTGGGGGGGAATCGTTGATAGTCAATGATTGTTTTTCGTCGGAACTGACGTTTCAATGCATCCCTCGGGAATGAGGGTTCAGCTGGAGGTGACAGTTTGGGGGGGGGGTTCGCGTGAGGGGGCGCTGGACACGCTGAGGGCTGGCTTTAGCTCCAGGATTGGGTTGGGCGAGGAGGGGGGGCTGAGTTAGGGTGAAGGCTAGCGTTGGCTGTGGGACTTCGGATGACGGCCTGGTGAGGCGCGAGTTGGGTTGAGTTTAGATCAGGGGTCCTCAAGCTTTTTAAACAGGGGGCCTGTTCACTGTCCCTCAGACCGTGGAGGGCCGGACTATAGTTTAAAAAAAAAAAACTATGAACGAATTCCTATGCACACTGCACATATCTTATTTTGAAGTAAAAAAACGGGAACAAATACAGTATTTGTACTTGCATGTGGCCCGCGGGCCGTCGTTTGAGGACCCCTGGTTTAGACTGAGGCAAGGCTGGGGTTAGGGATAATGTCCGAGTGGACGTTGAATTGCTACTGAAGTGATGTGGGACCAGCACTCATTTGTAAACCCTGAAACTGATTTTTTTTAAAAAAATCCTCAATCGAGGATACATTTATTGATTTTTAGAGAGAGGAAGAGAGAGAGAGAGAAACATCGATGTGAGAGAGAAACAAATGGGTTGCCTCTCGCATGCTCCCCGACTGGGGACCGACCTCGCAACCTAGGCGTGGGCCACGACCGGGAATCGAACCGGCGACCTTTCTGTGTCCCCAACAACACTCCAGCCAACGGAGCCACCGGGTTGGGCGAAAGCTACATTTTTCAAAAATATGTATTTGTTTGTTGATTTCGCAGAAGAAGGGGGGGAGAGAGAGAGAGAGAGAAGCATCCATGATGAGAGAGAACCACCCATCGGCCGCCTCCTGCACGCCCCCCACTGGGCATGGAGCCCGCAACCCCGGGCCTGTGCCCTGACCGGGAATCGAACCCTGACCTCCTGGTTCCTGGGTCGACGCTCAACCACCGAGCCAGACGAAAGCTGATTTTTTATGGGCCTCTGTCCCTGACATTCCACCAGTTACGGCTTTAGATGACGTAAGAGACTCTGAGTCTGCATTCGTTGTCCCAGCTGCCTGTACTCACGGTTGCCTACAGCCCGCTAGCAGCACAGCCACGTGACCCATGAGCCATTGGCTCTGTCAGTGGACACGCCCTCTGGGGTCCCCGCTATTCCGTGCACCAGGTGTCACCCCCTCCCCCAGCCTCGCCACACTGATGAGCGCTGATGTCCATGGAGGGGTGGCGGCTGGGGACAGATGGGTGTGTGCAGGGGACACGCAAGCCCACAGGCCACTGGCCATCAGTCCACACTTCACTGTTGAAGGTTCTTTTCTTTTATTTTTCTTAATATATTTGTATTGATGTCAGAGAGGAAGGGAGAGGGGGAGGGAGAGAGAGAAACATCCATGTCGAGAGACAATCACTGACCGGCTGCCCCCTGCACGCCCCCCACTGGGGATGGAGCCCGCCACCCGGGCCTGTGCCCCGACCGGGACTCGAACCCCGACCTCCTGGTTCACGGGCCGACGCTCAGCCACTGAGCCACGCCGGCCGGGCGATGGTTGTAGGCTCTTAAGTTAGAAGAGAGACCGTGTGTAAAATACTCTTTGTATATACGCCCAGGACCCAGCGCGGCGGTATTCTCTGTTGTAAAGACGTGGGCGTATATTTTTCCGAGTCACAAAATGTCTCCTCGGTTCCCCTCGGTCTGTAAGTTGCTGTTTCCCATGGGCGACGATTGCATTTCTCATCATCCAACGGTCTGAGGGACAGTGAACTGGCCCCCCGTTTAAAAAGTTTGAGGACCCCTGATCCAGAGGACATCCCTGCGTGCTGCGCGTTACTACTGTGCCCACATCGGAAGAATGTCTCTCTTCGTGCCCCTTCGGCAACTCAGAAATAAACTTACTTCTAGGATTCAGCGGCATCGGATGCAGGAGGCTTATTTGCGTTATGTGTCTTGGTGTTGGCAGCCTTGGGTCCTGTCCCCGTGGCTGCCTGTGTGTGTGTGTGTGTGTGTGTTTATTGATGTCAGAGAGGAAGGGAGAGGGAGAGAGAGAGAAGCATCCATGATGAGAGAGAGTCATGGATCGGCTGCCTCCTGTACGCCCCCTACTGGGGATGGAGCCCGCAACCCAGGCCTGTGCCCTTGACCGGAATCGAACCCAAGACCCTTCCGTCCGCAGGCCGACGCTCTATCCACTGAGCCACACCGGCCAGGGCTCTTTCTTCTTTTTAAAAAGTATTTATATTTTTTATTTTTCTTAGAGAGGAAGGGAGTGAGATGGAAAGAGAGAAACATCAATTCATTGCCCCACCCATTCATGCGTTCATCAATTGATTCTTTTTTTTTTTTTAAATTAATTTCAGGGAGGAAGGGAGAGGGAGAGAGAGAGAAACATCAATGATGAGAGAGAATCATAGATCGGCTGCCTTCTGCCTCCCACATTGGGGACCGAGCCCACAACCTGGGCATGTGCCCTTGACTGGAATCGAACCCGGGACCCTTCAGTCCACAGGCTGGTGCTCTATCTACTGAGCCACACCGGCCAGGGCCATCAGTTGATTCTTGTATGTGCCTTGAGCGGGGATCGAACCTGCAAACCTGCAACCTTGGTGTATGAGGACGATGTTGTAGCCAACTGAGCTACCAGCCGAGGTCCGTTTTTGTCTTTTCTTGTTTATTTTTCTTTCACTAAGGCACACATAGGGTCTAAGGCAGCGGTTCTCAACCTGGGGGTCGCGACCCCTTTGGGGGTCGAATGACCCTTTCACAGGAGTCGCCTAAGACCATCGGAAAACACATCTATAATTACATGTTGTTTTTGTGATCAATCACTGTGCTTTCATTATGTTCAATGTGTCACCATGAAAATGCATCCTGCACATCAGGTATTTCCATGACGATTCATCACAGCAGCAACATGACAGCGACGAAGTAGCAACGAAAATAACGTTATGGTTGGGGGTCCCCACAGCATGAGGAGCTGCATTAAAGGGTCGCAGCGTTAGGAAGGTTGAGAACCGCTGGTCTAAGGCGTGGAGAGCGTTTTCAGGAGAGAGGGGGAAAGTTGGCATCTTCATTTCCAACCCAGAGCACCCGCCCCCCCCCCCCCGATGGCTAATGATGTGGGGGTGTCTTTGCATATGCTACTGGCCATCGTTGCCATCTTTTGTGGGTTGAATTGTGTCTCTTCCTGCCCCCACCCCCTCCCCCCCGCCCCCTGCCAAACTTCCTAACTCCCACAATGAGACCTGATTTGGAAATAGGATCTTGCCCAGCCAGTGTAGCTCAGTGGTTGAGCGTCAGCCTATGAACCAGGAGGTCAGGGTTCGATTCCCCGTCAAGGGCACACGCCCGGGTTGCGGGCTTGATCCCCAGTGGGGGGCGTGCAGGAGGTGGCCGATCCATGATTCTCTCTCATCATGGATGTTTCTCTCTCTCTCTCTCCCTCTCCCTTCCTCTCCTAAATCAAGAAAAATATATATTTAAAAAAATAGGCCAGGATGAGATGCTGTCGTGGTTCCCTAGGCCTTCAGATTGAGTATATTATAGTATTTTCTGTTAAAAAGGTAAGAATAGCCCTGACCGGTGTGGCTCAGTGGATAGAGCGCGGCCTGCGGACTGAAGGGTCCCAGGTTCGATTCCGGTCAAGGGCATGGACCTGGGTTGCGGGCACATCCCCAGTGGGGGGTGTGCAGGAGGCAGCTGATCGATGTTTCTCTCTCATCGATGTTTCTAACTCTCTATCCCTCTCCCTTCCTCTCTGTAAAAAAAAAAAAATCAATAAATATATTCAAAAATAATAATTAAAAAAGGTAAGAATACGGAATTATGTACAGGTTAACCTGATAAGACTTTATGAAAAGCTCCATTTCCAGAGGAAATTGGGTAAAAAACGACATCCTGAAAATTCCTCCCTTTTATTGATGCTTGATTGACGTTGCACAGACATACAGAATCTTACATTATCACCATTTTAATAAGTACGAAGGTAAGTTAAAACTAGCGACCTGCAAGTAATTAAAAACAGCTTACACACATGGACTCATTCTCAATGCCGTAGACGGTCTGAAACAAGCGTAAAGCTACAAAAGACTAAACATTAAAAAGCAAAAAGAAGAAAAGAAAGACTGAACGTTGCGATAAATCATAGTCTCCCGTAACGCAATCACTTATCAAAACCACACGCAGCACGAGTGCCACTCGCTAGGTTTCAGCGCGTCTGGCTGTGGTGTGTTCTTTCCAGGTCACGAGGGCGAGGGGGGACACAGTGAGCCCCACACGGAGCCCATTTCTTCGGGGCTGTGACTCCTGGGCGTGGCCCTCAGGGGCGTGGCTCCCTGAGGGGACCCTGCAGATCTGCGTCGTTCCTGAAACGGCGCTATCCATTGGGCTTCCCGTCTGGAAACGGTGCTGTCACTCAAACGACCCTCCTCCCTCCAGTGGAAGCTCTGCGTTCTCTGTAACAACCCGTGTGCCTGTGGCGCCTTAGAGCCGGGGTGGGGAAGGTCTGGCCCGCGGGCCGTCTAAGGCCCACAAAGTCGTCTGGTCTGGCCCTGCCAAGGCATTAGCGGTGACTTAAGGAAGTGTTTGACCCAATATCGCAGGCTGATCTTTACTTTTTTAAAGTATATATCTACTTTTTATTGATTCCAGAGAGGAAGGGAGAGAGACAGAGAGACAGAAACATCCATGATGACGGAGAACCATTGATTGGCTGCCTCCTGCACGCCTCCCTACTGGGGGGGATCCAGACCGAAATCCGGGCATGTGCCCTGGGCCGGAATCGAACCTGGGACCCTTCAGTCCACAGGCCGACGCTCTATCCACTGAGCCACACCGGCCAGGGCCTGATCTTTTTTTTGTTTCGTTTTATTTTAAAATGTTTTTATTGATTTCAGAGAGGGAGAGCGAGAGAAACGTCCACGGTGAGAGAGAAGCATGGATCGGCCGCCTCCTGCACGCCCCCTACAGGGGATCGAGCCCGCAGCCCAGACACGTGCCCTTGACCGGAATCGAACCCTGACCTCCTGGCTCACAGGTCGACGCTCAGCCCCTGAGCCAGGCCGGCCGGGCTTTCAGCTGATACCGTGTGTGGCCCGAGAATGATGTTATAAATCTCCGCCTGGCCCTCGGCCGAGGACGGCCCCCTCCCCTGCTTTAGCGGGAAGACTCGGAAGTTGTGCGCCGGTTAAGGCAGCGGTTCTCAACCTGTGGGTCGCGACCCCTTTGGCGGTCGCACGACCCTTTCACGGGGGTCGCCTGAGACCATCCTGCAGATCAGGTATTTACAGGACGATTCATCCCAGGAGCCACATGACAGTGACGAAGCAGCCACGGAAATAATGTTACAGTTGGGGGTCCCCACAGCATGAGGAGCCGTATTAAAGGGCCAGAAGGTTGAGAACCACTGGGTTAAATCAACACAAACGAAACTAGTTTATAATCCGGTGAAGGCCGGCCAGTGGCCGCTGAGCAGGTAGTTAATCTCATCCGGAAAAGCAGAAAGCGGACTAGCAGAGGGGAAGTGACTGAGCAAGGCTCCCTGACATCGGGCAGCACTTTTTTTGGTCTTTTTTTAAAATATATTTTTATTGATTTCAGAGAGGAAGGGAGAGGGAGGGAGAGAGAAACGTCCATGGTGAGAGAGAACCATGGATCGGCCGCCTCCTGCACGTCCCCCACTGGGGATGGAGCCTGCAACCCGGGCCTGTGCCCCGACCGGGAATCGAACCCGGGACCCCCCGGTCCGCAGGCCGGCGCTCTACCCACTGAGCCACACCGGCCAGGGCTGGTCAGCACTTTTTTAAAGAATTGATCTCAGAGAGGAAGGGAGAGGGAGAGGGAGAGAGAGACGTCAGAGTGAGAGGGAGTCATGGACCGGCTGCCTCCTGCACGCCCGCTACCGGGGATCAAGCCCGCACCCCGGTGTGTGCCCGTTGACCAGAACCAAACCGTGACCTCCTGGTTCATAGGTCGATGCTCAACCACTGAGCCACACCTGTTGGGCGATTTTCCAATTTTCTTGATTTAAAAACTTCACGAGGATTTGCGTTAGCTCTCATGCATTTTTTTTTTTCTGACTTTAGACAGCGCCACATCCTCGGAGTCAGCCTCCTCCTCGGCTGGGAGGCGGGCTGGGAGGCGGGCACGCTAGGAGGCCTGCCCGGAGGAGGCGGCGGGCGCGATCTTGCGGAAGAACTTGTGTCCCCGGGAGTTGGTCGTGTCGAAGATGTACCCCGGAGGGGAGGGGTAGCTGGCCGGGCAGACCTCCCGCTCCTTGGGGGCGAACTCGGCGGAGTACCAGGTCACGCCGTCGAAGGGACTGGAGCTCCGCACCGCGGCCTGGGCTGGCTTGCAGCTCGCCGTGGGCGCCAGCTGGTGGGGCACGTAGTGGGACTGGAAGGTGCTCACCCCGTCGAACGTCCCTGAGGGGCCGGGCATCTGCTGCTGCGGCCTCACGGGTTCCCGGGGGCGGCAGGCCTCCCACTCCGGGAAGTCCTCCTGGGTTGTGCTTCGCCCCTGGAAGGGAAACTTCTTTCTCCGCTGGGACGCGGGCCGGATGGGGGCCGCGCGGGGGGCCTGGCGGGGCACCTGGTAGTCCCGGCGGCTGGTGGTGAGCAGCTGCATGGCTCCTGCCGGCGGGACGTAGGCTGGCACCGGCTTGACGTGGGGGGGTGGCATCTCCCAGGGTTGGAAGCTGTCCCGGAACTCGGTGCGCCCCTCAAACGGCAGGTCGGGGGGCCCCCTGGCGCGGGGGGGCCTGCAGGCTTTTGCAGCTGAGCCCAGGAGCCCCCGGAAGGCGCAGCGGTGCGTGGTGAGACCCTGGAAGGGCTGGGAGCTGGGCTTGTAGGGGCGTTTCGGCCGCGCAGGCTTGGGTTCGAGCTCATAAGGCACGAAGTCCAGGCGGTGGCTGGTGTCGCCGTGGAAAGGGGCCGTGGAAAGGGGCGCCGCGGCCCCCGGTTTGAAGCTCTGCCGGGGCTGGGCGGCCCGGGGCACGTAGTCGTCCTGGAAGGTGGTGGGGTTCCCGAATCTCACCGTCGGGGGGTGGTACGCGTGTTCCGGTTTGTAGAGGTGGCTTTTCTCAGGGGCCCAAGCTCTGTAATCATCTTGGAAGGGAAAAGAGAGCATTTTTAGTATTTTTTTTTAAATATATATGTGATTCTGTAAAAATGAAAGATAAAGCTGTACCTTTTGATATGTGAAAAAAATAAAATAAAATTTAAAAATTAAAAAATATATATATGTGATTGATCACAGAGAGGAAGGGAGAGGGAGAGAGAGAGAGAGAGAGACAGAGAGAGAGAGAGAGAGAGAGAGAGAGCCTATACAATAAAAGAGAAACATGTAAATTGACTGTCCATCTGCTACACTCACCAGCCAATCAGGCGTGAGTATGCAAATTACTCACTTTGGCAGGTTAATTTGCATACACCGGCACCAGGCGGAGAGCAGAGCGGGAGAGCCGGTGGAGAGTGGAGTGGTGTGGGGAACTTGGCTTCCCAAGCCGCCAGACGGAGAGCAGAGAGGAGAGCTGGCGGCTTGGGGGACTCGATAAGTGGGAGGCCATGGGACGGAGACAGAGCAGGAAGGGAAAACCCAGAGCGTGGGGAGCACCAGGAATTCTGGGAATCGTCGTTCTGGCGGCAGACGGATCTCCTAGACCAGCGATGGCGAACCTATGACACCGTGTCAGAGGTGACACGCGACTTATTTTTTCGGTTGATTTTTCTCTGTTAAAAAGCATTTAAATATATAACATAAATATCAAAAATGTAAGTCTTTGTTTGACTATGGTCCCAAATATCAAAAAATGTCTCTCTGTGACACGGCACCAGAGTTAAGTTAGGGTTTTTCAAAACGCTGGCACGCCGAGCTCGAAAGGCTCGCCGTCACGGGCCTAGACACTAGAGCAAGGTGAGCCTGGAGCAAGTTCCTGTTGCGGTGGGGGATGGGGGAAAGCAAAGGGGAGACATCAGTGAAATCAGAGTGTCGAGGAAAAATTAAAGGGAAGATATCCTAAAACTTCCAGGAAATCTCCGCCAATGGAGCAAAGAAAAAAATGCCTCTATTATTCTGTGAGCAACAAACCAAGCTGGGTTGGGGTCTCAGACAATTCGCTCATATGATTGCACAGACAGACAGACAGACACTCCCGGATTGGAGAGGGTGCAGGTCGGGCTGAGGGACCCCCACACCCCCCAGTGCACGAATGTCGTGCACCAGGCCTCTAGTCAATGATAATAAAGGGCTAATATGCAAATAGTCATCCCGCCCTCCACCCTCCCAGGGGAACTGCTCAGACACTGGACACCGGGGAGAGAGGAAAGGGGACCAGCCAGGCTGTGGCCCGGGAGAGGGACAAGCCGCCCACCCCATGGTGCCTGGGGCTGTGGCCCAGGTGAAGCCGCCCACCCACGGTCCCCTGCAGCTGCGGATGGCCTGGGCGAGGTCGGCCCGGGTCCTGGGTGCCTGCAGCCGGCCAGAGGGAGGGAAGCCCGGGTCCCGGGTCCCGGGTCCCTGCAACCGGCCAGAGGAGGGAATCCTGGGTCCCGGGTGCGGGGTGAGGCAGAGGCGGTTAGGGGCGATCAGGCCATCAGGGGAGCACTTAGGGGTAATCAGGCCAGCAGGGGAGCAGTTAGGGGTGATCAGGCCAGCAGGGGAGCAGTTAGGGGTTGACAGGCCAGTAGGGGAGCAATTAGGGGCAATCAGGCAGGCAGGCAGAGGGGTTAGGGGCAATCAGACAGGCAGTTTAGTGGTTAGGAGCCTGTGGTCCCAGATTGTGAGAGGTAGTCAGACATCCCCTGAGGGGTCCCAGATTGGAGAGCGTTCAGGCTGGGCTGAGGGACCCCCCCCACACCCCTCCTCCCCGTGCACGACTTTCGTGCACCGGGCCTTGAGTCAATGATGAGAGAGAATCTTTGATAAGCTGCCCCCTGCACGCCCCACACTGTGGATCAAGCCCGCAACCCGGACACGTGCCCTGACCGGGAATCCATTTGTGGCTCATACATAGGCCGACAATCAATTGAGCCACACCGGTCGGGCCAGACCTGTTCTTTCTCTCCATCTCCACCTTGCTCCCCCGCCCACCCCCCTTGGATACGGGTAACTTTCCACTTCTAGATTCATCCGGTGTCACCGCCCGGGAGAGGAACCGCAGCGGAGCCTGACTGTTGGTGGTTTCTGAAAGCCTGAAACCGCTGTGTTCTGGGGGAAGACAGTGTAGGACACGCATGTCCACCTCCCGGCCCCCGGGCCACATGCCTCGGTGATTTGGCCACATGTTAGCCTTTGCGTTTGACATGCCCGGTGTAGCAGATACGGCTGTGTTCCCAGGGGCCGGTTGGGATCTGTGCTATGACTCACAAGATGCTAAAGTGAACCGTACAATCTGGAGTCGCATCAAAGCAAGGGCCCTGCTCGCCCGCCCTGCGTGGCTCAGTGGTTGAGCGTCAACCTATGAACCAGGAGGTCATGGTTCGAATCCCATTCAGGGCACAGGCCCGGGTTGCAGGCTTGATCCCCAGTAGGGGGTGTGCAGGAGGCAGCTGAGCAATGATTCTCTCTCATCATGGATGTTTCTATCTCTCTCTCCCTCTCCCTTACTTTTTGTAATCAATAAAATACATATATATTAAAAAAAAGAGAGAGAGAGAGGCAGGCCCTGACCGGTTTGCTCAGTGGATAGAGCGTCAGCCTGTGGACTGAAGGGTCCCGGGTTCAATTCCAGTCAAGGACATGTACCTTGGTTCATGTGTGTACTGATGGGGGTGGTCATCATAACCTGGACACATCCCCAGTGGGGGTTTTGCAGGAGGCGGCTGATCGATGTTTCTCTCTCATTGATGTTTCTAACTCTCTATCCCCCTCCCTTCCTCTCTGTAAAAAATCAATAACATGTATTTTAAAAAAGAAAAAAAAAAGACCCAAGCCTGTAAAAATTTAGAGAGAGAGAGAGAGAGAGAGAGAGAGAGAGAGAGAGAGAGAGAGAGAGTCTGGAGGCTGAGAAATACTGTAGAAGTGACTTCACCCCCAAATGTGTCTTTCTAAATGCCAGAAATTAATTGATAAAGGAGGGGCGTTATACACGGCAGAGTGGTAGAGTCCAGACAAGGCCACGGTCATGTGTATTTGAAAGGCCGAGACACCTCCTTTGAAGAGAAAAAGTCCTCATCCGTTAGACATTTCATCCAAGATGGCCAAGTCTGGGGCCAACCACTGCTCCCACGTCCAGCTACTGGTATTTGGTGAGAGCGGATACCTGGGCTGTAGGCTAGCCGAGGCCTCGGGGACAACTCAGCAAAAAAAGATGGGTCGGTCAAGCATACTCTTTAAAAAAAAATCTATAATAATAAAAGGGTAATATGCTAATTAGACCAGACGTTTCCAGATGTCATTCCGGACGTCCTTCCTGACGAAGCCGGGGCCAGAGTTGAAGCCGGTGCTGGCAGCCGGGGGAAGGAAGGCCTACGCTTGCACGAATTTTCATGCATCGGGCCTCTAGTATATACATATTTTTATTGATCTCAGAGAGGAAGGGAGAGGGAGAGAGAGAGAAACATCAATGATGAGAGAGAATCATGAATCGGCTGCTTCCTTCATGTCTCCTACTGGGGAAGGAGCCTGCAACCCGGGCCTGTGCCCTTGACCGGGAATCAAACCTGTGACCTCCTGGTTCCTAGGTCGATGCTCAGCCACTGAACCACGCCGGCCGGGCTGAAGTGTATTCTTATGAACCGAGGGTTGGAGAATGAGTCTGTGAATCCTGAGCTAAAGTCCCCCACAACCCCTGGTGATAGTCTTTGCTCTGAAGACGACGTTTTTCTGATATTAATATTCGTCGACCCTACAGCTTGTTTTTCACTAGGGTTTGCACGGCCTATATTTTTCCACCCTGAACTTTCAACCCGTCTCTATCTTTGGGTGTAACGTAGGTTTTATGGAGATAGCACACAGTTGGGTGTTTTGTGGGGGGTTTTTTCTCAATGTACTATGACAATCTTTGTGTCTTAATCACCATGGTTGGATCATTTACCTTCATGCAATTATTTTTTAAAAATATATGTCTTTATTGATTTAAAAGAGGAAGGGAGAGGGAGAGAGAGAGACAGAAACATCCATGATGAGAGAGAATCATGGATCAGCTGCCTCCTGCATGCCCCCTACTGGGGATCCAGCCCATAACTGAACCTGTGCCCTGACTGGGAATCGAACCCTGACCTCCTGGTTCCTAGGTTGACGCTCAACCCCTGTGCCACGCCGGCCGGGCTGTGAGTATGTTTTGAGGTGTAGCAAAACTAAGCAAGTGGCTGAATGTGTCCTGGAATCCAGGTCTCCTAACTCTCAAGCAGCCAAATGGTCTTTTATTTTATTTTATTTTATTTTATTTTACTATACAATATTATTTCGACCAAAGAGAAAAATGATTTCTCCCAAGCCAGGAGGGCTACGTTTGGCAACACAACAAAGTAATGATTGGATGTTAGATGTCAAAGCTACAAGTGAGTCCCAGTGTTTCGGTTCCGTCATTTTTTATTTTATTTTTTAATATATTTTTATTGATTTCGGAGAGGAAGGGAGAGGGAGAGGGAGATAGAAACATCAATGATGAGAGAGAATCACTGATCGGCTGCCTCCTGCACGCCCCGCACTGGGGATCGAGCCCTCCACCCGGGCCTGTGCCCTGACCGGGAATCGAACCCTGACCTCCTGGTTCCTAGGTCGATGCTCAGCCACTGAGCCACGCCGGCCGGGCTGGCTCTGTCCTTTTAGAAATGGGGTTACCTTTGTAGGTGGGGACAGTGTCCAGCTTCCCTTTCTTCACGTGTCGTCTCTCCAGGGGCCGGACTCTCGCCACGGGGTGCGCCGGATACGCGTTAAAGTCCTGTCTGTAGGTGGTGTCGAGATCAATGTCCCCCTGTTTGGGTCTGTATTCTTCTGGTAGGTGGCGAGGCGGGGGGACTACTTCATAGGGGCGGTAATCCGATCTGAAATACAGAGATTGGACACATAGCCTCATAGATTCTTTTATTTCTAACTAGAGGCCCGGTGCACAAATTCGTGCACGGGCGGGGTCCCTGGGCCTGATAGGGAATGGGCACCGATCCGGGCTGCTGGGGGGAGGGACTACGGGAGGTTGGCTGTCAGAGCCCACTGACCACCAGGGGGCAGCTCCTGCATTGAGCGTCTGCCCCCTGGTGGTCAGTGTGCATCACAGCTACCGGCCGGTCGTCTGGTTATCTGGTTATAATGGTCTCTTAGGCTTATATACACTGAGTGTCCAGATTATGATGACCACCCCCATCAGTACACTGAAGTGAATTAGTTATGCAAATAACAACAACAATAATAATAAAACCTTGAGAGTATTTGCTTAGGAAGTTTTCAATAGTCAGTATTTTTGGAAGTATCAATGAAGTTCTGATGGGGTGGTCATCATAATCTGGACACTCAGTGTATATAGACTCGAGGCCCAGTGCATGAAATTCATGCGGGGGGCAGGGCAGGGGAGCCCCTCAGCCCGGCCTGCACCTTCTCCAATCCAGGACCCCTCAGGGGACATCCCTCTCACAATCTGGGACCGCTGGCTCCTAACTGCTCACCTGCCTGCCTGTCTGATCGCCCCTAACTTCCCTTCCCTGCCGGCCTGATCACCCCTAACTGCCCTCCCCTGCCGGCCTGATCACCCCTAACTGCCCTCCCCTGCCGGCCTGATCACCCCTAACTGCCCTCCCCTACCAGCCTGATTGACCCTAACCACCTCTGCCTGGGCCCCCGCCACTGGGGCTTTGTCCAGAAGTAAGGCAAGACGCCCAGAAAATGTCCAGTGGACCCGGTCTAATTAGCATGTTACCCTTTTATTAGTAGAGATTGTTTCCATGCAGTATTGGAGTTTTCAAAGGAAAGTGTCAGAAGATATTAAAATAGTGACAGCTAATAAGCTACTTGAAAGAAGTAACTGGCCCGGCCAGCGTGGCTCAGTGGTTGAGCGTCCGCCTATGAACCAGGAGGTCACGGTTTAATTCTCGGTCAGGGCACAGGCCCGGGTTGCGGGCTCATCCCCAGTAGGGGGCGTGCAGGAGGCGGCCGGTCCATGATTCTCTCTCATCATGAATGTTTTTCTCTTTCTCTCCCTCTCCGTTCCTCTCTGAAATCAATAAAAATATATTTAAAAAATACTTTAAAAAAAGAAATAACTGAACTCCTTTATGCTCTGCCCAGTGACTAAATACCTGGAGAAATAAGTATGGCAAGCATCCCAGTTCCCAAGGCATCATCAGAATGGATCTTTGGGTAACTGCATCTTACGTAAGTAAAATCTTCCCACAGTTGAGTGTTTTTCCCTAACCTGTAAGGCAATCTCCGGTGAAAACTTTAATGGATCTGAAATAAATTTTAAATGTGCCCTCAGGGTCCACGTTGTCAAGATCCTTACCCATCCTACATCCTACTTAACGACTCTACTTAAAGCCTGGGCACATGCTCTCCTCCTGCTCAGCTTTAAATAATAAACTAGCACCTTTCTACATAAAACACATTCAGCCCCAGTCGATTTGGCTCAGTGGGTAGAGCGTTGGCCTGAGGATTGAAAGGTCCTGGGTTCGATTCCCGGTCAGGGCACATGCCTGGGCTGCAGGCTCCATCCCCAGTGGTGGGCGTTGCAGGAGGCAGCCGATCCATGATTCTCTCTCATCATGGATGTTTCTCTCTCTCCCTCTCCCTTCCTCTCTGAAATCAATAATAAAAAAATATACTTTTAAAAAAATCCAGTTACCTGCTTCACATCCTTCCTGTTTTAGCTCATTTTTCACGTCTCCCCGAAAAACCCCAACTTCTCTTATTCTGGCTCTCTAGTTGCCTTCATCGTTTTTATCACTGTTGCACTTTTTAAAAAATAAATATATTTTCATTGATTTCAGAGAGGAAGGGAGAGGGAGAGATAGAAACATCAATGGTAAGAGAGAATCATGGATCGGCCGCCTCCTGCACTGGGGATGGAGCCCACAACCCGGCCATGTGCCCTGACCGGGAATCGAACGTGGGACCCTTCAGTCCAGAGGCCGATGCTCTATCCACTGAGCCACACTGGCCACGGACATTGTCACACTTTTATTCTTATTCTGAGGGATGTTTTTGATTACCACCTTCACAGAGAGGTCGTGACTGTATGGTTTCTGCTCATCCCTGTATCCCAGGTGCCTGACACGGAATAAATGCTTCATAAATATTTATTATTTAGTGGATGGATAGCAGCAGAAGTCCCACGCCTCTGACTCTTGCAACTTGCGAGTTGCTCTTTGCTATTCCCAAGCGCCAGTGAGAGGGGAAGGAGGGGGGAGTTCAGGGGGGCGTGGGATACACAGGGGAGGACAGAGAAAGCTTAGAAGTCTGTGTTTCTCACCCTGACCGGTATGGATCAGTGGATAGAGCATCGGCCTGCAGACTGAGGTGTCCCAGGTTCGAGTCAGGTCAAGGGCATGTACCTTGGTTGCGGGCACATCCCCAGTAGGGGGTGTGCAGGAGGCAGCTGATCGATGTTTCTCTCTCATCAATGTTTCTAACTCTCTATCCCTCTCCCTTCCTCTCTGTAAAAAAATCAATAAAATATATATATATTTTTTTAAAAAAAGAGGAAGTCTGAGTTTCTCCAGTCAGGTTAGTTACTTGTTAGAAAGTACACTGCCAAACCCAAGCAATTTTTATTTATTTATTGTAATATATTTTTATTGATCTCAGAGCAGAAGGGATAGGTAGGTAGAGAGAGAAACATCCATGATGAGAGAGAATCACGGACCGGCTGCCTCCTGCACACCCCCTATTGGGGATGGAGCCTGCAACCCCGGCATGTGCCCTTGACCAGAATCGAACCCGGGTCCCTCCAGTCTGCAGGCCGACGCTCTATCTACTGAGCCAAACCAGCCAGGGCCAAAGCAACTTTTTAGAAAGAAGCAGTAAGGAGTGAGTGTACTTTTACTCATCGGACATGTCTCCAGAACATTTGACGTGTCCAGAATCATGTCAGCCTTTTGGGGCGGACTTCTACCAACTCTGACGTCACCTCAGTCGTGCGGTCGGAATGAGCTCTATGGAAAACGAATGAGAACTGGTAACACCACCCGGCTGGCGTGGCTCCGTGGTTGAGCGTCGACCTATGAACCAGGAGGTCATGGTTCGATTCTTGGTCAAGGGCACAGGCCCGGGTTGCGGGCTCGATCTCCAGTGCAGGGTGTGTAGGAGGCAGCCGATCCATGATTCTCTCTCATCATGGATGTTTCTCTCTTTCCCTTTCTGTCTGGAATCAATAAAGATCCTATATCATAAAACCCTAATATGCAAATTGACTGAACAGCAGAACGACCAGTCGCTATGATGCGCACTGACCACCAGGGGGCAGACGTTCAACGCAGGAGATGCCCCATGGTGGTCTGTGCACTTCTGCGGGGGGAGCACTGCTGAGCCAGAAGCGGGGCTTGCTGCTCCTTAGCACTGCTGCGAAGGCAGGAGCCTCCATTTGCCAGGAGCCAGGCTCACAACTGGTGAGCACAGTGGCGGTGGCGGGAGCCTCTCCTATCTGCTGCTGGTGAACGGTAAGGAGCAAGGGGTCCTGGATTGTGAGATCCCCTGACTGTGAGAGGGATGTCTGACTGCTGGCTTAGATCTAAGCAGATGTCTGACTGCCGGCTTAGGCCTGGTCCTGGTCCTATGCCAGCAGTCAGACATCCCCCGAGGGGTCCTGGACTGTGAGAGGGCACAGGCTGGGCTGAGGGACAAGTGCACAAACTTCGTGTACCGGGCCTCTAGTGTGTGTGTGTGTGTGTTTGTATACACACACACACACACACACACACTAGAGGTGCACAAACTCGTGCACAGGTGGGGTCTGGCCAGCCTGCCCCAATTGGCCCCAATTGGGCCTGGGGGAGGGGCCATGGGAGGTTGGTGGGCTGGCCCCACCCCCAATCAGAGTGGGGGGGCCAGTTGGGGACAGGGCTGGCCAGGGGGAGGGGCCATGGGCAGTTGGCCGGCCGGCCCCGCCCCCTGGTTGAACTCCCGGTTGAGGGGACAATTTGCATATTAGCCTTTTATTATATAGGATGTATGGAACGGATAACACTTAAAATGAATATTGTTGTAGAGCAAGCATGTCAAGCTCAAAGCTAACACGGGCCAAATAAACCAGTCATGCGGCCTGCAGGCCACGAGTTTGACATGCTTATGGTAGAGTGTGTGTTTTTAAACCCCAAATTATTGAAATCTGACGGATGAGTTCCTTGAAAGCAGGAGCCTCTCGTGGAGGCTTCTGTACTTCATGCCCAAGACTATGCCTTGAATATAGCGGGCACATGAACAGAATCAAGAACATGAAGCCATTGCATGGACAGATACACAAGGAGATCAAGAAGGCTCAGTCCGAATGAAAGGTGTAGGCTCAGGAGGACTTTTTTTTTTAATCACCCGCTGAATAAATATTGAGGACCTACTATGCGCTCGTAGGCATTGCACTTGGTTTGTGGAAACAGAAGGCTGAGGTAAGCAAGGATAGACACACTTCCTGCTTTCACGGAACCAGGAGACCAACCTAATGATACATGATAGGCAGACGCCAGGAGAGCTGGCCTGGGGTGCTGGCTTGGGGGTGTCCACCTACTGGCTGCTGGGGTGTCCAAGGCATTGAGACGGATGCCTGAGTGCAGGGGCATTATCTAGGGTCAGAGGGCAGGGAGTTCCCAGGCAGGTAAGCCCATATCTTGGGAGGCTCTGTGGCAAGTTACCCCTGGGGCTTGCGAGAAATGAAACATGTCCTGTCCTATAGAATAAAAGCCTAATATGCTAAGTGTCAGGTCGTCTGGTCGTCTGTTCAACCAATCAAAGTGTAATAGGCTGATGATATGCTAAGGCCGTTCAACCGCTCGCTATGACGTGCACTGACCACCTGGGGGCAGACGCTCCAACCGGTAGGTGAGCTTGCTGCTGGGGTCTGGCTGATCAAGACTGAGCGAGACAGGCCGGACACGCATGGGAGCCCTCCCACGGCCCCTCCCCAGTTGGCCAACCTCCCGCTTTCCTCCCTGGCCCTGATCGTGCAGCAGTGGGGTTCCTGGGCCTGGCCTGCACCCTCTCGCAATCCGGACCCCTCAGGGGATGTCAGAGAACCGGTTTCAGCCTGATCCCGCAGGCCAGGCCGAGGAACCCCACTGGTGCACGAATTCATGCACCGTGCCTTTAGTGGGATATAAGCATAAGGTCACAAAGGGCATTGTAGGGGAAAGAAGTTAGAGAAGCAAGTAGGGGCCAAGGCATGAAGGGGTTTTGGTAAAGATTTGGGTGTGTATGAAATCCAATAAATTCAATTCAAAAATTTGCAACCCGAAAAATAAAGCACTTGATTTTTCTAAAAAAGAAAGACATACGATAGGAAAGTATAAGAGGATTTTCAGCAGGGAGGCCAAAGGATTCGATTTGCATTTTAAAAGAAGATCATCTTGCCCTGGCCGGTGTGGTTCAGTGGATAGAGCGTCAGCCTGGGACTGAAGGGTCCCGGGTTCGATCCCGTTCAAGGGCATCTACCTCAGTGGCAGGCTCCTCCCCAGCCCGGGCCCTGGTGGGGCTCATGCAGGAGGCAACCCATGGGTGTGTTTCTCTCACATTGACATTTCTGCCTTTCCCTCTCTCTTCCACTCTCTCTAAAAATCAATGGGCCCTAACTGGTGTGGCTCAGTAGATAGAGCGTCGGCCTGTGGATTGAAGGGTCCCAGGTTCGATTCTGGTCAAGGGCATGTACCTGGGTTGTGGACACATCCCCAGTTGGGGGTGTGCTGGATGCAGCTAATCGATGTTTCTCTCTCATCGATGTTTCTAACTATCCCTCTCCCTTCCTCTCTGTGAAAAAAATAAAATAAATAAAAATCAATGGAAAAATATCCTTAGGTGAGGATTAAAAAATAAAAAACAAATATTAATAATAAATAAAAATGATCACCCTGGCAGGCCAAAGTATAGAAAACAGTTCAGAGGAGCCACAGATATAACCGTCAGGAAACTACTACATTCTTCTAGGTCATGGTGACAGCAGAAAACAGATAAGTACAAGGGATGTGAGCAGGTCAAATCATCTCAGTAGAACTTCTATGTCCCAGCTCATTGCCTGTCATTCAAACTCAGTTCTCATCTTTCTGATTTTTTCTCACGTGACGACCCCACTAGCTTCTTGTTTCTTGGATGGGTTCCAACTGACTACGTGCACCGAGGAGTCCCACTGAGAGAGTTCAACAACTTTATTCAGACCCAGAAGAGTTGGGAGGAAAAGAGGGGAAGCAAAGAGCCGCTCAATATTTACTTAAATGTCGTTATTCCTTCCATTTTACCACCGTGTGCCAGGGCTTCTGGCTTGGGTTTGAGACTCTGGGCTGGAGGGACGTTGCCATACGTGGGATATTTTTCCAAATATTCCGTGGTTGGGCAAAACGCGCCAGAATTTTCATAAATCCCTGTGCTTCCATGTGGACAACGATGTCGCCTGTGTAGACATAAACCAAACCGAAAGATTATTTTCATCTACAATCACATTTTGTGTGATAATTACATGGTAGTCGGAGACCTTCAATAAAATTTAAGAGCATCTTTACTCCACAATTTACAATAGCTGAGACGTGGAAACAGCCCAAGTGCCCGTCAGCAGACGAGTGGATAAAAAAGCTGTGGTACATCTACACCATGGAATGCTATGCAGCTCTGAAAAAGGAGGAACTCTTACCTACCCTTTGAGACGGCATGGAGGGACCTGGAGAGTATCATGCTAAGTGGAATAAGTCAGTCAGAGAAAGACACGTATCCCATGATCTCACTCATATAGGAGCCTAATTAACAAAATAAATTGATGAACAGAGTGGATCCAGAGACATGGGAGCACGGACCAGAGTGCGGAATCTCGGAGGGAAGGGGGTAGAGGGAGGTAATCAACCAAAGACCTTGCATGTATGCATAACTCCCGGCAAACAGTGGGGTCCTGAGGGCCTGGGACGGGGGTGGGGGATGGGGCAGGCTGGAGGGGGTCCATGGGGGGAAAAAGGGGACATATGTAATATTTTCAACAATAAAGATTTTTTTTTAAGCAGTTTTACTCAAAACAAAACTAAAGCCTTCCACTGCCCTGGCTCAGTTGGTTGAGATCCATCCTTCAGTGCACCCAAAGGTCTCTAGTTCGGTTCCAGTCAGAGCGCATACCCAGGTTTCAGATTCATGCCCCACATGTTAATGTACCTTTTAATGTACATCCACTTATCTAGCTATCTATATAAAACCCTAATATGCAAATTGACCCAACGGTGGAATGACAGTTCACTATGACGCACACTATGACGCTCACTATGACACCACCAGGGGGCAGACACTCAACGCAGGAGCTGCCCCCAGCCAGCAGGCCCCAACTGGTGGCTGTGGGGGCGGGGCCAGCGAGCAGCGGCACCAGGCCAACCAATGCAGGTGCCGCGTGTCCCCCGATGGCCCCGAAGATCGGCCCTGATCACTGGCCAGGCCTAGAGACCCTATCTGTGCATGAATTTTGTGCACCGGGCCTCTAGTTAATTATGAACAACTAGAGGCCTGGTGCATGAAATTCATGCACAGGGGGGCGAAGTCCCTCAGCCCGACCTGCACCCTCTCCAATCCAGGACCCCTTGGGGGGATGTTCGACTTCCGGTTTAGGCCCCATCCCGGTTTAACCCCTCTCGAAATCCGGGATTGCTGGCTCCTAACTGCTTGCTTGCCTGCCTGCCTGCCTGCCTGCCTGATTGCCCCTAAATGCCTCTGCTTGCCTGCCTGATGGCCCCCTAACTGGTCCCCCACTGGCCTAGTTGCCCACTAACTGGTCCCCCGCTAGCCTGGTAGCCCCCTAAATGCCCCCCTGCCAGCCTGGCCCCCCTTCACTGACCCCCTGCCAGCCTGATCCCCCCCAACTGCTCCCCTGCTGGTCTGGTCACCCCCTCACTGTCACGAAGGTAGTCGGGCATCCAGAAGATGTCCGGTTGACCTGGTCTAATTAGCATATTACCCTTTTATTAGTATAGATGAAACTGGGGGAGGGGACTGCTGTCCATCAACATGCAGGCGATTTCCCTTTGGAGGAGATTACAACAGAGGGAGGGGCCTATTGGTAACATTTACTTAACCAGCATTCTCTAATCCCTGGGTCAACAGGGAAGCCCAGAGGGCTGTTGACAGGAGCGAAGGTTGCTAGGCAGGACTCACAGACCAGTTCTGGGTCTCAAGGTGGCCACACTACCTTCCCGGTGACTCGGACCCAGGGGAGTGCTGCTTGGGCGGGAAGGGGAATAGGGAGCTGAAAGAAGCCCCAAACAGGTTGAAAACTCAAGAATTGCACATCTTTCATGGGGGGGGGGGACGGGGGAGCTGGGAGGGCGTGGCTCAGTGGTTGAGCCTCTACCTATGAAGCAGGAGGTTACCCTTCAATTCCCAGTCAGGGGACATGTCCGGGTTACAGACTTGATTCCCCAGTGTGGATCTATGATTCTCTCTCATCACTGATGTTTCTCTATCTCTCTCCACCTCTCCCTTCCTCTCTGAAATCAATAAAAAATCCTATATAATAAAAACCTAATACGTAAACCGACCAAACATCAGAACAACTGGTTGCTATGACACACACTGACCACCAGGGGGCAGATGCGCAACACGGGAGCTGCCCCCTGGTGGTCAGTAGGCTCCCACAAGGGGGAGCGCTGCTCAGCCAGAAGCCTGGCTCAGCCTCTCCTGCCTCCCCTGCAGGCAGGCAGTAAGGTGCAAGGGGTCCCAGACTCCGAGAGGGATGGGGGGATCTGGCCTAAGCCGGCAGGCGACATCCCCGAGACTTCCAGGACTGAGAGAGGGCACAGGCTGGACTGAGGGACAACCCCCCCACTCCCAGTGCACGAATTTCATGCACTGGACCTCTAGTATATTAGGAAAAAAAAAGAATTGCACACCATTCTGTTCTATTCCTTTTCCTCGATCTTTCTTTCCCTTCTCTTTAAATAAAAAAAAAACAAACTTCGGGACATCCAGGCTCCCAGGCGGATCCGATCCCTCCACTTTACCAGCCTTAATCCTGCCACACCTTCACGCCTATGACCTGCCCGGCCGGATGGCGGGTCAGTGTGCGCCCGGGACAGGGCGCCTACAGCAGAAACGTCTAAACCGCGTGTAAACCCCGGTCACCGGCGGCGTGGCCCGCGGCCCCAGCCCTCCCGCCGCCCGCGCCGCCGCTCACCCGCACGTGCAGATCTGACACAGGCACCAGCTCCGCATGCTCTCCTCCCGCCGGGTCCACTGCGCGGCGCCTCCGAGCAGCCGCTGCCCTAGTTCCGACGCGCCTGCCGTCGCCCGGGCAACGCGGGCGCCCAGGAGACGGACGCGGTGACGTCAGCACGCGCGGGACTGACGTCGCAGGTCCCCCGCCCCGCCCCGCGCGCAGGCGCACTGCCCCCGCGAAGCTCCGGACGCCTCGGACGCGCGTGTGCGACCCGGCGAGGGTTCCGAGCAGGTGGGTGCGCCCCCCGCCCCCGCCGCTGGGATCGGGGTCCCCGTCGGCCGTCTCCGGGCGGGTGGGGGGCCGGGGCAACGGGAGGGGACGGGCCGCTTCCCCGCGCGGCCCCGGTTCCCACGCGCTGAGGAGAAGGGGGCGTCGACTTCGCGGAAGAAGGGGATGCGGGACCCCAGAACCGCGCGGGGTTCGGGGGGGCCGGCCCGTGACCCCAAACTTTCCCTCGGGCGCCGTGGGCCGTCCGGGGCCGCGGACGTTTCCCTCGGGAAGCGCGTGCGGGGTGAGTGCGGGGCGGGGGGAAAAGGGGAGTCTCCCTGGGGTCCCCTCCGTGCACCCCGCGCCCAGCGCCGCGGGGAACCTCCCAGCCGCCCCGCGCGGGGGCTTGTGGGGGGAGCCGAGCCCGCGCCCGGTCGGGGCAGGTGTGCGCGTCAGGGCGGCGGCCGGACTTGGGCCCCGCGGAGGGTGGGGGTGTCGCTTCCCCCGGGACCTTGCCCCGGGTTCCGGGGTGCGGCGCCCGCGAGCTGTCCCGTCGGCAACTTGCCAGCGTTTTTACTTTCTCATTAAAAAGTGATTTGAACGCCCCGCCCCGGAGCCCAGGTGCCCAGGTGCCCCCGGCCCCGGAAGCCGGCGGCCATGGGGCCCCACAGTTTGGAGAAGATGGTGCAGCTGCAGAGGAACCCCGCGAACGTCAGGAACATCTGCGTGTTGGCGCACGTGGACCACGGTGAGGAGCCGGGGACCTGTCCTGTCCTGTCCGGGGGCCGGGGGTGCGGGGGCGGGGCTCCCGGGTGTCAGCGGCGTGAGGGGCGGGACTTCCTGCCTTTGATGTCCGGGACGCGCATGCGCGGTGAAACATTGCAAATACAGGCAGTTGCCCCGTGATTTGCATTCTGGCATGTTTCCTTGTTTTTTATCTATCTGTCTGTCTGTCTGTCTGTCTGTCTATCTGTCTATCTGTCTATCCATCTGTCTGTCTGTCTGTCTGTCTATCTATCTAATCTATCTCTCTAATCTAATCTGTCATCTATCTATTTATTTATTTAAATTTCAGAGAGGAAGGGGGAGGGACAGAAAGAGAAACATCTATGATGAAAGAGGATCATGGACCGGCTGCCTCCTGCATGCCCCATGCTGGGGATCGAGCCCGCAACCTGGGCCTGTGCCCTGATGGGAATCGAACCCTGACCTCCTGGTTCATAGGTCGATGCTCAACCAGGGAGCCACGCTGCCCAAAACTGTTGCCTTGTTTTCTAAATGAGAATTTGAGTTTTTAAAACTCGGGAGTTAGCCCGAGCTGGTGTGACTCAGTGGATAGAGCGTCGGCCTGTGGACTGTAAGGTCCCGGGTTTGATTCTGGTCAAGGGCACGGACCTCGGTTGCAGGCTCCTCCCCAGCCCGGGCCCTGGTCCGGGCACGTGCAGGAGGCAACCAGTTGATGAGTTTTTCTCACTAGGATGTTTCTCTCTGTCTTTCCCTCTCTCTTCCACTCTCCCTAAAAAATCAATGGAAAAATATCCTGGGGTGAGGATTAAGAAATAATAATTATTATTATTAAAAATAAAAGATAAATAAAAACATAAATAGATTTAAATTAATACTGATATTTTAACAGGCAAAACTACCCTGGCCGACTGCCTCATATCCAGCAATGGAATCATCTCCAGCCGCCTGGCAGGCAAGGTATGTAGTTGCAGTGGATGAACACTTGTTGCGTCTCAGCAAGTAGCAGCCACCTATGGTGTGATGAACGTCTGCTGTGTGCTTAGTGATCCTGTAAGCACCACGCATCAGGCGATATCCTGGCACAGTTGTGGCCGTTTTCCCAGGCGGGTGAGGTGGTTTGAGGGGAAAGCAAAGAAAGCCTCAACCAGGGGGAAAATAACACGGGAAAAGGCTCCGTGGCGAGGTCTGCTTGATGGGAGTGGAAGGTTGGCATCTACACCACCAGGAGAGAACACGAACTGGTAGAGGGTGTATCAGATGATCGCAGACCTTCAAGGCTCAGTGACGTGCCACAGGTCGGCTTCTGCAGCCTGTGGGCCGTGATGGACATATTTTAGGAAAGGAATTCAAGAGATCTTCGTTTCCGGCTGCACTGTGAAAGGACGGGGAATAACTTACTTGCAATACAAAATAGCGATGTTGCCCTGGCCGGTTTGGCTTGGTGGATAGAGCATCGGCCTGTGGACTGAAGGGTCCCGGGTTAAATTCCGGTTGGGGGCATGTACCTTGGTTGCGGGCACAGCCCCAGTGGGGGGTGTGCAGGAGGCGGCTGATTGATGTTTCTCTCTCATCAATGTTTCTGACTCTCTATCCCTCTCCCTTCCTCTCTGTAAAAAATCAATAAAATGTATTTAAAAACAAAACAAAAATAACCAAAATAGCGATGTTCCTCGCCTTAATGAGTTTAGAATATAACCAGCAGGATGCGTCAGGTGACTGGGAACAGAGAGAAGGGGAGATGGAGAAGCAAAATAGAATCAAAAAAGTACACATAGAAGACTGAAAGAAGAAATGCACACGTCTATATATGTAAAAGCCTAAGCCACCTTTGCAACCGGTGGACCAGTAGCTATGACGACGCACTGACTACCAGGGGGCAGACGCTCAGCACAGGAGCTGCCCCCTGGTGGTCAGTGCGCTCCCACAGCCAACCTCCCACTGTTCCTTCCCCGGCCCGCAGGCCCCGATAAGCCCCCCTCGCTGTCCAGGCTGAGGGAACTCACCTGTGCACGAATTTGTGCACCAGGCCTCTAGTAATAAAAGCATAATATGCTAATTAGACCTGATGTCCTTCCGGATGACCTTCCAGACGAAGCTGGGCTGCGAGGGAAGCCTGGGTCCTCGCCGCCTGCCAGCAGCCGGAGGGAAGCTGGTGCCGGCAGCCAGGGGACGGAAGGCCTACTCTTGCACGGATTTTGTGCATTGGGCCTCTAGTATAGAATACCAAGAGAACGAGACTTTTTGGAGGAAGGCCTGTCTTTCTTTTTTTAAATATATTTTTAGAGAGGAAGGGAGAGGGAAAGGGCGATGGAAACATCAATGATGAGAGAGAATCTCAGATTGGCTGCCTCTTACACACCCCCTACTGGGGGCACAGTCTGCAGCCCGGGTGAGTGCCCTTGACCGGAATTGAACCCGGGACCCATCAGTCTGCAGGCCAACAATGCTCTGTCCACTGAGCCACACCGGCCAGGGCTGGAGGAAGGCCTTTCTGAGAAGTTGGAGAGGTGAAGAGGAGCCAGGAGTGGGACCTAGGGAGAGGCAGACAGGAAACCAGGAGATGGGAGACCCCTGGGAGAATTTCACGCATGTGCAGAGCGCACACATGTGCAGAGCGCACACATGTGCAGAGCACACACATGCACCAAGAGTAACTCACTCAGGTGTGTCTAATGCCCTGACCAAGAAGAGTGAGGGCTGACCAGGTTGGTGTGTTTGGCCAGAGGTCATTGGTAGCTTTTAAGCGTTTGTTTTGCTAGAAGCTATGGGACATGAAGCTTTTCTGGAAATTAAAGAATGAATACGGGATGAATCCACGTGGCAACCCCATGACAACAAGTTACTCTCAAGGCTTCTGAACGAAAGAAATGAGGAAATCTAACGGGTGTAGAAGTACCCTCACCAGTCTGGCTCAGTGGACAGAGCATCAGCCCAGGTTCTGAAGGGTCCCGGGTTCGATTCTGGTCAAAGGCACATATCTCGCTTGCAGGCTCGGTCCCCAGCCCTGGTCCGGGTGCGTGTGGGAGGCAACCCATCAATGTGTCTCTCTCACATCGACGTTTCTCTCTCTCTCTTTCTCCCCTCTCCTCCACTCTCTCTAAAAATCAATGGGAAAATATTCTCTGGTGAGGATTAACAACAACAACAAAAAGAATGAAGTTTTCAGAAGTGTGGCAGTGGAGAGAAGTAGGGCTGGGCAGGGAATAGGCCGTCCTGCAACGGGCGGAGGGGGTAGCGAGGTGCTCAGGGCTGGGCCGGAGAGGGGTTCTCCGGTCCATTGAAGCCACCGTCAGTACGAAGCTCTGTAGCGCCCCGGGAACGAGATGCAGGCCCGTGTGTGGGCGTTTACGCTTTATGAAAGCCATCAGCTAAATAAATGGCCGTGTTAGAAACATCTTCTACCTTCTCATTCTCCTTCTGTTGTTGTTGTTAATCCTCACACCCGAGGATATTTTTCCATTGATTTTTAGAGAGAGTGGAAGGGAGAGGGAGAGATAAACATCGATGTGAGAGACTCATTGATTGGTTGCCTCTCACTTGGCGCCCCTACGGGGCCAGGGATTGAGCCTGCAACTGAGGTACAAGCCCTTGATGGGAATCAAACTGGGTGGGACCCATCAGTCCACAGGCCAGTGCTCTATCCACTGAGCAACACGGGCTAGGGCTACCCTATCATTCTTTTTTTTTTTCCTTTATTGATTTCAGAGAGGAAGGAATAGGGAGAGGGAGATAGAAACATCAATGATGAGAGAATCATGGATCGGCTGCCTCCTGCACGCCCCCTACTTGAATCAAGCCCACAACTCAGGCATGTGCCCTTGGCCGGAATCGAACCTGGGACCCTTCAGTCCACAGGCCGACACTCTGTCCACTGAGCCACATTGGCTAGGGCCTTATTATTCTTTAAAATCTAATTTAGGGGAAGGAGTGAAGGCGTCCCTGGCTTCCAGAGACTCCTGTTGGAATGTCTGTTCAGACTTTGTCAATGAGCCTGTGAAGGGAAAGAGTGGCCGTGTTCTTGGTGAATGGAAGAACGTTCCCCCAGGCTGCCTTCTGTGAACGGCTCAGGACCACCCGTCACTCACGGCTGGAATCTGAATGAGCAGCCCCCACCCCGGGGAGGCTGTGTGTGGTCTGACTGCATTTGCAAACTAGTTCATGTCTTTCAGTTTGTCTGTGTTCTCTTCCCCATGACAAACTAGCATTCTCCATCCCTCCCCCTTAAAAATGTCCAAAGGGCCTTTAGTTTAAAAGGTAAGCACGTAAGCCCGGCCGCCGTGGCTCAGGAGCTGAGCGTCGGCCTAGGAACCAGGAGGTCACGGTAAGATTCCTGGTCAGGGCACATCCGTCCCCCGTGGGGGGCGTGCAGGAAGCAGCTGATCAATGATTCTCTCTCATCATGGATGTTTCAGTCTCTCTCTCTCTCCCCTCCCTTCCTCTCTGACATAAAAATGTATATTTTTTTAAAGTAAGCACTTAACGCAAAAGTCCAAATCATTCCACTTGAATGTGACGTTTCAGTTCCGTGGGCAGTAAGGGTGCCTCTGTTTGTTCCCACAGTTACGGTACATGGACAGCCGGGAGGACGAGCAGATCCGGGGCATCACCATGAAATCCAGCGCCATCTCCCTGCATTACGCACAAGGTAAGTCCATCTCTGTTTTAAAGAAAAAGAGTTTTGAATCTTCCATTCTTTTCCCGGGTTCATTGCCTGCCTCCGTTTCTTTCGTTCTACTCCACACGTCACATTCTCGCCTTTCCAAATGACCTGTGGTCAGAGCCAGGCTGTCCAGACTTGGACGCAGGTGGGAACCTCTGGCTGTTCACACCTGTCCTCCTCCCCCCCACCCCCCCGTCCACCCAGGTGATTTTGTAGATTTCGTTCTTTTTAAAAATATATTTTATTGATTTCAGAGAGGAAGGGAGAAGGAGAGGCAGAAACATCAATGATGACAGAGAATCTTTGATCAGCTGCCTCCTGCACACACCCCTACTGGAGATCGAGCCCGCAGCCCAGGCATGTGCCCTTGACTGGAATCAAACCTGGGAGTCTTCAGCCCACAGGCTGACGCCCTATCCACTGGGCCAAGCCAGTGAGGGCTAGAAAAATATTTTTTAAAACATCCTTTCCAGTGTGTCCTTATAAACCCACTGATCATAATTGCCAAGTTAACTATGTGTTATAGTCATTTATTCCCCGACTGATCACCTATTTTTTGTATCATCCACTGTATAAAAATGACTCGGAATCTATGTTCCCCGTTATTCCTGGCTCAAAAATGGATCATTAAACGCCATTTTACTGCATCACAACTTTTTTGGGGAATCAAGCTGCCGGGGCTGAGCTGCAGACCCCGAGGGACAGATGAATGGAGGACTCTGACACAGCGTTTGATGTGAAAGAGAGGGCTAAGGGGCCGCCTGGCTAAAGGGACCAGGCAGCCTCAACCGCCCACCTCCTTAGGCTTTTATTGTAGCAGCAGTTTGAGATCGAGTTTATCTTTTAGCTACAGAAGACGAAGGTTCTCAAGTAGCTGACTGGGGACCTATTACGATGGGAAGACTTGCTCTGTCGCCTTCAGATGTTGGGCCTACTTGCCTAACACTCTGCAGGCTTTCCCGGCACGTCTCCCTCCTCCTGGAACTGCTTTTCTAATTCCTTATGATACACAGCCTGGCGTTGCAGGTGGCCTGTGTCACTCTTCTGTTCGTCCAGGGATTTCCCAGGAGCATAAGACATCACAGCAGGTCCTTGGGTTACGTCGGAGAGCCGTTCCTATGGTGACGTAACGCGATTTTTTTCGCCGTAAGTCAGAACCCACCTACATAAGCACCTATATCACTCACATGGAGCACAGACACAGCAGTCATGAAGTGAAACAGTAAAAAAAATTTAAAAGAAAGATAACAATTCCTGACCTTTCCTTGTGGTAAATAAATAAAAAGCATAAAGCACATAGGCACATACGTCGAAATGACGGAACTTTTTTTTTTATAAATAAATGGGAGATGGCGACGTAACCATGAAACGACGTTCGTCGAGTCCGACGTCACCCGAGGACTGCCTGCAGTGTCACTGTTGGCAGAAGCCATGGTGTGCAGGTCTGGCAGGAGCTTGGCTCACTGGTTCTCCGACTCCAGGGCCGACTCCAGAGCTTGTAAACCGGCTCCCCAGGCACCTATCTCGGGCCTCCTCATCTCCGGAAGGCAGATGACTCTCCCGTCCTCAGAGCTCCCAGGAATTGCTTCCCATGCTCCCCTTCACCTCAGCTTCGTCTTCCAAGAACGTGGCACAACAGGTTCTTCCGGGTCTTCCACGTAATAACAGGCCACGGACAAAGAAGCATCGCTGATGGGCAGCTCGTAAGACGCCACGTGATGAGTAGCAACCCTACGCTGGTCAGAGGGGGCTGCCGGGCTGCCGTCTCAGCTCCAGAGAGCACCAGGCAGAAACGGTGCTTGTGGGTGAAGGCATCTGGGGTGGATCAGTGTGACCCTCCCAGGACAGCAAGCTGCCCTCACGGCCCCAGCGCACTTGGGGGTCCTTCGCCCAGTGTTGTGCTGCCCACAGGTCTGGCCTCCCAGGATGAAATGCGGGCCATCCTGAGCAGCGTGGCCGAGCGTGTGGCTTTGGGGTTAGATGGGTCCGAGCTTCCCCGCTGCCGTTCTGCAGTGTTTGATCTCAGGCGGGGAACCTCAGAGCCGGTTCTAGCCGCGTGTCCTGCAGAAAAACATTGAGCTTTCTGCGTCCTCGTGTTCCGCTCTGTAAAACTGGGCTGATGGGAGCGGCCACCACAAAGGGTGGTTGTAGGCCGACAGGAAGGAGTGCCTGTACACGGCTTGGAACAGTGCCAGGCACACAGGCCGCCCCGGATGCGAGCCCGGCCTTGGTGGTTGTCTTATCATCATCAGTGTCACCTCGGGCCGAGCCCCGTCATCGGGCTGTTAAAGTCCCCGGGGAGAGCCCGCGACGCGCCCCATAGCTTACCGTATTCAGCCCCGTCATCGGGCTGTTAAAGTCCCCGGGGAGAGCCCGCGACGCGCCCCGTAACTTACCATATTCAGCCCCGTCATCGGGCTGTTAAAGTCCCCGGGGAGAGCCCGCGACGCGCCCCGTAACTTACCATATTCAGCCCCGTCATCGGGCTGTTAAAGTCCCTGGGGAGAGCCCGCGACGCGCCCCGATAGCTTACCATATTCAGCCCCGTCATCGGGCTGTTAAAGTCCCCGGGGAGAGCCCGCGACGCGCCCCATAGCTTACCATATTCAGCCCCGTCATCGGGCTGTTAAAGTCCCCGGGGAGAGCCCGCGACGCGCCCCATAGCTTACCGTATTCAGCCCCGTCATCGGGCTGTTAAAGTCCCCGGGGAGAGCCCTCGACGCACCCCATAGCTTACCGTATTCAGCCCCGTCATCGGGCTGTTAAAGTCCCCGGGGAGAGCCCTCGACGCACCCCATAGCTTACCGTATTCAGCCCCGTCATCGGGCTGTTAAAGTCCCCGGGGAGAGCCCGCGACGCACCCCATAGCTTACCATATTCAGCCCCGCGGAGTCTGGAGCCCGCAGGCTGAAGGGCAGAGTATAGAGAAGGAGCGAAAGTCCAGTGTCTGTGGGGGTGTTTGAGCGTTTGAGTAATTGTTTTACCTTTGGAAGAGAATGATGTCACGTTAGCAGTGAGTGGGAATGAGGGTAGAATGCTAACGAGATACCGTTTTTCTTCCTGGTTCACTTACGTTTTAAGGTTCAGTCTCTCTAACCTGGGGGCGGGGCCAGTCACTCTGCCGTGCCCGGGCCTGACATCAGCTTAGTGGGATGTGGCACTTCCAGCTGAACGGCGTGTGTGGTCGCCCGGCTGTACGCGTAACACGCGTGTGTGTCGTGAGCCTGGAGGGGAGACTCCATGCGAGAGCGCTTAGCACACGGCTTGGTTTGTAGAATTGACTCGAACTCTGGACTGAGCAGATCCGCGCCTGAGCTTTGAGGTTTTGTAGGGAAGTCGTCGGCCAGCTGCTGTGTCTGTTGAAGTCGGCATTTCCCGTTTGGGCCCCTTTGAACAACCTTCCCTCTCGGGCGTTGGTCCTTGTATAGTCTCAACTTCCTAATCTGTGAAATGGGTATAGCAATATGTACCTAATAGGCTTATTGTAAGGGTTCAATAGTGTGTGATCAGCACATTACATTTGTTTACTTAACACAGTGCCTGCCTCACAGGAGGCTAAGCAAGTGGTAACTATTAGAATAATAAAATCTGAATATTTTATTTTATTTATTTATTTATTTGGGAGGAGGGGGTGAGAGAGAGAGAGAAACATTGATTGGTTGCCTCCTGAAAGTTGGGCCCAGGAGGAACCTGCAGTCCCTCCCCAGCAACCAGCCCCCATCACCCTGGTCAGGATTGGGCAAGATGGCCCCGATTGGCCCCAATCGCCGGCCAGGCCGAGGGACCCCACCCGTGCACGAATGTGCACTGGGCCTCTAGTAAAAACCTAGGTATGTGCCCTAGGCTGGGAATTAAACCCACAACCCGCCCTAGCCGGTTTGGCTCAGTGGATAGAGCGTTGGCCTGCAGACTGAAGGGTCCTGGGCTCGATTCCTGGTCAGGGCACATGCCCGGGTTGTGGGCTCTATCCCCAGTAGGGGACGTGTAAGAGGCAGCTGATTAATGATTCTCTCTCATTGAGGTTTCTATCTCTCTCTCTGCCTCTCCCTTCCTCTCTGAAATCAATCGTATATAATAAAAGTGTAATATGCTAAGTGTCCAATCATTCCACCAGTTGCTATGATGCACACTGACCACCAGGGGGCAGACACTCCAACCGGTAGGCTAGCTTGCTGCTGGGGTCCGGCCGATCAGGACTGGGCAGGACAGACTGGACACGCCCTGGAGCCCTCCTGCGGTCCCTCCCCGGCAGCCAGCCCCCATCACCCCGGTCACGATTAGGCGAGATGACCCTGCCAGGCTGCGGGCCCCCCCCCCACCACCACCTGTGCATGAATTCGTGCACCGGGTCTCTAGTAAAAATGTATTTTTGAAAAATAAAAGTAAACTCAACCTTTCGGTCCCACGGCTGACACTCTAACCACTGAGCAACCCAGCCAGGGCAAGTCCGAATGTTTTATATAGACGCTGTTTGGAATCAGCAGTTTCGTCCACGGGAATTCCAGACGGACTGAAAGCTGCGGGTGGGGCCTCTGCCCTCTGTAGCCTGACATCAGCTCTGAGCGCTCTGCCTCTGGGACGCCGGAGGCAGTGCGTCGTATACCTGCACGGCTGACAGCGGCCGTCCCGCCCTCCACTCCAGGTGGCGAGGAGTACCTCATCAACCTCATAGACTCCCCGGGCCACGTGGACTTCTCCTCCGAAGTGTCCACGGCCGTTCGCATCTGCGACGGGTGCATCATCGTGGTCGATGCCGTGGAGGGAGTCTGCCCACAGGTAGGGAGGGGGCTGTGGTGTGGAAATACGTCACGGGTGCGGGGAGGTGGCGGAGGAGGAAGTGACTGCTGGTGGCCGTGTGCACTGAGACGTTTCACTGACAATCACAGGTTTTACATTTGGCGTTCGATAACCTCCCAGTCTGTGGTGGCGTTACCTCACCTAAGTTTTCAGGGTGACTTTAACTTTAGATTCTTTTTTTTTAAATACATTTTTATTGATTTCAGAGAGGAAGGGAGAGAGAGAGATAGAAATATCAGTGATGAGAGAGAATCATGGACCGGCTGTCTCCTGCACGCCCTACACTGGGGATCCAGCCCGCAACCCGGGCCTGTGCCCTGAGCGGGAATCGAACCCTGACCTCCAGGCTCGTAGGGTGATGCTCAACCGCTGAGCCACGCGGCCGGGCGGGCTCCTCCTTGTCTTTTACACAGGTTCACTTATTCTCCTTAAGCAAATGGCCAGTTCCACGAAGGGAAGGATGGTGTGTGGTCTGAACTTCCTTGCTGATGTGTTCTACACTTGTGAATGTCTCGTGACCACCTGTGTCTGACGGGCGTAGTCCGAGTTATAAAGGAGGATGGGAATGAGCTGATGATTAGTTCTTTAAAAAGTAGATTTGTATTGATTTCAGAGAGAAGGGAGAGGGAGAGAGCGATAGAAACACCAATGATGAGAGAGAATCGCTGATCAGCCGCCTCCTGCACGCCCCACACTGGGGATCGAGCCACAACCCGGGCCTGTGCCCTTGACTGTAATCAAACCCTGGACCCTTTAGTCCACAGGTCAATGCTCTACCCACTGGGCAACCCAGCCAGGGCGGAATAAGCTGATTATTAATCAAGATTTCTTAAATGTGCTTTAATTATTTCAGATCACGAGTTTTCCGCTCTCCTTTCTGTTTCCATCAGACACAGGCAGTTCTGCGCCAGGCCTGGCTCGAAAACATCCGGCCCGTGCTGGTGATCAATAAGACCGATCGCCTGATCGTGGAGCTGAAGCTCACCCCTCAGGAGGCCTACTCCCACCTCAAGAACATCTTAGAGCAGGTATCGCGTCCTTTTCTGCGGCCGTTTAAAATCGGGGCTCGAGGAGGAGCTGCAAGGAAGTTGCCGGGTGGAGTCTGAGGTGCGGCTCTGGAAAATTCACTTCCTTAGAATTACTCGCTTTCCCACTTACGAGTCACACGTGCTGGCATCCGCAGAGAACAGCAGAGGCGGCAGCGCACGCCTCCTCTCGGGGTCCCGCCGGCTGGGAGCGTCCTCGCGCGTGAGGCTCGGACAATAGGTTTTAATGCTCTTTAATGTTTGAAATCTTGTCGTTCTGGTTCCACAGGGAGGCGGTGTTAGGAGGCTGTTTGGTTTTTGTGTTTTGTTTTGTTTTTTAATTTTTTCCCAGAAAGATTGGATAGTTTCTGAGTTGGTTTTTTTAAAAAAATATATTTCTTTATTGATTTCAGAAAGGAGGGGGAGAGAGAGAAACATCCATGATGGGAAAGAATCATGGATCGGCTGCCTTCTGTACCCCCCACTGGGTCTGGAGCCCACAACACAGGCATGTGCCCTTGACTGGGAATCAAACCCTGACCTCCTGGTTTATTGGTCGACGCTCAACCACTGCGCCACACAGGCCGGGCGTGGATTTCTGAATAGTAGCTTCCATCGTCTCTCTGAGGTCGGAAATAAGATGACTTGAGAGTGAAAGTCGTTGGGAGTTAGAGGTCGGGAAGGGGGCCTGCGAGAGTGGTGACAAGTTCAAATGCGTAGCTGATGTGCGACATGGCCGGGCTAAGGCTGACTAAGGCTGCTAACTAGGATCCTGGGAGCCCTGAGTTCCCGGGACGCCAGGCCTCAGTCCTGAAAAACAGGTAAAGGTACCACACATTCGTGTTTGCATTAAAACAGTCATCACAAGAATGCCCTGCGGGAGCCGCACAGTCTAGCTGTGCTGGGGCCAGAAAGAACCGCTTGGTAACACGGAAGTTATTCATTGTCAACGCCAGCCTCGCCTGAGCCCAGGCGGTGACTGACTGACTGACTGACGGTGGTTCCAGGCGTGGCCAGTGCTCGTCACGGGGTCTCCCGCCCCGGCGCCAAGCAGCCGATTGACCCTCCGCCCTTTCACCCTCTCTCCTAGATCAATGCGCTCACGGGAACTCTTTTTACTTCTAAAGTCCTAGAAGAGAGGGCGGAGAGAGAGAGCGAGGCCCCCGGGGCCCCGGGGGCCGACCGGGCGGAGCAGGTGTACGACTGGAGCGCGGGCTTGGAGGACGCGGACGACTCCCACCTGTACTTCTCCCCGGACCAGGGCAACGTGGTCTTCGCCAGCGCCATCGACGGCTGGGGCTTCGGGTGAGTCCGTCCCTCAGGTCCAGCCTCGCTGTGGCTTCCAGACACAGCTGATGTGTGTGTTTTATATTTTTATTGATGTCAGAGAAGAAGGGAGAGGGAGAGAGAGAGAGACATCCATGACGAGAGAGAATCACGGACCGGCTGCCTCCTGCACGCCCCCCACTGGGGATCGAGCCCGCAACCCGGGCCTGTGCCCTGACCGGGAATCAAACCCTGGACCTCCTGGTTCCTAGGTCAGCGCTCAGCCACTGAGCCACGCGGGCCGGGGGCTACACAGCTGATACTTTAAATGGAACTTTGTGTTTTGAGATCATTGTAGATGCACCACAGTTGTTAGAAGGAATACAGATTCTCTTTTTACTGATCCCTGAAGTAGCAGCCACACAGGGCAACCAATTGATGGTTCTGTCTCGTCTCTCTCCTCCCCTCCCTCCCTCGCTCTCTCCCTCCCTCCTTAGTCTCTCTCAATAGAATCCATAAGAACATGTCCCCGGATGAGGATTAAACACAATAAAAGGCACCATGGCATGAATTCTGCTTCATGGGGAGGTAGAGAGATGGGACAAGACATGGGCTCTGGAGCCAGACTGTGTGGGCTGCATCCCAGCGTCACGTGCTCCCTGTGTCACGTCTCTGCTCCTTTGTCCCTTTCTGTAAAGGGGGGGGTTAGCGCCTGCCTCGGGGGAGAGGGAACGAGTGCAGTGAGGGACACATTCGAGGCACTTTGGACAGAACGGTGCCTGGTCATTCTGACTGATGTCACTAATGACATGACCACTTGCTTTTTTTTTTTTTCCCCCCCAGAATTGAGCACTTTGCCCAAATCTACAGTCAAAAAATTGGCATAAAAAAGGAAGTTCTTTTGAAAACATTGTGGGGAGACTATTACATAAATATGAAGGCCAAGAAGATCATGAAGGTGGATCAGGTAATGGGCTTATGTCCCTTTTGTTTTCTTGTTGTTTTTTTATTGTTGCTGTTTTTAATTCTCACCCAAGGATCTTTTTAGGGAGAGTGGAAGGGAGGGGGAGAGACAGAGAGAAACATCGATGTGAGAGGAACACATCAATGGGTTGCCTCCTGCATGAGCCCTGACCAGGGCCTGGGCCGGGGAGGAGCCTGCAACCAAGGTACGTACCCTTGACCGGAATCGAACCCAAGACCCTTCCGTCCTCAGGCCGATGCTCTATCCACTGAGCCACATGGCCAGGGCTCTCTTTTGAATGTGGGTTCCTCCCCTTAGGAACCTGAACTGTGACCCCTTTAGTGGATGTAATTCGGCTCTGACTCATGGGGGCAGTTCCTGAAGGATGTTTCACCGTCTGTGTTTGGTTTATGCTCATGAATCTTATATTCAAGTGCTGCTTAAATAGAGCGCTTCACATACAGGGAGCAAAGAGTTGCTTTCTTTTTTTTTTTTTAGAGGAGAAAAATCTTAGATCCTGGTCACTTGAAGACATTTTTTAAAAATACTTTTTATTGATTTCAGAGAGAAAGGGAGAGGGAGAGAGAGATAGAAACATCAATGAGGAGAGAGAATCATTGATCAGCTGCCTCCTACACGCCCCACACTGGGGATCGAGCCCACAACCCAGGCATGTGCCCTGACCAGGATTCGAACCTGGGACCTTCTGGTTCATGGGCCGAGGCTCAACCACTGAGCCACACCAGCCAGGCTTGAAGACCCATTTTGCATCATGTACATGTGTGCCACCTCCACCATAAACAGACATCTCTTTCACACCCCTCTGTGTGGCCTACATGACATCCTTGCCTTAGCTGAGGCCTTCTTTTTTTTTTTTTAAATATATTTTATTGATTTTTTACAGACAGGAAGGGAGAGGGATAGAGAGCTAGAAACATCGATGAGAGAGAAACATCGATCAGCTGCCTCCTGCACACCTCCCACTGGGGATGTGCCTGCAACCGAGGTCCATGCCCTTGACCGGAATCGAACCCGGGACCCTTCAGTCTGCAGGCCGGTGCTCTATCCACTGAGCCATACCAGTTAGGTGCCGAGGCCTTCTCTTATCCATGCCCGTCCCCTTGCGTGCTGAGGGGGGAGCGGGTGCTCCGGGGCCCTGCCTCTGGGGACGGGGGGGGCAGGGCTGCCCAGTCCCAGGCGGCGAGGTCCTTTTCCTGAAGCTTCGCTCCTCAGTGTCGAGTTCAGGGTTTCATAAATTTATTCTCACTGAAGAGCACAGGTGTTCTTCTTAGAAAGGACTCAGAGGGCACAGGGAAGACAACAGCCAGAGGCCAGCACCCAGCTACTGCCGTGGTTTTCATTTCTTTTATTTTACTTGGTTAATCCTCCCCCGAGGATATTTTTCCATTGATTTTTAGAGAGAGAGGAAGGGAGAGGGAGAGACAGAAACATCGATGGGAGAGAGACACATCGATGGGTTGCCTCCTGCACAAGTCCCAACCAGGGCCCGGGCTGGGGAGGAGCCTGCAACCGAGGTCCATGCCCTTGACCGGAATCGAACCCGGGACCCTTTGGTCTGCAGGCAGACGCTCTATCCACTGAGCCACACCGGCCAGGGCTCTTGTGTTCTGGCTGACTAGATCTCTCCGTCCCTCACTGCGATTGTACAGTCTGCGTAATGTGGCTCCTTTCTTGCTTGTTACTATGAAGCACAAAGCCCCACGTGTGAGCCTCTTCCCTGGGCCATGGCAGGCCTTGAATCAGCAGCGTATTGAAGGGGGGCCAGTGCAGGGAGCGGGGAAGGCGGGGGCCTGACTGGAGGTTTGATCTCGGCCCCAGCCCTCACCAGCTGCGCCCTGTGCCTCAGTGTTTCCATCTGTGAAATGGAGGCAGCAGGCTGGCCTCATGGGGCGGGTATGATAACGATACGAAGCCATCCAAGGAAAGCCTGGAGACCGTCCTGTCCCCTGAGTGCCCTGTCATCAGTGTGTGCTGTGAGCGCGTCATCTTTACATCAGCGGTTCTCAACCTGTGGGTGCAACCCCTTTGGCGGTCGAATAACCCTTTCACAGGGGTCGCCTAAGCCCATCCTGCATATCAGGTATTTACATGACGATTCATAACAGTGGCAACATGACAGTGATGAAGTAGCCACGGAAATAATTCCATGGCTGGGTCACAACAGGAGGAACTGCATTTAAAGGGCCAGGAGGCTGAGACCCGCTGGTTTACACAATCCCTCCCCTCAGGTCGGACGTAGTGTCTGTTTCTAATTTCCGGACGTTTTTTGTAAGTAAGACTCCGGCCGACATCTTTGCGTAAATCCTTTGTCTTCGTGATGACTTTTTTAACCGAGCACTCAGAGGTAACGACTTAATTTCCCACTAACTTGTCACTAGCTCTTCAGAAGGCCGTCTCGGCTGATGGTCCATCTGATTGGGCGTGTGAGAGCACCGTCTCACGGGGCTCTGCGTTATTATGCAGTTCGGTAAAAGAAATGGTAGGTTTTTTGTTCTTAATTTCCTCTTCCTTGAAGTTGATTCTTTTTCAGGTTAGGAATATCCTTTAGCCCGGCCGGCGTGGCTCCGTGGTTGAACGTCAACCTATGAACCAGGGGGTCCTGGTTCACTTCCCGGTCAGGGAACGTGCCTGGGTTGCGGGCATTCAGGAGGCAGCCGATCCATGGTTCTCTCTCATCATGGATGTTTCTCTCCTTCTCCCTTCCTCTCCGAAAGCAGTAAAATATTAAAAAATAATGATAATGTTCTGTAGCAGGAAGTTCATGGCGAGGCCTGTACGTGCAGTCACGTGTTCGCTCTCCGCTGGGCGCTCCGTGGTGTTTTGAGGGGCGCAGGGGGGCCTCCGCAGTGACGTGTCCCCCAAACGGTCTCATCATTGTGAAGGCGATAGTTCCCGTAGTTCCCGCAGGGAGAGAACGGTGGGTTACTGAACCTCCTCTCCTCCCCTCTGCGGTTCAGTAAATATCTTCTAGTCGAAATGAGGCGTGTCGATAATAAAACATGTCAAGAATGAGTATTACGCCCCGGCCGGTGTGGCTCAGTGGATAGCGTGTCGGCCCGAGGACTGACGGGTCCCAGGTTCAGTTCTGGTCAAGGGCACGTACCTCGGTTGCAGGCTTGATCCCTGGCTCTGGTCCAGGTGCACGTGGGAGGCAGCGAATTGATGTGACTCTCACATTGATGTTTCTCCCTGTCTTTCCCCCTCCCTTCCACGTTCTCTAAAAAAAAAAAAAGGAAAAATATCCTTAGGTAAGGATTAACAACAACAACAATAAAGGATAGTATTTAAGATCCCCTATTAAATACACGGAAACCTGAGCGTGTTCATTCTCTTTTACAGGCGAAAGGAAAGAAGCCGTTATTCGTGCAGTTAATCCTGGAGAATATATGGAGCTTGTACGACGCTGTCTTGAAAAAGTAAGACTTACAGAACTGGTGACTGCGGGCAGGTAGAATGTGCCTCAGTTTCCAGTTGCCTGAGTCCTGCTTGCGGAAGCTGAGAGAGACGGGGCAAGTGAGGAGAGAGAGCCTGGCGATGAGTTGGTGACAGGGCTGGGAGGCGATTTCATGGAGCCTGTGTGACCCAAGCCAAGCGCAGCACGAGGCACAGGAGAGAAATGCTTTATAGAGGCCGCGGGGCAGGGATGAAAGGATGGAGGGACACATTGGACCTTTATTTTTTATTGATTTGGGAGAGAAAGAGAAATGTCAATTGGTTGTTCCACTTCTTTTTAACATATTTTTATTGATTTCAAAAGGAAGGGAGAGGGAGAGAGATAGAAACATCCATGATGAGAGAGAACCATGGATCGGCCACCTCCTGCACGCCCCCACTGGGGTTGGAGCCCACAACCCAAGCATGTGCCCTTGACCGGGAATCAAACCTGGGACCCTGCAGCCCGCAGGCTGATGCTCTATCCACTGAGACAAACCGGCCAGGGCTGGACCTTTATTTTTAAAAACCCAGTTTGAAATAAAATAGTCATCGTAGCAGAAAGGTGCCTGCTAGCTAGACATTAATAATGGGAACCTTGGGCACACACATGGCTGGGACAAGTGCAAAAGAAAGCTTGCCTCGGCGAGTTCAGTGTCTGGGTTATTCCTGAGATGGGTCCCTGCCCCCTGAGCATGCGTTTGTGACCCTGGCATGCGTTTGTGACCCTGGCAGAGTTGGCTTAAGGAGGCTGTGGTCTGGTGCTGCAGGACAAATCTGTAATAATAAAAGCGTAATATGCTAATTAGACCGGACAGCCGAACGACCTGCGGGACGAAGCCAGGGCTGCGAGGGCCAAGCCCCTTGCACGGATTTCGTGCGCCGGGCCTCTAGTTTGAGAGCAAGGTTCCTTTAGGAGTGGACGGGTGGAGACGGGGCCTCCCGTGCTGTGGCGGGAGCCCCTGCAGTCCTTTTCCGTTGTTGGTAGAAAAAGTCATGCATGAGGAGTAAACGCTGTCGGATAATGGTGAGGTCCCTGTCCTCGCCGCTCCTTCACGCCTGTGTGACCTTCCACCCCGCTCTTGTGCTCGCTGCAGGGACAAAGAAAAGATTGATAAAATCGTCACCTCCTTGGGGTTGAAGATCGGGGCCCGGGAGGCGCGGCACTCGGACCCGAAGGTCCAGGTCAGCGCCATCTGCAGCCAGTGGCTGCCCATCTCCCAGGCTGTGCTCGGTATCCTTTCTGTTCGTGGTTTTTGATGGGACCATCGTTCTGACAAAGTGGTGGAAGGGGGGTTTACTGGCCACCAAGAAATCCTCGGGAAATACTGCATCCCGATCCAACCCCACTTGCCGTGCTCATTTCTTAGTGTTCTATGAAACTATTTAACCGTTTTTATACTGCCTGGCCGTGCGGCTCAGTGGGTAGCGCGCCGGCCTGCGGACTGACGGGTCCCGGGGTCGATTCCACTCAAGGGCATGGACCTGGGTTGCGGGCACATCCCCAGTGGGGGGCGTGCAGGAGGCAGCTGATCGATGCATCGCTCTCATCGATGTTTCTAACTCTCTATCCCTCCCCCTTCCTCTCTGTAAAAAATCAATAAAATATATATTTTTAAAAAATTCTTATACTAATACTAGTTAGTATTTATCCTAACACCAGTCTAAATGTATGTTCTTCTAAGAAGATATCCCTTTTTATTTTTGTTTATTAATCTGTAAAAACAGACACTTTTACTAAAATTTACATATAAGTAGATAATTGAGAAGTTTTAGGTCACTGTTTTACTTAGTACCATATTTCCTTTAGTGTGTTGATATTACTCATAAGGTTTTAATATCAAAAAGACTTAATTATGAAGTGGCATACATTAACTGAAGTAATTTTATGTACTTATTTATTTTTTTTTAATGTACAGTTCAGTAGTGTTAAGTATATTCATTTATTTTTTAATATATTTTCATTGATTTCAGAGAGGAAGGGAGAAGAGGGAGATAGAAACATCTATGATAAGAGGGAATCATTGATTGGCTGCCTCCTGCACACCCCCTACTGGGGATCGAGGCCACAACCCGGGCTTGTGCCCTTGTTCAGAATTGAACCCGGGACCCTTCAGTCTGCAAGCCAACGCTCTGTCCACTGAGCCACACCAGCTAGGGCACTGAAGTAATTTTATAGATGAATTTAATCTCTTTCTTTTTTTTTGGTGATCCTCATCCGAGGATATTTTTCCATCGATTGTTAGGGAAAGTGTAAGAGAGACAGAGAGAAACACATGGATGGGTTGCCTCCTGCACGTGCTCCAACCAGGGCCCGGGCCCGGGAGGAGCCTGCCACCGAGGTCTGTGCCCTTGACCGGAATCGAACCCGGGACCCTTCGGTCTGCAGGCCACCGTTCCAGCTGGCCAGGGCTCATTCCTTGTTGCCGCAGGATTTGGTGTAGGTTGTGGTCTCGTCCTCGGAGATTGCACGCATCGGTGTTGGAGTCCTTAACAGCAGACCGCAGCCATGGTGTGTCAGAAGCTCCCCAGCCCCCTCGACATCACACCTGAGCGCGTGGAGAAGCTGCTGTGCTCGGGCTCCCAGACGTTCGACTCGCTTCCGCCGGAAACCCAGGCGCTGAAGGCCGGTGAGGGACAGAGGAGCGTGCATGCCCCCTCATCTTTAAAAGGAAACACACTTTTTTTATTTCAGAGAGGGAGAGGGAGAGAGGGAAACATCCATGATGAGAGGGAGTCACGGATCGGCCGCCTCCTGCACGCCCCCCACTGGGGATGGAGCCCGAAACCCGGGCCTGTGCCCTGACCGGGAATCGAACCCTGACCTCCTGGTTCCTAGGTCGACGCTCAGCCACTGAGCCACGCCGGCCGGGCCTCTGAACTTTTCAAGGCTTCCCCAGGCAAGACTTCCGGACCATGTTCCATTCCGACTTCCGGAATGTTTTTTCTCGTTGGAATTTGACTGGTGGGATAACTTAGGGGTAAAATTTTAGATGTGGGGCGATTTTCAAGAAAAAATCACTAACGGATTTTATCCCGTCAGTGTTGGCTAAGAAAATGTCAGCATGTGCTTTGAATTGTGAACAGTTTATAGATGTGGGCCCTGGCCAGGCGGCTCCTCGCTGGGGCGTCGTCCCACACAACCAAAGGCTGCAGGTTCATTCCCAGTCGCTAGGCTGTAGGTGCAAGCCCTGGTTGGGGTGCGTACAGGAGGCAACTGGTCCATGGTTCTCTCTCGCACTGATGTTTCTCCTCTCTCTCTCTCTCTCTCTCTCTCTCTCTCTCTCTCTCTCTCTCTCCCCCTCTCTCCTTCCTTCCCCCCCCTCTCTTTCTGTCCCTCCCTCCCCTCTCCCTCCACCATCCTTCCTCTAAACATATCCTCAGATGAGGATTAAAACTTGAAGTGTATCAAAGGTTTTGTAGATCCAGGGAAAATTGACATCTTTTATAATAATGGACCTCAGTTTATATCTAAGGTTTTTTACATTGCTGTCATTATAATATTCTATTTTTTATTGATGAAGGTATTACATATGTGTCTTTATCCCCCTAGTGTCCCCCCCGCCCCCACTCACGCCCTCACCCCCCAGTGTCTGGGGCCATTGGTTCGGCTTATATGATCTTTGTGTGTTTCATCCGCGAGCTTCCTGCTGGCTGCTGGCCTCGGCTCGCATCCCTGATCCTGTTGCTTCTCCCCTGGGTCCAGGGAATACTTACTGGGGCTTGTGGCGGGCAGCGAGCCCGCTCACTGGCTTCAGTTCCGTATCGGCGTCCCCCAGCCCTCCTCCTGCCCTGTTAATGCTGCTTTTCTTTCCTCGTTTTTGCCAATTCTGCTTGTTCTTTTTCCTCTTTTCCGGCAGTTTTACGGTTTTCCAAATGGACTTTTTATGGTAGTTGTAAAAGGTTATAGGCTGCTTACATATTTAGATGATGCCATAGTGAAAACATCTTAATTGTTCTCCAGAAAAATCTGGATCTTTCACAAAGGGAAAAAACAGTGACATGCTTGCTTTCTGCTCGCTCAGCTTTCATGAAATGCGGGAGTGACGAGACCGCGCCCGTCATCATCTTTGTGTCCAAAATGTTTGCTGTTGACACTAAGGCTTTGCCTCAGAACAGGCCCAGGTACGGACGGGGCGGGGTGGTGCTGGGGGGCGGCGTACACGCGCTCAGTGGGAGGGCGGGTCCCCGAGAAAGGTCCCCGCAGGCGTGCGAGCTCTGTGGGCACGTGGGGCCTGCGGGTCAGCTCATGCGCTCAGGGTGCCTGGGGCCCGCGTCCTCCAAGGAAGACTCAGGGGCCTGCTCTCCCGGTGCCACCGCCACTGGGGAGGGAACTGGGGAGCCTTCTGCCCCGAAGGGCCCGGGGCCCGTTGTCGACCGGTCCCGGCACATGAGTGCTGCTGGTTCCCTGCTCGTCCGCGTGAGAGACGCTGGTGCCGCCCGAAGCTGACGTGCGTGGCGTCCCGCAGGCCTCTCACTCAGGAAGAAATTGTGCAGAGGCGTGAGCAGGCGAGACAGAGGCACGCGGAGAGGCTCGCGGCAGCTCAGGACCCGGCACCCGCGGGGCCCACCGCCGACGGGAGCACCCCTGAAACGAGTCCAGACGGAGAGGAGCCGAAAGGTACAGCTTTCCCAATGGGCTTTGGTGCCAAATATATATATATTTTTAATGTCAAACGTCTGTACTTGTTTCTTCAATATATTTTTACTAGAGGCCGAATGCACGAAATGTGTGCACAGGCAGGGTCCCTAGGCCTGGCCGGCACTCAGGGCTGATCTGTGGGGCGACCGGTGGGATGATGGGGGGGGGGGCCCGCTGGCACCCACCTTGGCCGGCCTGGGGCCTGCGGGCTGGGGGCAGCTCCTGGGCTGAGCGTCTGCCCCCTGGTGGTCAGTGTGCGTCATAGCAATGGGCCGTTCCACCATTTGGCCAATTTGCATATTAGGCTTTTATTATATAGGATAGGATTGATTTCAGAGAGGAAGGGAGAGAGAGAAAGAGAGAAACATTCACGACGAGAGAGAATCATGGATCGGCTGCCTCCTGCACGCCCCCCACTGGGGATCGAGCCCACAACCCGGGCATGTGCCCTGACCAGGAATCGAACCCTGATCTCCTGGTTCATAGGTGGACGCTCTATCCACTGAGCCAAACCGGTTAGGGCTATTCTTTTATTCTTGCTGTTTCTGTCCTGAAGCTGGGCCAGATATCCATTGTATTCACTGTCCCTCTGTGTCCCCCGCCCGGGGGAGGGCGTGCTTGGCACTCATGACCCCTTTGTTCCTGGCAGGGGGTGAGCCGCAGGTGGGGAGTGTGACCCCTATGCCTGCGCCGCGGGAAGAAAGCAGCCAAGAGACCAACCAGGAGACGTTCGTGGCGTTTGCTCGCGTGTTCAGCGGCGTGGCCCGCAGAGGAAAGAAAATCTTTGTCTTGGGGCCTAAGTACAGTCCTGTGGAATTTCTGCAGCGGGTAAGACCGGAAGCCAAACTCAAGTATTCGTTTCCCGGTTCTGGTGTCTTTTAAGTTGGCGAGATCGGCGATCACCTTATTGGTAGATTTCTCGCGTCTAGAAAGGCACATGGAGGTGAATTCTGTGTCTCCTCTCACGTGGCCTGGGTGACATTCGGTAGACCTGTCTCACTCGGTAGCATTTAGGGAAGGGAACTGCCATATGAACCATGTGTTCTGGCCTTAAAGGTTGTGAGGCCTTTCCCTCCGAGGCCAGAAGAAGGAACGGGGAGGACACAGGGCGAATCTTCGGGAAACGGAGATGCGGAGTCTGGGTGACACGGACAGGCGTGGGCACGCGCAGGGGGCAGCAGCAGGCGCCCGCGGGCAGTCCCAGGCGCCGCTCAGGAGGGTCTGAGCCGCTGAGCAGTGGCTTCCAGATGTGCCCGAGCCAAAGGCAAGGGCCCCCACCAGCTGGAGCCGTGGCGGGACAGGCTCGGGTGCGGGAGGCTGAGGGTGCCAGAGCCCCGGGAGCCGGTCGGGTCCCTAGGAAGCAGGGAGGCGGAACCTACTCGTCAGGGTCCACGCAAAGCCCTGCTGAGGCTCTGGGTGGCGTCGCTTTAAATCAGTGCCTATTCGGGTTATTTAATTTAATTAATTAATTTATTTTTAAATATTTGTATTGATTTCAGAGAGGAAGGGAGACGGGGAGAGGGAGAGAAGCATCAACAATGAGAGAGAATCATGGACCGGCTGCCTCCTGCATGCACCCTACTAGGGATCTAGCCCGCATCCCGGGCATGTGCCCTTGGCTAGCATCAAACCTGGGACCCTTCAGTCTGAAGGCCGACGCCCTGTCCACTGAGCCACACCAGCTAGGGCCAGGGTTTGACTGTTTTTTAAAAAAATATATTTTTATTGATTTCAGAGAGGAAGGGAGAGGGAGAAACATCATGAGAGAGAATCATTGATAGGCTGCCTCCTGCACGTCCCCTGGGGACCAAGCCCACGACCCGGGCATGTGTCCTTGACTGGAATTGAACCCGGGACCCTTCAGTCCACAGGCTGATGCTCTATCCACTGAGCCACACCAGCCAGGGCTATTTTTAAATCCATGAGGCACCATTTCAAATTTGCATGCTTCACAGTTACATGAAATGTGACCTCCCCACGTCTCACTTATGAATGAAAATAACTCTGTATGTATGAACCGATGTTTCCATTTCCTGCTCCCTCACTCACCAGCGACCATTCTCCCTCTCCCAGGTGCCATCGGGCTTCTCTACTCCCCTGGACGAGCTGCCTGCGGTCCCCCACATGGCGTGCTGCACGCTGGAGCACCTGTACCTCCTGATGGGGCGGGAGCTGCAGGACCTGGAGGAGGTGCCGCCAGGAAACGTGCTGGGTAGGTGCTGCTGGGCGTCCGCGTCCCCGAGCGGCCCCTGACACCCGCTCACTCGGCGGAGTCTTTGAAGGAGAGGCCGGCTCTTTCCTGCTGTGCTGAGACTTCGCGCAGTGCATGTGAGTCATTAGCGTGTAGGTCAGTGCCTTGGTGTGACTTATGGTCGTTCTTTTGTTGTTGTTGTTAATCCTCCCCCCGAGGATATTTTCCCATTGATTTTTAGAGAGAGCGGAAGAGAGAGGGAGACAGAGAAACATCGATGTGAGAGAGACACATCGATGGGTTGCCTCCTGCACGAGCCCCGATCAGGGCCCAGGGAGGAGCTGGCCACCGAGGTCCGTGCCCTTGACTGGAGTCTAACCCGGGACCCTTGAGTCTGCAGGCCGATGCTCTATCCGCTGAGCCACACCGGCCAGGGCTGTGGTAGTTCTTTCAAAAAAAAAAAAAAAAAGTAAGTGCTGCTCATGTCGTCTGTGAACGCTCCGAGCTGGGGCCTTCTGTCTGCGAGCAGCGGAACTCCTGCTCCCGGCCCTTCTCGCTCTGAGTTCCGGGGACCTGTTTGGGCCGAGTGTCTTGGAGACGGATCTGCTGCCGTCGTTGGGGAGTTCCCTTCCTGGTGTCGTCAGGACGACCAGTAGGTTTTTAATTTGGCTCCTCGGTTTGGTGGGTGACCGGTCGGAGTGGCTCCGTCAGCACGTCTGGAGCTCGTTTCCCGCCTCACAGCCAGAAGCGCCTTTTCAGGCCCGTTTCCCTGCGTCGTCGTAAAAACCCGGGCCCTCGGAGCAGGAGAGCCGTGCCCTCCGCCCCGTGTTTCCTAAGAGCATCTCGTCACGGCTGGGAGTGAGTTTAAGACGGGCCGGGGCGGGGGGGGGGGGGGGGGGGGGGATGGGGAGAGAAGGCCAGGGTTCCGGCTTGTTAGTGCGTGGAAGTGACCGCCCGGGAGAGCGGCGGCCGCAGCCGGGGTAAGGGACGTGGACTCCAGCCCGCAGGGCGCTCGGCTGCGGTGGCCGGGACCCGGTTTGTCAGCACAGCTTCTCGGTGGTTTTCCTGTTGGTCCTCCGTCCCCTGAGGCCGTTTTCCATTGATTGTTGGAGAGAGCGGAGGAGAGGGGGAGAGGCAGAGGAACATCGATGTGAGAGGCCCATCCATGCGTGGCCTCCTGCACACGCCCCGACCAGGGCCCGGGCCAGGGAGGAGCCTGCAGCTGGGGCACTGAGCCCTTGACCGGAATCGAACCCGGGACCCTTCGGCCCGCAGGCCGACGCCCTGTCCACTGAGCCACGCTGGCCAGGGCTGTGTGTATGTGGGGGGCGGGGGGGGTTAACTTAAGACAGGTTTGTCTTTTGGATGAAAAGCATAAGCCGGGTGGCTGATCTGGTGGAAACATCCGCCTGGTCCCTTTACCTGCTGCCGCCTAAGGACCCCGAGCCCAGCGGCTCCACTGAGACAGCGGGTACTTCCTCACGCCCTCGGGCCACGTGGTTTGCTTGGCAGCTCCTCCTCTGTTCCGCGTGGCGTCACCTGAGGTGCTGAGAGCCTGGGCACGACAGCTACTCGAAGGCTCTGCACCCCGTGTCTGAGGGTGACACTGGTCGTCTGGGGGCCCTCGGATGGGAGTGGGACTGGGGCTGGACCTGTGGCTGTGACTTGTTTTTAATGAATATGTGTTTATACGTATTTTATTGATCTCAGAGAGGAAGGGAGCGGGAGAGACAGATGGAAACATCCATGATGAGAGAGGATCACGGATCGGCTGCCTCCTGCACGCCCCACACTGGGGATCGAGCCCTTGACCTGGGCCTGTGCCCTGACCGGGAATCGAACCCTGACCTCCTGGTTCATAGGTCGACCCTCCACCACTGAGCCCCGCCGGCCGGGCCCATGCGACTTTTCCATGTGGCTGCTTGGCCCCCTCACCATTTGCTGGCTGGTGAGCGTCCCAGTAGGAGAGGAAGGAGGTGTCATGATGGCGCCTCTGAGCCCTCGGCCCCACTCCCGCCCCGTCCCTTCCTCAGACGGAAGTGAGTCGCTGACTGGCCCGGATCCAAAGGCGGAAACTCACTCCACCTCTTGACGGGACCCGCGTCAGAGAGTTTGTGGGCGTGTTTTAAAGGGCCACCCCACGAGTCCGAGATGACTCTCGTTTTCCCTTACACGTTAACGGGCCGTGATGGGGCGCAGGTGACACATTACAGCACGGAGCGATGTCTGTGGCGCTCGCGGCCGGCCTGGGAATGCTGTTTCATTTGTGAGCCTTGTTCGCTCAGGGAGAAAGTCCTCCCTCCGTTTTCAGAGGGGATAGTGGAGAGCCATGTGCCTGGTGCTCGTGTGCTCCCATCAGACGGGAGACAGTCGGGGTTGTCGGATGCCGATGCCAGGCTTGCTGGCGGCGGGGTGAGCGCATCGCCTGGCGTTCGGGGCAGGCCTCTCGCGGGCGCGTGGGGCACGCAGACGCCACTCTGGAGCGAGGCTGTTACTCACGGGAGACCTGACGCCGAGCCGTCAGCGTGGGGCGGGTTTCTGCGGCTCGCGGACAGGTCATTGAGAGTTTAGAATTCTGTAACTCCAACCTGGTGTCTGGAGAAGTGGGTGTAGGTGAGCCTGGCAGACTCCCACGCCCAGCACACAGTGGCCTCTTGTTCAGTGTCCTCCCGAGAAGGGAAGCGTTTGCCGCAGGCCCGGCTCACAGGCGAGGGGAAATTGAATTAGGGTTCCAAGTCTGCAGCCCTTTCTGCCTCGCTTCCAGATCTCTTCCATATGGTGAAATCTTGACGATTTCAGGGGCGCACTTTAAGAGGAAACCTGATATTCCCCTTTTTACAGCGTGAGGGAAGCAGTGGGTGCTGCCCAGCCTTTTTCTGAACTGGTTCCAGTTCTGCCAGGGGAGGTTGCTGGGCTGACGGGAAGTCAGTGTGGTTTCAATGAGTGAGTGTGTGTCTCCTTGTCAGGTGGGGGGGGGGGGGGACTGAGGAGTCAGAAGCCTTTGAAGGGTTTACTGGCAGATTTTTAAAAAATATATATTTTTATTGATTTCAGAGAGGAAGGGAGGGGGGGAGAGAGAGAGAGAGAGAGAGAGAGAGAGAGAGAGAGACATCAGTGATGAGAGAGAATCATGAATCGATCGGCTGCCTCCTGCATGCCCCCTACTGGGGACGGAGCCTGCAATCCGGGCATGTGCCCTGACCGGGAATCGAACCTGGGACCTCCAGGTTCATTGGTCGATGCTTAACCCACTGAGCTACACTGGCCGGGCCAGCCTCTCTTCTGTTAACTTCTGGGAGACCAGCTGCTCTCTTGGTGGCACACGTGAATCCCAGCCTGCCTGGGGACCGCTCATCTGGTCCATTTCCCAAAGCTTTGGGCATTTGGTGAGCCTTTTCCTCTGTTGACATAGCCTTACCCTAATTGTCACCTTTCTTCGGACATTTCACTTGACATTGGAAGGTGGAGGGCGTAGGAGAGGGAGGTGGGCATATCGATCCATGTGGGATAAACCTTCCTTTCTCAGGATCCAAAGCGGCTTAAAAGAAAACAAATAAGAGGCGTGGTTTTGTACACGTAGCGAAGTGCTGTTTGCTCTGAAAGGATGAGCCTTTGTTTGTTTAATTTCGTGGCGCAGTCGTTCTTGCACTTGTCTTTTGGGCTTCGTCTGTGCTTGGTCCTGCACCTCCCACGTGGTTGGATTCCCACTCGGGCTGCTTGAATCTCCCGGTTCTCTCCAGGCCAGGGGTGGGCAAACTTTTTGACTCGAGGGCCACAATGGGTTCTTAAACTGGACCGGAGGCCGGAACAAAAGCATGGATGGAGTGTTTGTGTGAACTAATATAAATTCAAAGTAAACATCATTACATAAAAGGGTACGGTCTTTTTTTTTTTTTTTAGTTTTATTCATTCCAAACGGGCCGGATCCGGCCCGAAGGCCGTAGTTTGCCCACGGCTCCTCTAGGCCCTTCACAGTGTGGATCGCAGACCAGCCAGAAGGCAGCCTCTTGTCTGAGAAGGGCTCTGTCGCGGGAACTCCCAGACCAGAGTCTGTGCCGCAGACAGAGCGCTGGGTCACGTGATCTCTGTGCCCGCATACGATGCGCTGGGTCACATGATCTCTGTTCCCGCATACAGTGCTCTGGGTCACGTGATCTCTGTGCCCGCATACGGTGCGCTGGGTCACGTGATCACTGCGCCAGACAGTGCGCTGGGTCACATGATCTCTGTGCCCGCAGACAGTGCGCTGGGTCACGTGATCTCTGCCCGCATAAGTGCGCTGGGTCACGTGATCTCTGTGCCCGTATACAGTGCGCTGGGTCACGTGATCTCTGTGCCCGTATACAGTGCGCTGGGTCACGTGATCTCTGTGGCCCTCTTCCTTTGGCTGGCTCTCCAGGAACCTCCCCCCTGCCCGTGACCTGGCTTTCCCGTCGGCTCTATTGCTTGGCCGTTCTCCATATTGCCTCTGCCCACCCCTCCGTCTGTGGATTGCTCGAGGTGACACCCAGAAAGCCTTTGACAGCCCTGGCCAGTGTGGCTCAGTGAATAGAGCGTCGGCCTGCGGACCAGAGGGTCCTGGGTTCAGTTCCGGTCAAGGGCTGGACCTCGGTTGCAGGCTCCTCCCCTGCCCGGGCTGTGGTCGGTGCACGTGCGGGAGGCAACCCATTGATGTCGCTCTCACATCGATGTCTCTCTCTGTCTCTCCCTCTCTCTTCCACTCTCCCTAAAAATGAATGGAAAAATATCCTCGGGGGAGGATTTAAAAAAAAAGAAAGAAAGCCTTAAAGGGGTAGGAACTCCACCCCCTGGAGATCTCTGTCCTTGGATTCCCGAGGACCGTGGCATGGCTGGGCCTCCGGAGGGCCAGGCGGCGTTCTCTCTCTTGAGCCAGTTCGGAGGCCTGGTCCCGTTCCCCGAAAGCGCAGTTAGAGATATCTCCCCCCCCCCCCCCCCCCCCTTCCCCCCACTACTGGGCAGAGGCCGAAAGTGGCTGAGTCTGAAGCCCGGGCAGCCTGTCC